GGGATGGTGTTAGAATTTTTCCAGTTGCGAAATTGGCCTCCAAATATAAATAACCAAATCATTTTTGTTGGCCAGATTTGATAGTTTTTTCTTCGTAAAAAACTTTTCAAAATTAACACTTGAATTTTTTCAAAAATCTTAGATCGCAAAAACATAATAAAATTTCTTTAAGAAAATTCTTTAAAGTTTTCTTAATTTCTATATACTCTATAGTTGGTTACTGTTACAGTAATCTCAGAGATTGCATTTTGCACTCCTTTATGGCTACTAAAAACTGTTCATCTTCCGAGATATGACTTTTATAAGGTTTTTCACTTAAAGAATTAAATTTTTCACAAAACTTAATTTTAAAAAACTGCACTAAATTTGAAATTCGCAATCCTACATTTGGGTGCTTTCAGGGTCTGTTTTTAAATGCATCGCTTGATTGGCATGATTAGATGAATTGACTATTAGCCATTCCTTTTTGGGTACAAAATTTTCATAATCTGAATTGCTTGCTGAAAAAAACTTGACTACTATAGGGTACAAAAATTCACAAGATTTTAAGTTTGCGTCTTTCGTAGTTGCTTTTTCCTGAGACCTATCTATCATACTTTCATAATTGTACCCCAGTTCACTCTAAAATACTTTTAAAATATTTTGAAGTTTCATCGATGTCTGCAAGCCGATTGATTAATGCAAATGTGCTTGCTAGTGTATTCCAATTGATGTACACTTCAAAAAAAAATATCGGTTTTTGCGAACTACATTTTTCTTTAAAATCTTTTTTCTTGTTTTTTTTCTTCAAAACTTACATAATTGAAATAGAAGTTTGGCTGTTATTTTTGGCTAGATTTAATTTTAAAAATGTCAATCATAACCTGTTCTTGAATTCAAAAAGCTTTAAAGCAATCGAATTTTTCTTTGAAACTTTCAGGTCAGTTTTTTTTTCTGTTCTGCGTTTTTGACTATTTTGTTACTTTCTGTTGGCTATGTGTTATGTTTGATATTTTAACAAAAAGCGGATTTTAGTGTAATACTAGGAAGCAATTTTTCTCCCAACACAAGTCGCAAAGAAAAGTGCTCATTTGGTGGACTTTTTGGTATATTTCCAACCATAGGCGTTTTAATAGTATCTGTTGCTGCTTTATTGTTGCTAGTGTTAGCTTAATCCAAGCGACCGTGGGGCAGATGTGGGGCCTTGAGACTCCTTATCTACAGGTCGGAATATCAATTTCGGAACATTGAATCAATTTTTTTCGTGGTACTTAAACTGCATTTCATTAGTAACTGTAGCTTGTTTGTTGGCAGCTAGTGTTAGTAATTTTCTTAGCGAATTGTGATGCATATGCGATGATATGAGACTCTAATATCCAGGTCGGAGGTTTAATTCCGGTCTACAGCGAAAGTTTTATTTTTTAAGGCTGACATTTACCTTTTTTTATGTCACTCTGTTTTTGTCTTTTTAATGGTAATTCTGCGTCGCAAAAGGTCCGAAACATCCTTTTCTCTCTTTGTAAATCTTTATTTGAGAAATAAGGTCTTCACGACTAAGCAATGCTTATTCGATTATCTATCGTTCGACTAGTAATTTGTTTCGTGAACACTTATCAGAGAGTGCGTTTGCCTTCGTTTTTACTTCAATTTTTGCAGTTGAGATATATTGAAACTTGAGGCAATGAACCCAATGAATCCAATAGAACCTGCGCAGAAGTTCATTCTCACGTAGAAACTCATATAACAAAAGCAAAGGAAGAATTGGGATTTTTAGGCATCTGAAAATATAGAATGTCTGAGATCAAAAATTTCAACCGCAACCTATATGATGTTTTTATTTGAATTAGCCTCAACCGTGATAATACTTTTCTGTGCAAAATCTGTCAGATTCATATCGTCATTTTTCAGGATAGTATGGTAAACTAGATACGACGGGGAGTATCAGCAGGATGAAACGTCAAACTTTTTACCTATCAGTTTTGCAGATTTTTAAACCTGAATAATACCTATTTTTACACTTGCGAGCGTAGTGTATTTGAACGAACCTTCTGTTTTTTCTAGTCTAACTCGCAACTAAAATTACTATAAAGTGTTCATTTATTTGGTGGCAATTTTGCTATAATCACGATCTGTAGCATTCGAATTTTCATAGAATCTGTTCTCTGCTTTTTCTGGCTAGTTTTTGTGACTTTTTAAGCGTCCGTGGTTAGTGCGTGAGAATAGAAATTTCCGGGTCGAAGGGCGAATCCGAGACGTTGCCGAATTTCACTATTTCGAGGCTTATTTCATTTTTTTAATGCACTTTATGTGGTGTTCTCGTTAGTGTTTCCGAAGCGCAGTTTTGTCAGTGTAAAAAAATAAGAAATCAGATAAGCAAGAGTTGTCAACTCGGAAACTTTTTTTTTCTCCACATCTGCAACTCATCTGACAGAATCACTGCAGTTTTTTCAACCCTGTTATTTTGTGAACAACAGGCTTAAGAAGTGCATATTTGCAGTCTATTTACCCTTGTGCTAAGCAAGGGTATTGCAATCGCATACTTGATTTTTTCCCGTAAATAACTTTGTTCACAGAGTGGTCAAAAATAGAAATAGTAAAGTTAGGTTCAGCTCATTATGAATTCAAATTTCTTCGCGTCTCCGGCACACTTGGCCTCTAGGTGACTAATGCATCTCTGACGGCGAAGGCCCTGGGTTTGCATCTGAAAGGACTTGTTTTTTTTTTCAAACGGGAAATAGTCCGTTTCAAAAACATTGTTGGCTTATTATTGTCTGCTTATGTTTTGTCGGCTTAGTTGCCATATTGTAGTAACGTTTTTTTTGAGAGTAATGAACATAATGAGTACTCTTATATAGGTCTCGCTGATTTTTTTTGTTTTTCGGGAAAAAGTCCTAAAATTTGTTCACGCTCATTTTTGATTTTTCAGTGCATTTCTATTGTTCAAAGGAAGGCAAAATCCACTTTTGAATAGCAAAATTGTATAGATCACGAAAAACGTGATCGACTTCTAATTTTGAAAATGGAAACTATTTATCAGATTTCCCAGCGAAACAAAAGTTTTACCTATTTATCGAGTTTTCTGAAATTGGGCTAATTTTAACAAAAAAGTGTCCTTAATAAATTGTTCTACAAATTCAATGAGCTTTAAGGCCATCTAATTTTTTATTCGAAATTTCAAAAATGACCTATGTTATATCGGCGTATTGAACTTATATTGCGTGTTTCGACGAGCGAAAAAAGTTTGTCTGTGTTTGAGGGTGAGGGGGACTTAAAAAATTCTTAGTAGTCTTAAATTTTTTTCTTTTTTTTGGGCTTATATGTTTTAGCCTATATTTTATTGGCTTAGTTGGTATCATTTTGTTTCATTTGGCAAGCAAATAAATTTTTTTAATTGTTTATGTGTTTTGAGGGCTATTAACTTTTCATAAGTCTTAAGTTTTGTTGATTTTTTTTTTGGCTGGGTGCATTATCTTTCGATGCTTATTTCACTTGCTATTGTCTTGGCATGTTTTTGTTTCAAAACGTCTTATTCTTTTGGTAGATTCAATTGTTTCTCCTGTTTTGTATCGCAAGTGGTGCGAAGCTCAGAATCGACGCTGTTGAATTTTGCTGCTTTCTGCGTTGTTAATATATTTTTTCTCCGTTTTTGTTTAACTTTTTTTTAAACCTTTTATTTGGCCTAAAGGGTTTATGATCTTACTATATTGGCTCAGTTAGACTCATATTGCGTCGTTTGATAGGCAAAGTTTCTTTGAATGGTTTTCGACCAGTCCAAGCATTACTGGTTTTCGACAATGTTTTAATTATCAACTGCAAACTATATATAAAATGATCTTATATTCTTAATATTTCAAAATAATAATAAAAAAAGAATATGAGATACATTTGTATCGCAATGTGTATGGCTATCACAAATGGTCTTTTAAAACCATATTGCTCCTTTTCTTATTGTTTGCTATAAGTTCCTTTCTTATATTTTGGTATGAATCTCCTTCGGCTTGATATCCGCCGCCCACCTGAGAGGTTACCAGACAAAAATTATGTACCATAAAAGTCAAACTTCGCAATTCTCAACCCTAGAAATTGTTCAGAACTTTTTCCATTATACCAATGTCTCAATTGTATGACTTGACTTCTCAATTTATGTTCTAACTAAAATAATTGTTCCGGCCACTCATAATGGGGAGAAACTTTGTCTTCGGATGTGTTTTGTTATTTCATTTTTTCTCTCAATAAAAGATACCCGACAAAGTCATCGGAATGCGTTGTATGATATATCAACTTGAAGCCCGTGTAGGCGGAATTCGAATGACTTTTTAAAATTTCCAAAGCGTTTTCCTAGTGTGGAGAAAAATTTCGCGCGCTAATTTCGAGCGAATAAAGCAAGCAAAGCAATTCGGTCTTATAAAAAAGTTTCTATTCAAAAACTGAAAAACTTTAGTGAAAAAAGTATAACGAAAAAGTTTTGGAATCTTCATTTTGCGCTTTTTTGAAGAGAAACTGAAAAAATTTTAGAACGTTTTTCTGATTTTTTTTTCATTTTGTGTTATACGTTTTTGGAAGCCATCTTTTGTCGTTTTTGGTTATTTCGCTAAAGTTTTATCCATTTGAATAGTTTTCTCATCGCACCAACGACACTAATGAATATGTTCGGAACATTTTGTGCTACTTGCAAATCAACTGGCTATCCTTGTTTCATTTCTAAAAATCGTCATCAGGTCTTTGCAGGTGTTGTTTTCAGTGTGAATAGTTTTCATTTACGCAGAATCAGCTCATTATTAAAACCTATGATACGAATTTTTTGTGTAACTGGCATTATTTTGTGTTATTTTATACAGCCGCAAAATGGGGACATGAAAAGGTTGTGAATATGCAGCCAGAAGTCAGTGATCACATCTCTTTTTTGCCGACAACATTTTCACTTTTTGGAGTTCAAGCTTCATCTTGAGTATCGAAAGCTTGAAAAATAGTGCTGCAGAAAAAAAACCGGTTCAAAATTATTATTTGCTCATGTTGTTTAGAAAACAGTGAAGTTTCTGACCACCAAAATTCTGTCTCCGACCGTATTTGGAATCGACTACGCTACAATTGAAGATGCTTTGAGTCCTGCTACTAGCAGTGATCCCAAACGAGCGAGCAAAAAGGTAAACACAGTGTCATTGCCAGCCCCTTTGTCACGATTCAAGTTTGGTAGTTAATGATAATTTGTCTCACGCGACTTATCATTGACAAGAAAAAGGTGAATATTCGTCGTAATAGAAAAAAATGACACTTCTCAAAAGAAATATTGACATTTGATCGCAACCCCATTTAATCAAGTCTTGTTAATTGGTACGGTAAAAATTTCATATCGAAGAGTTCTCAACCTATTAGGTCATATTCGTTTGATTGCTCTGCAGTGCTTAATTTTTATTTCGAAATCTCCGACTAAATTTCATTGCTATGAACTGTCCATTTTAAAAATGCTACTAATTTTCGCCTCAAGTGGCTTAATCATACCTACAATCATTACGCTTGCGATTAGCAAGCGTTATCAAACTGGAATAAAGACTTTTTTTGGGTTAATAACTTGTTTAACATCTCAAAAATTTCTGCTCTTCTCATTTATTTCAGCAGAGAAGCAACTAAGGTTTTGGGCAAAAACCAATTTTTGAAACCCCATTTTTTGTGCCGCATCAATATAGCAAAGTGTTTAAATATCAAACATACCTCAAGCTTTAGCTGGGTCACTAGTTGTTTTTTTTATTTAGACATACGAAAATTTTGGTTCACCTATTTTTTTTTCAAATTTCAATTTCTTAAAATATTTATGTTTACTTGCATGTTGTGGGAAGCTCCGTTTTTTTCACCTGTGTCATAAATCTATCTAATAATTCTTAGAAATTTTTTTGGGTATAAAAATTTTTGGAAAAGCAGTGGCTGCGGACTTAGCTTATTATAATAGAAAATCTGGGTATAATCGTGGACTTAGCTTATTATAATAGAATCTGGGTTTTATCGTGTAAGGAAAATTTCTGATTAATGCAATAGTTTTAATTGCATTCTTCATGATTCCTTGAAGTCCAAAAATGCTTCTCAGAATTTGCTTTTGAAAGGTTTGATCGAAGATGCGCTGTGCTTCTTTCGATGTCCCCTAAAAGATGCGCTGCACTACTAAATAACAAAATTGTTCAGGTCAGCACCATGTCTGCAATCAGAATAGGATCAACTAGATGGACCCCCACAAACATCCACCCAAATTCAGAGTCCCAACTCACCCATTCTGGACAGGTTCCTAATTACCCAACGGCTGCAAATCCGAGCGGAACGAAACCGAAGGCAAATGTTTTGAATCAGAGCGATTCTTCGAATGCTTTCGCGGAATCGTTCACGACTCAGACGCTCTCGGCGATGTTGCGGAAACCAGCTATGACTGGGATACATAATGGCCAGAGTCGAGCAATGTCTGGAAGGCCGAGGTCTCTTTACTTGACGGACAATGCGAAGAATAAGTCGAGTCGCGGAAGTAAAAACTATCGAAGTTCGTTTTTATTTGCATTTGATAAATTAAAACGTATGCGTTTTCTTGGAAAACTAGAGTTGATAATGTTTAGGGAAAACTGGAGCTGTCAATAGTAATTTGTACTCATCGAGATCTGAGACGTGTATCTACACCGCCTCCAACGAAGGTTTGTTAGTTTATTGTTTTTACATATATGAAAGGTGAGCAAAAAGATGTTTATCGGTTTTGAAATGACTGTCTGAACGTATTTTGTATGGTTTCTGGTCGCAAAAGCATGGTCCAAAAACCAGCGGACAGTTTTCCAAATTTTTAGAGACATTTTTAATTTTTTTGGACGCCTGCCTTACACGTCTTGTTGTTTTTACAACTCGCTAGGGTAATTAAACTTTGAATAACTCAGTATAAAGACATTCCTTATCAATTTTTGTCCCAAAGAGTTCCTTATGTATGTTCGGAGGCCACCTGTTACATTCGAGGTAAATCTTATCGGATCAACAATTTTTTCGCATGCCCTTGATTGCTTATGATGCGGAGTTTGTTGTTGTTGCAAAATTTAGGTATATTAAAATACATCTGTGAAGTAGTTATATTGCCATTTTCTTATAAATCTAGGCTAAAAATCGTTTAAATATTAAGGTGAATTACGCAGTAATTTCTTATTCTGATTAACGAGTTGAAAACTTATGCACGGCGAGCTGTTGCATAATTCAATTGTTTATTACTCTTGCGATTCGGATACAAAGACTTTTTTCACATAAACAACTTTGTCCACAGGATCGTCCTTTCTAGAGGATCTTTCATCTGACATGCTCAATTTTTTGAAAGTTCAAATAAAAGTACTATCACTTAGCTGGCTATCAGTTCAACCCCGTTTCAGGTTGTTGATTATCTTTAAAAATTATCCTTTTTTTTTCGGGTTCCTGGTTTTCGTCATAGTTCCTGTCGGTTTAATTTCCTTTTTTAATCCCCATTGTTTATCTGGTAGGGTTTTTAGTGTTTTACCCAATTTAAACAGTTTTTACTAAAATTGAAATTTCACGAATTTATAAATTTACTATGTCTGATTTTAAGTTTTTTTCGATTTTTTTTTCTCGTTTTTTTTACCCTTGCGATAAGCAAGGGTATTACAATCGGGTACTAGACTTTTTTCCCGTAAATAACTTTTTCCAGAGGATCTTCACTTCTTCTGGAAGATCTTCTTTTTACAAGATCTTTCATCTTCCAAATTTAAATAAAAGTACTATCACTTAAGTAGTAATTAGTTCAAGCCCGTTTCAGGTTGTAATTATCTATTTGAAAAAAAAAATTCTTTATTTTTTCGGGTTTGTGGTTTTCGTCCTAGTTTCTGTCGGTTCATTCTCCGTTTTTTAAGCGCAGTTTTTTTATCTGTTAGAATTTTTATTGGTTTACTTTTTAAAGCATGGCTTTTGTTCCAATTTAAACAGTTATTACTATAACTGAATTTCAAAAATATGTAAAGCTACCATAGTTTTTTTTTCATTTTTTTTTCGTTTTTTTTAATGCTGAAACAGTTTCAGGTTATGTTATATCGACTTAGTCAACTTATTTTGCGTAATTTCGAGGGGAAAATTTATCCGTATAGGATTATGTGTTTCAATTGGATGGGTCGTAAACACTTGATTTTATGGAATTTTTTTATGACATTTTTGTTTTCGGCTCAACAGGTTTCGACCCAAAGTTTCTTGCCTTTCTACTTTTTAAGGGCTGTTAATGAACTTTGTCCGATACAAATATGAAGTTTATGTTGCTGTAATTCTTTTGTCAAGTTATTTTTTCAAGTAATTTTTCTAACATATTTTTTTTTGATTTCTGTCTTTTTTTATCATTCACTATTTGGTAGCGCAATTGCAATGCGTTTTCTGCATCGCAAGTGTTGCGAAGCTCCGCTTCACCTCTCTGTCAAATCTAATATTGTTATCAGAATCAGCGCTTCATTCAGTTTTCAGCTTTTTTCGATAGACTATACAAATACAAAGTGCAGTCTCCATATTTTCAGACTCCTTCACGAAGACGATAGACAGTGTTGGCAAATCATCCCACGCTCTAATTGATAAGAAGAACAAGAGAAAGCGAGACAGAGGCTCCACTTCCAAACTGGACACTGTGGGTTTACTTCAACAGGATCATAATGAGGATGATTCAGATACGGAATCTGGAAATGCATTTGACGTGTCATTCAATAATGACAACTTTACCGAAGAGATGATGCGAAAAGGTAGATACGTCTTGGTTACTTAAAAATCGCACTTGTGATCGCAGTTCACCTCATATGAAAACTGTTATTCGATGTGAAAATTGAAACTAAATTGCGCTTGACTCCTAGATTCAAAACTTAATTGATTTCTTTGCAGGTATAATTGTCAATGTACACGACGCAACCCCGGTTGCGCACGATCATAACCAGGACACCATCTCAACAACATCCTCACACGACAATCAAATGGCATGGCTTCAGACAACAACTGACGCTTTGCGGCAAGTGAACATGCAGCAGAACTTCTTCTCGGGAGATTTACCTCCGAACTCGGAACCACCAATAAATCGACACTTTAGTTCTCCTTCCAGATCTAGAGTGGCGTCAACTTCTTCACACACGATGGGAGGAGCAGTGGTACAGAGGCGCCAGAGGGTGGGAGAAGATGCGGTAAAGCCGAGACCTCAATCAGTGTTCGAAATGGGAAGCTGTCGGAAGGTCCTGGAGATGTCGCATTCGGTGACTGGAGATGGAAATCAGTTTGGTAACAGAGAAAAGACTCCAGTTGGATTAAGTAAGTATTGGATGAATTTCGTTGTTGAAATTTTCTTATAACACTTGCGAGAGCCAGCGTCTTAATCGGAAACTAATCTTAATCGGAAACATAGTGCAGACTCTTTTATAGGTCGCGATGATTTTTTTGTTTTTTGTTCAGGCTTAAATTTACGTTTTTGAGGTTTGACTTTTGATTTCTTTTGAAGTTCTTGTCATTTATTTTGCTAAAAGGAAGGCAAACTCCACTATCAAACAGCAGGAGTGCTAAGTTCACGAAAAACGTTATTGACTTTTAGTTTCGAAAGTGGATTTAATTTTCAGATTTACCAGCGGGATAAAAAAAATTGCATGTCGATCCAGTTTTCTCAAAAAAGTGTCAACCTTAAGTCGTTCTAAATTGCTTAGTTTTTGAACCCAAAAAATTTCCAGGTTTGTTCCGACTTGGTCTGGAAGTAGCGCGGTCACTTAGGCGTGGTTTTCAAATCTCGGCAGGACCTTGTTTTGTTCTGTATGTATGGAATTGAAATTTTTCCGGTAAAGTTTGAGTGGTTGGACTTCCGTTTGTCTGCTCAGGTGTTGTCAGCCGAGTTGGCACAAAACGGTTTTTTTTACTGTAAGCTGGTATCATGGTAGTTGCAGTGCAAGTTTTGTTCATTATAGTTTCAAGGGGGACTTAAATATTTTTAAAACTTTGTTGGCTCAGCTGGTTTCGCTCAAAGATCGTTGGCTTTGTTTTCGCTTCTCGAGTTTTGAACCGTTGCTTATTCAAATTTCAAATGTATTGATTGGCATTTTTACCTGGAGTTCCTGTTTGATGGAAAAGTATGGGTTTATGTTTTAGATTGCTCCGACCATTGAAAATGGGTACGAACTTTTTATTTGGGTGTTTGTATTTGTATCAACCCAAATCTAATATTACGAATTTAATCGAAATAAAACGTTATTGAAAGACTATCTGCCTAAGTTGCTACGTCCAATTTATTTTAAGAAAAAAGTTGGGGCCTTGAAAAACTCAATGTTTTGAAAGTTTAACCGTTTTTTCGAAAATTTTTGGTTTTTCTCGAAAACTATTCAGCCATTTCTTGGGTGAATTGATTAATCGAAAACTGTTTTTTTTGGAATTTTTGTCTGCTGAAGCGGCCACGGCCTTCTTTCTACCGAAAAATTATAGATATTGGAATTTTGATCGTTTTTAGAAAATTTTGACTTTTAAAAACAATCCTTTTAAATCTGAGATGAAGGGTTCGGTTCGATCGAAAGAACCGGTTGCAAAAAATTCTCCTGCAGAAGTGGTGACCCCCTAAGTTTGTTGCTAGAAAATGTGATGTCTCATATACCTTAGTAAAGAAACAATTAAGGTTGTGGGCAAATCAAATTTTTGAAATTACTCAATTCATCCTGCGTCAGGGTCCCTAGTTTTATTTTATCGAGATAAAGTAATATTTTGGTTCATCTATTTTAAGTATTTTTCATTTTTTTTGTTTACGTTTGTTGTATCGCAAGTGGTGCGAAGCTCCGCTTCGCCTGTGTGTAATTATTCAGTTTTCTGTTTTTGTTTCAGCTCAATTACGCAAACGAGCATGTGTTCCCTTTTTCTTTACCAAGATCGTCAAATTTTGTGCGAATTCTTAGCGTAAGCTAAGCAAAAATTGTACGTGAATATAGCTACAACTGCTAGTTCAAAGCTGTTGTTTGCTGCTGTGTATCTAAGAAAACACATATAAGTGAAAGTATTGGATTGCAAAAAGCCATGACTAAGTAGCTAAGTTAATGTTTTTGTACCTTATTCTTTCTGCCGTTATTAGACCTTTTTTGAATATTTATTTTATGAATATTTCGCAAATTACAGTTGTTCTTTTCTTGATTGCTATTTAACTAATTTGCTAAGCTATAGTTAATTTACGCTCCTCAATAACAAAGAGCAGCTAATTGCCGGAAAATTCAGTATTGCAATGGCCCCAGTTTTCTGAGTTTGGGTCAATTTTCATTAAAAACTAACTATTTAAGAGTCGATGAACGTACTTAAGACTATTTTATAGGTCGTGATAATTTTTTTGTTCGGAAAAAGCTTTAAAATTGTTCAGGCTCAAATTTGATTTTTCGCGGTTTGACTTATGATTTTATCAGTTTCATTTTCTTTGTTAAAAGAAAGACAAATCTTACTGGAAGATAAAGGAAGGCAAAAGTGTAAAGGTAACTAAAGATTCGATTTTCTAAAGATTCTAAAGTTTTCAGATTTACCGTCGGAATAAAAAGTTTACCTAATAATGTTGTGACATGTTTTTTTTTCCTTTGAAGTTCGAAAATTGAAAATGTTCAAAGCTTTCATCAGTTTCCTCTAGAGTTATTTTACACTTCTCCAACCATTTGTTATCTATTTTCAAAATATACTTTTAAGATATCTTAAATATCTAAAATTTGGCGTTTTTTTTTCTTTGAAAATCAGATCGTGAAAAAGGTGAAATCGGAAGTTTAAATTGGAAGTTGATATTTTTTTTGGCTCTCGCTCAACCTACCATCTTTTCATTGACTTTATTCTAACTGTCAGATGGCTGTTTGTTATACCCTTGCGATAAGCAAGGGTATCGCAATCGGTTACTAGATGTTTTGCCGTAAATAATTTTGTGCATAGAATTATCAAATGGCAATCAGTATATTTTATACCTGTTGCTTTTTACGAATGGTTAATTAACAGCGTGGTTACTGTAATGGCCTTGTGTTTTTGCTAAGAGTTGTCGTTTAATGTTTTATCAGATTTGAAAACATTTGGTAGATTTTCGGCTCTGATGTTCATCTTTATTTCTGTCGGCTTATTTTCATGTTGTTTCTCTATTTCCTTAGTTTGGTTGTTTCTGTGACGATTGATCTCTAGCAGGTATTTTTTGAAAAAGCTTAATCATCCTTTCAAGCTTTTCGCTTGACAATAAGAAAGATAAAACATGAATTTTAAAGTCAAGTTTTGGCTTTTAGTTCATTTATTCATTGCGATAGCAAGGTTATTGCAGTTTGATTTTGCTTTTTTTTCCTGTAAACATGGACTCATTGAACTGGTGGTACTTTAGTTCATATTGAATTCAAAATTTCAAGTGTCTTTTTCTGGCCTGGTGGCAACGATTACGCCTGGGAAGGCAAATGTCCTGGGTTCGAATCTGACCAGGACCAGTTGTTTTTCAAACAGTACTTGTTCCGGTTCAAAAATTTTTGACCTAATATTTGTGTGCTTATGTTTTGTCGTCTTAGTTGCGACGTATAAGAATCGTTCATTTTAGCTGTAAACAATTTTTAACTGTAGTTTTTTTAGCATTATAAAAATCTGACCTCTGAAAAAAGTTTTTGGTGCGAGTGTGTGTGTGCTCTGACAGGAAAATGGACTTGACATTTTTTTTATAAGTTCAGAATTTTTGAAGGGTTTTTGTCCAGATTTTTCGGCATTGTTACCGCTTGGTATTTATAAATTCAAATCCAATCAACCATCCGGCGCATCTGGCCTAGAGGTAAATCAACTGGTTATGACGGCATAGATTTGCTATTCTAATCTGGCCGGGCCCTTTTTTGCAAACTACAGTTTTTGTGCTTTTTCAGATTATTGTCCGTCTGTTTGTTTTTATCGGCTTGGTTCCCTAAGCTTGATGGTTCAGCTTTATTCCAAGATACTGTAACCACGAAGCTTGAGACGACAAAGCTAGGGAGTTCGATTCCAGTTGAGACTTGTTTTTCTTACAAACAGAAAGTTATGGCTAATTTAGATTATTGTCTATCTGCTTATTTTTGTCTGCTTTTTTCCACAGACAGGTTTTTTTTTGAAAACTTGGCTTCTCTATGGCATTCTGAAAGCTCTTTATAGAGTTTTTATTAGTGGGGGCATTTTCGCTCTGGACATTTTGGGCTTTTGTTGCAACTTTTCTTGACAAAAACGATTTTTTGAATTTTTTCCGTTTGATTTTCATAACATTCTAATTTGTATTTTAAGTGGTGCGAAGCTCAGCTTCGCCCGTTTAAAAAATTAAAACTCACTCAATTATGCAGCGTATCTGGCGTAGAGGTAACACAGGTGCTTGAGACGACAAAAGCTTGTGGTTCGAATCCTGCCGAAGCCTGTTTTTTTTTTCAAACCAAAATTAATCGTCGTTTCAAACCAAAATTTTCAAACCAAAATTAGTCGTAATCGTTTTAATCCGCTTTATTGTCAATAATAATTGGTCTGAATGATTAAATCGTTTTTAAAATTACTACGCTTGCAAGCCGTATTAAATTTTGGATTAGCAAGCCTTATCAAAATGAAATATGTACTTTTTTTCTAGTTAACAACTAGCTTGACGAAATCAGTTGAATCATTTGCTGACTATCCATCCGACTTCTTTTCACTTCTTTTTTAAAATATCTTCCAGGTTGTTTCCTCCTCAGCATGGAGGTAAATAAGATGTCTTTGTACCCTAAGGTCTGGAGTTCGAGTTGTGGCCGGAACTTATTTTTTTTTTCAGTATCAAGAAATTGAAAAAAAAGCCGAGAAAAACGAATAGTTGGTTTTTCGTTTATTCGCTCAAGTTTTGTTTAATAAATTGCCACTAAGGATTTTTTGTGCTGCAGACATTTTTACTTGTAGTTGCAAGTATTGTTCATTCTATTTTCACGGGGGACTTGAAAGAATTTTTATTAAATTTTCTCATAAAATTTTTTTTCGGTTCAAATGGTTTCAGCTCAAAGATTTTTGGCTTAATTGCCACATCACTGATTTTTCTTGTGCTGTGAACAACTTTCATTGTAGATGCAAGTGCAAGTGTTGTCCTTTGTTGTTTAAGGTGGGACTTAATTTTTTTTTATAAAATCATTTTTTTTTTCGGGTCAGTTTGTGTCTGCTCAAAGGTTTTAGGCTTTGTTTTTTTTCGTAAAATTTCTGGCATGTTTACCTGGAACGAACTTCTATCGAGACATGTGAAAATTTATATGACCTATTTGTTTTCAAAATTTTCATTGTTGTCTGCTTTTTATTTTTTTAAATGTTTGTGTTGAATTGCAAGTGGTGCGAAGCTCCGCTTCGCCCCTGTGTATTACTTTCTCCAACAGCAGAAAGAACAAGAATGCGCAGACTCGAAATTGGGCAGGGCTCTTTAAAAAGATTTTGAAGTCCAAATTTATCTGAATTTTAGTGCGGCTGGAAAAATAATCAGCAATCGTTCTAACCAGTATAATTCTAACCATTTGATGACATTTTTCAGAATAATATGCGAATCAGATACACACACACCTGCAAAGATACACACACATCTACAAACACACTCACAGACGCATACACAAACACACTTTGTTTTAATATATGTATAGAAGAGTGTATTATAGAAGAGTTTGCATAGAATTAAAGCTTAGAATTAATTGCCTTGGATATTGATTCCTTAAAAAATTGATATTTGATATATGCTCCGTTTAGCAAAATCAGCACGATTTACAATTGAAGGTATGTAAAGTATTCGTTTTTTCTGGGTTAGTAGCAGCTAGCCATGGTGTTGTGCTTTTGTACCTGGTTAATTTATCTCATTGGTGCTGGGATGATAGCATAATCCCATTCGTTGCAGCTTTCGTTCCGACCAATGAAAATGGGGAGAAACTTTGTATTCGGGTGTGTTTTAGTTTTTTGTTCTTTTTTTCCCACGCAAAATCAGCTACCGCAAATAGTCGTCGGGGAGGGTGGAGTGATATATCATATTAAGGGCTTTTCAGTCGTGATTCAAACGACATTAAAAGTTTTTTAAAATTTTTTCACAGTGTCGAGAAAAACCGGTTTGAAATTTTTGATTTTTCGTCTAATTTCGAGCTATTTAGTAAGGTAGTTAGTAATTGCAATAGCTTATTTAACCTTTGAAAATTTAGTTTTACTCAAGTAAAGGTAGTTTTTGGAGTTGTTTAGCTCAATTTTGGGAATAAAAAACTTGAAAATTCAAAAAATTTCCGCAAAAATTTTTTTTTTTCCAATTGACCTATTTTACTGTTTATCAAACATGCTCAATTTCTTATTTTTCTTGCAGATTTTTTTTATCACAACGTGCAGAAAAAATGACGCCAACTTGAGAAAACATTTTTATTTTTTCAAGACTGTGGTCGGAACTTTCTGTGCTACCTGCACAGTAACTGGCTATCCTTGTTTAGTTTTGAACTCTTTAAAAAAATTTAAATGTTCAAACTAACGTTCAAATTGAACCAACCTGTCATAATTTTTCTCGTCGACATTACAGAAAGAAAATTTCATATATCAACAACGTGAACACAAAAGAGAGAATATCTTAATTCTCAGAAGATCATGATTACATAAGGTTACAAGAGTTGGTAGAGCAACTTGAAATCATTAAATAACTACACTTAAAAATAATTAATGGGTCGGTGAGTCTGAGGTTACGATTGATCCGGTGTTAGTCATAGAAGCATTGTTACAAAACTGGCTTGCATTCAGTTTTTAATTGATACCAGATACAACAAGTAGTTTGTAGTTGATTGATAGTCCTGGAATGAATTGCTAATTATTTGGTCACTTTCAATAAAAAAATTATCTGACAGATTACTCCCTTTTCATTTATTATAGCTTTGAGATAAAAAAAAAACTAAATAGTATCTAGTTAATGGGAAATTTTGAGGTTGTTATTTTGTCTTACTTTTGCAACTGGACGATAAAATTAAAATAGAGAGCTGATTATTATAATAACTTAATGTTCCGATCAGAATTTGATTGCTATTTTGTATAACTGATTTGCGCTCCAGGAAACAGCTGGTGTGGCGATAACACCCGACTCCGTTCAGACACCTCTTCTTCGCTCGTGAGGTTCTCTGAAGACGTGTCCACTTCGGATACTGTGCAGGTGGTGGCTTCTGAGTCGGAGGACGCAGACCCGCTAGATGACTCATTGGTGTTCCATCAGGACTCTTCTCTACCGTCTCCACATGAGAAATTGGGAGAGGAGGAGGCGTACGATTTCAACATAGGGCGAGGAGGAGGTGAGGGCTCCTTTCTCTAATGCCAGCCTCCTGTGGATAATTCTTTTGTGCAAAGTAACCATTCGTTTTTGCTATGTTGCGCATGAATACCAATTAGTCGACATTCGAAACTTTTTAGTCGGACATAATTGACGCGAAAAGGTGGAAGATATACTTCAAGCAAAAGAAAATATGCGAACCGAAACTAAAACAACATTGGGCTCAAACTGGGACGTTATAAAGCTTCTTTCAGGTGCGGGTGACCACACTCTTAACTATGGTGTGGATACGATTCGGGGATCAGAGACTCTTGGAATGCAAGAGACGGACTCAGAAGAGGAGGAAGGAGAGGGAGAGGAGAACAGCAGTGGTCTGGATGCCTCTTGGGGACTCACTTCCGAGAGCAGATCTCTCATCATGGGTGGAAATGTCATGGTGTGTATGCCACCAATTGTAATGCTTAGGTTGTTTTTCTACTCTGGGACTATTTTAAAACCCAGGAAGCAAATTTGCTAATATTTTCTTTCAGGTTTACAAACGCTGAATTATATTTGGCTAATATAATTTTCTGCCATTCCTTTCTTCTGCTACGAGTGATTAACCTTTTTTTTAGCTCAGTTGAATCCTTGAACTGCATCCTGTTCTTACAGTTTAGTTAGTTGCGGTTGTGGTTATAATATGAAGAGGTTACATGTCATTTGGCCCAAAGTCAACTTGTCCCATTCCATCTTGTCCTACAACAACTTGCCCCACAAGACAACTTGTCCTATATCATCCAGATAATGATTAATTAAAACTTGTCTCAGATTCTTTGATATCCTCGTAGAACATAGTGTCGGCATTAACATGAAAGTTTTTTTCGCTGAACAATTAAGCTTGCAACAAAATGCGGATTCATTGAAACACGTTTGGAATCAAATGAGTTCAAAGCATGCATGAACAAATTGAAAGCCGCAAAATTTCAACGTAACTTTCATGTCGAGTTAACTATATCAAAAGATTTATTGCTGATTTTGGAAGCGCACTTGGCATAGATGTTAGTGCACATCACTCTTAGTCAAAAAGTAAACAGTTCAAAACTCGAAGAAGTCAAAAATTTTAATTTGAAATCATGGAACAGAAAAATGCAGGTAATGCCGCACCCCAAAACCCCTCATACTGGGTACCCAGTATGGGGGAGTGTTGAGGGTTGTGCTGGCCTCTATCACCTCCTAAAATATGGGCTCTCTACGGAGGCTAAAAGTTTTATAAAAAAATAGTTTTTTAAAATCAATTAAAATGCCGACAATTTGGATTAAGTTATGCCGACATTTTAAAATTTGCGAAAAAGTTAATTGAACAAATGAATAAAAATAATCAACAACATGGTCTTTGTTAAAATAACTGAAAAAGTATTTGATTTTAGCATGGATATCGCGTATTTTTTCCGACCCTAGTTCTGCTTCCTCCATAGCCTTTAAAACGCTAAACTTCTGATTTGTGGAGTCCTGTTGAATCCTTTGTAGAAAAGGGTAGAGGTTTGGGTGGCTCCCTTGAAAACGCCATCACTCCAGATGCCAGCCTTCAACAGCGTTTGTTGTTCGGATCAAACATACCGCAGCTTCTTCCGAATGGTTCCAGACGAAACAAGGGCTGCCTACTATTTGTCCTATTGTTTCCCCTTTGATGTAACTTCTCTGGAAGTATGACGCAACTTTGTTGATTTTATCTGCCACAAATTGCTCGAGGTCTAAGCGGTCAACCAAATGCTCGATTTCCTCAAGAACGCTCTCGAACGATTGTTCGACTAAATCAATTGGAACAAAACTTAAGGCGAGTATTGAACGAAGAGCCAGGCTTAGTTCACCATAGTTTTGATACATATTTCCGAGCCTTATTTATTTTGCATTAGCAGACGTGACAGTAACATTTTTTGATCGAAGACTCTTGATATGCATTTCCGAAAGCATTGACGGCGGCTCGTTAAAATCGAGAAGAATCGTTGATGGCTGCGCATTTTCCGAGACAGTATAAGTAGCTTTCAGGGACTTTGCATATGTTTGTTCAGTTTTGTTTGGAAGTACAGCATAAATGCAAGGTTGGTAGAAACAGTTAGTTTGTATATGTACTGTATAAATCTGGTAAAACTGCATCGGGTAACTTTGAATGTGGCAAAGCCAGAAAGAATTGTTAACTTGAAGGGCATGAGCTTTATCCCAGTCACCAAAGATTAAAATTCGTTCAAGATCCATGAATTCACTGTGGAGTTAACAAAAATCAGTATACTCCGTTTGAATTACAAAATATCAGATGGAGCCAGATTATGTTTGCGGCAGTTGAGAGTTCTATTTATTGCTGCTCGACTGAGCAAGGATTACTGAACTGTTTTTTCGTCTGATGCTTCTTGATGACAAGTGGAATTTATACTGCTATTAACAGGTACCATTTGCTGCTTGGGCTCTTTTCATTTGATGCATAATCTGGTTCGCTTCAATTTTTCTTGCTCTAACATGACGACCCTGTTCGGTTTTGGTGCATACCAGTTCATCTCCAGTTGTTACAGCGAGCATTCGGCATTTGTGTATCTCGTGCATCTCCAGTGTTCAGGTGTTTTTGTTGTCTGCTTTTTTGTGAAGTCGTATCCGTCAATAATCAGTTGATTCGTTGAGTTATTCCCCACATGATTTGACTCATAATAGTTAAGGTGTATGTTTGCAGAGAAAAGATTTAACAATGATGCAATATGAAAATATTAGTGTTCTAATTTTAGTGATATTTTGTTTTTATTTTGGTCCAAGATAAATTGAACACATGGTCCATATCTTAAGAGTCTACAGATTGCTTATATTCGGAATGTTCTAAAATACATATTTTGTTTGCCTTAGGGATGGACGCGAGAGGCAGCCTTCATCCTGTGGCGTCGGGTGCTGGGCATCATCGGGGATGTGAATGAGATCACTCATGAGGAGACGAGGGCAGCTGTGTTTAAGTACCTTCTTGAGATGCACGACATCCTGCAGAACATTGCCAATCACCAGAGTGAGTGCTATTCTTATTCAAGGTCTGGATAAGAAAATGCGATGACCAATATTTCTCTTTGAAGGTTCTTGAACGAAGTGAATGCAGATGTATAAACCGGGTTGTTTTTGATCGCTTTTCAAATAACTTTTGGTGGTTTGACTTTCGTTTGACTAAAAGTGTTGAAGTAAAGCTGATACAGCTATTTTGGATTTTTTGAAACGAAAAATTTGCAGAAGATTCATTAATCACAAACAGTTAGGCTCAAGCACTATTATCAATTTTTCAGAACACTAAAATTTTTAATTTAGTGTCGTTCAGCAGAAAAGAACTCAAATGTTTTTCAGAATTTGTTGACGAAGAGACAGGTCAGTTCTGTGTGCCTCCATACGTTCCCCCAGTTCCCATTCTCCTCCCCTGGGCAATCGGAGGATGTCGCGTGGGCACTCCTGCAGAAGGAACCTCTTTCAAGGCCTCGACAGGGACACTCTTGGCACATAAGTTGGCTATAAGGACTATTCTGAAATATCCTGCTTTGGACACGGGGGTGGTCTCCAGTTTCTACCAGATTGTTTACGAGAACTTGAAACGTTAGTTTCTTTCAAATCATTTGGAATGGCATGAACTTTGTAAACTAAATGCCTAAAATTTCTAACTATCTTTGTCGATAATTTTTTTAAACCGGGTTTAAAATACTACTCCGTAAATAGTTTGAAAAGCTTTCTACTGATGGATGCTTCACGGTGAAAAAAAGACAAATTATTTTTATTATTTTCTAAATTGCGATTTTTTGCGAAAATTAATTTAGCCAGTCTAAAGGGGGTTTTTGAAAGTTTTTAGGGCTTTGCTAAAATGATTTTTCTTCTAATTTATGAATAATCAAAGCAGTCGTTTCAGTTGATTGCTGCATGAGCCTGCAGCAGTTGTTTGTGAAAGAGTTGTTCAACATCTATGGGTGTCAACTGCCAGGCTCAATGGCGCTTCTGAAAATACTAGTGGACAATGCGTTCTCCTTTATTGCGCACTTCTACATATCACCCACGCCTAATATGGTGAGGCTTGTTTGAATTGAATTAAATATTTCAGCAGAGATCATCAAGTTTATTAACATCAAACTCTATGATGACCGAAGGTTTGGAACAGGGCCTTTGAATTGCTAGGTTTAGCTTAAAATGATAGCCTTGATTATTAGTTTCATAGAACGAATGAATTTCAGTCAGCTTTTGGCAAGTTGCTTTCTAGGGTTTAAATAGTTTTAAGTTAGGTTATAAAACTACTCAACTATTCGAGCACTTACACTACTCACAAACCAGTCGATTTCCAACCAGAAATGTTGTACCCGCCTACTCTGCGGTGCTGATTACACTAACGATCTTTAGTGAATGTTAGTGTTATACTACGATTAGTCTTTTTTTCTAATCTAAGTCGCAAATATTCATACCACTTTGGAGCACCTCTACGGCTTTTTGATAGCATTTGCTTTGACATTCGAATTGTAATAAATTAACACAGTTGAGACTTTTTAATTTCATCAAATGAACCTACAAAAGCTATTTGATTCAAACAACAACACAATAATTACCCAAGCAAAGCTTGTGTTGTAGTATGAACAAGCTTAATTTTCCCAAACGAAGTCGTAAATGTTGTTGAGACGCAAGTATTGTTGCGACAAAATGTGTTCATTTTGAAAGTGTTCACTTTGATCAATAACCAGCTGTTAAGTACAGCCAATGCTAAGGATATTAACACACTACTATATTACAAATAGCACTTTAGCTTCAAGGTATCATGGATGTTTGACATTCGAAAAGTAATAATTTGACACAGTTGATGCTTTTTAATTTCATCAATTGAACCGAAAAAAAACTATTCAAAATTGTCTATTTTTGTATTTGGTTCCACTTTTGCTAGCATATTTTGGTAGCACACGGAGCTGCTTTCTTTGTGACTAGTAATTGCCGATTGTTCAGCGCTCGTTGACGAGAGGTTGCAATTGTTCAGGTCGAATGTTCGAACCGAATATTTACTAATTGGAGGCTTATTGTTCCGACTTTCGATACGAAAGTAACGGAATATTTGTGCTCGGGGTGGGTTTTTTTTTCTTCAGACAAATTTCGACTTTTTAACTAGCCATTTTTGACGGAATTTTTTTATACCATTCGAAAGCCATTGTTGTCCTGAGCTTAAATTTGAAAAGATATTTTACCTCTGATCATTTTTCGTAAAGTTATGAGGGTTTAAAAATTGCCATTTTGACCAATTTGGGACAATTAACGCGCGATATAATTCGCGCTATTAACGCGTAAGCGGAGATTTAATCCGTCTTATAAATCGTTCCAAATTGGTTGAACGAAGCTTATTTGCCATAATTGATTTGTTACAAGGAACGAAATCTATCTTTTCGTACTTTATATGGCGTGTGGGTGGATGATTTTCATAAAAATTTTAAAATTTTAGAAAAATTTTTTTTCATTTTATTTTATTTCATTTAATTTTTTATGTTATTACTGCTGCTCCATAAACCTTAAAAGGCAGTCGGAACATTCAGGGCTTCGCCCTGATACGAGCAGTCTTGTTTCTATTTTTTCTTATTTCACCTTAAACAGCTGCTTTTTTGTCGTGTTCTCGCTAGTGTTTGCGAAGCGCAGCCTCGCATCAGAGTGGATGTGGTAAAATAGTATCAAAGAGGGGACTTATAGGTCGCCAAAGGGCCAAATCCTGAAAAAAGAGAGAACAAAACTTTCTCAGAATGTTCAGCCGAATTGCTATGGTGCAATTTATTTTTCGTCTTTCAAGCCCAAAACTTTTAGCTCATAACGATCATTCTGAATTTTTTAATTGAATCAAAAGGTACGCCAAAAAAACCCGGTCATTTGATGACAAAATTATTGGAAAGTGAGCCCCTTGTTTATGAGATAAAAAAATCTCCAAAAATTTGCTTAAAACTTCAAAATTTATTTTCAAATAAAAAAGTGATATTTTATATACTAAAAATGACATGTTTGGCCTTAAAAATGTTTGAATTATATAAAATGGAGAAGATTATACCATGCTTTAAATTTGTTGTGCTACATAAGAGGCGCACTTTTGTCACTTGGATTTAGTTTTGTCAGAAATCGATTTACATTTATATTTGTTATACATAGGGTAATTTTAATCAGCATTGTTTTTTACGTTCACTGTTTCACTTTATCCTTTTAGGAAATCAATAATTTTCAACTTGTTGAATTACAATAACAATTTCAAAATTTGACTCAGGATATTTGTGTACGCAGGATCTGGACTGTGTGGAAAAGGCTCTGCTGTTTCTGGGCTCAATTGTCTCCTTCCCAGACCACTACACCGACTGGAAGTGTCTCAAAATAGATGCAGATGTGAAAAGGGGCCAGACGGCAGTCTGTGTGTACCCGATGACTCAATTGGCCGAATCAGTGTCTGCAGCTGTGGCCACATGCTTAGCGCAGCCTGCTCTCTGTCTCAGTGCGTCGTAAGTCTGACAACTTTTAATACAAGCGACGAAAAGTAACCGTTGGGTTATAAACATCCAAAAAGTGTATTAGGTTTGAAGTTGTTTTGTCAATTATTTCTTTTTTTGGCCGCAATAAGCCAGTTTGGATCAAAATTAAGCGCAAACTCAGGATTTTACTCTCCAAAATGCCTGTTTGCAATGCCTGTTTTCTTTAACTTTTCACAGTTTTCACACTGATTGCTTCTATTTTTTCGTTGATACTGTTTCACGTCGCATGAACATTTTTTTACTCCGCTTATTAAGAGTAATGAACGTAGTGAAGAGCCTTATATAAGTCATGCTGATTTTTTTTTCAGGAAAGAGTCTTGAAATATTGATGCATTTAGGTATATATGCACTTTTTGAGTCCAATCGAAAGTCATCTGCTGAAAGTGACATAATTAGCACTCTCCAAATACAAACGTGGAAATGGCGCGAAAAAAACGTGAAGGATTTCTAGTTTTCGAAAGTTGAATTCAATGGCGTGGGATCTAGGATATTCTCAAGGGGTCGACATTTTTTTCTAGGTCAAACAAAAATTGATTTTTTTGAGCTCGCTGGAAAAACTAAAACTCTAATTTGAAAATGGGTTAATAAAACAAAAAAAAGTGTCAAACATAAATCAACATGTTCCTGAAAATCAAAGAGCTTGGACATATATTTTTTCTTGAAGTCGCAAGTTGAAGTTTCAAAAAATTGAGTCCGTTTTTTTTCTCATTCTTTGCGTTTCTTACTCTGATCCAACTCAGTTGGCTATGTTAATTAACTTGCAACAGTAATTTTGATCAGTTATGAGATAATATACTCTTTCTGTTTTTGTGTAACTTCGCTTTACACAAAATTTTCATTATTATGCAGGCGCAGGGTCTAGGATATTTTCAAGGGGTCAACATTTTTTACTAAGTTAACCAAAAAATTGATTTTTTTGAACTCGCTGAAAAAACTAGAACTCTAATTTGAAAATATTTTTGCGACATGCGATTTTTGAAAAGACGAAAGTCTTGACCAAAAAGTTGGCATTTTTTCACTCCACTCCCCCCTCACGATTAGTTTAAAATGACGCCAAAAGCGCCCTCAGAAAGTTTTTAGGGTCGGTCAGTATAAAGGGGCGCCTAGTTCTGCTACTAGGCGCCCCTTTATGTTACTCAATGAGCAGTCGTGGTCAAGTGGGTTAGGCACATCTCTCTTAACACGAGGGTCATGCGTTCGAATCCCGCTTCGGTCACGGCTAGAGGGGTCCCAGTGTCATCCGCCTCCTCAAGGTGGGACCGGCTGCGGCAAAATGGATGACATCTCCCCGTCCCCCACGGTTGGTCCTGCACTGAGCAGGCCGGGGCTAATAAAAAAAAACTGGAGAACTTAATTTGGCGAAATTACTGACTATTTGGTATTTATGTCATTCGGAAAATTGACCTATTTGCCCTTTGAAATCTGAAAAATCTTGAATATATTTTTTCTCAATTGTCCTTGATTGCAAAGAGTTGTTTTGAATCATGTTTTTTTTTAGTATTTAAATGAATTCTTGAAGTTTTTCAAGTAGGAATGAACCATGTGAGCTCTCTCCCGTTCAGGTCGTGTGTTTTCTTTCTCTAAACTTTGATGTAAAATGCTTCAATGTTTACATAATTAGCACTCTCCAATTACAAACGTGGAAATGGCGCGGAAAAAACGTTAACGATTTTTAGTTTTGAAAGTTGAATTCAATGTTTAGATTTCCAGCGGAATAGAAAGTTTGCCTCTTGATCCATTTTTCACTAGTTGGTTTCATGTTATCAAAAAACTGCCAAAATAGTTTGTTCTAGAAGATCAAAAAGCTTAAAGGCGTCTATTTTTTTGACATTGGAAAGCTTAGATTTTTTTCAAGAAAGTCAGTGTTTTTTTAGGTTAACTTGCGTTCATTACTTGTTTTTAATCTTCGAGTGGCTATGTTTCACGAAAGAGTTTACTTAGATGCAAAACTTGCTGCAATTGAGGAAAACTAGAGTTTTCAGACACGGATTACCTTTGAAAGTCATTGAAACCAAATACTGATAGCTTCATAGAGCTAAGCTTTGATTATTTTCTCTTGGTCTAAGCAAAAATTTTACTGAATTTTGAAGGAAAGGTTGTTCAAAATGGACATTGAAAACAGGCATTTTAGAGAGTAAAATCCTGAATTTGCGCCTAGTTTTGTTCACTAGTGTAAGTGTTCTTTTTCGAAGCCTATCGTTTATCATGTCTCAAATATTATGATAACCAAATGGAATTGAAGCAAAGTATTTACCCGAACGGCATAAGCTCTGTGCATCAATTACAACGATATTTATCTTGAGAGAATTATTTGGTGAATAAGATGTGATAAGTAGTTTCGATGTTAATTCAAATGTTAACTCACACTTTTATTCATCCATAAAGCTTACTGGTATTCAACTGTTTCTTGTGAGAGTTTTTTCCTGCAAAATTTTCTTTCAGATCTTGTTATATATTTTTACCAGTTTATCCGTCAGAATTTTAAAAAATAATTTAACAAGATCTGACAGAAAATTTTGCAGGAAAAAAACTCTCACAAGAAACAGTTGAATACCAGTAAGCTTTATTGATGAATAAAAGTGTGAGTTAACATTTGAATTAACATCTAAACTACTTATCACATCTTATTCACCAAATAATTGTCTCAAAAAAATATCGTTGTAATTGATGTACAGAGCTTATGCCGTTTGGATAAATTTTTTGCTTCAATTCCATTCTCCTAGGATATTCTTAAGGTGTCAATTTGGGATATTAAAACAGTCTATTGTATTACAAATAGCTCTTTAGCTTCAAGGTATCATGGTTCTGTAGCGTAGAGGTAGGGAAGGAAACCCGCAACAAAATAAAAGGATTGGAACCTGGGCAGGGTCGGATGTTTTTAATGAACTTTTTCGTATACAAGTTAAAATGCGCCCTCTCTATAAATTGAGGCTTCTTAGTTGGTAAATTTTTTTTTCAAATTGACTGTTATTGCTAATGCATTATAAATGGCTTGCGTCTTTTAGCAATTATGAAGACTCATAACTGGCGTGTGTCACTTAAGAAATTTTGTATATTCAAAGTTTTACCCATTCAGTCTTTCCCAGTAGCGTTGTCGGTCATATTTTTGCTTTTGTATGCGAAGTGCAACTTCGCCTCTGTGTTCAAGTTCACTTCGTTTCCCTTTTTAAAGAGAGGGCAAACTGCACTATCGAACAGCTAAAATTTGAAGGTCAGAAAATGTGTAATCGAATTTTAATTTCGAAAATGAAATATAATTATCAAATTACCGGTACCCAGCGAAATAACATTTTAAAGTATTGATCCCGTTTTTTGAAAATGGGTTAATAAAACAAAAAAAGAGCTTGGACATATATTTTCTCTTGAAGTCGCAAGTTGAAGTTTCAAAAAATTGAGTCCGTTTTTTTTCTCTTTCTTTGCGTTTCTTACTCTGATCCAACTCAGTTGGCTATGTTAATTAACTTGCAACAATAATTTTGATCAGTTATGAGATAATATACTCTTTCTGTTTTTGTGTAACTTCGCTCTACACAAAATTTTCATTATTATGCAGGCGCAGGATCTAGGATATTTTCAAGGGGTCAACATTTTTACTAGGTTAACCAAAAAATTGATTTTTTTGAACTCGCTGAAAAAACTAGAACTCTAATTTGAAAATATTTTTGCGACATGCGATTTTTGAAAAAACGAAAGTTTTGACCCATTTTTTCACTTCACTCCCTCCTCACGATTAGTTTAAAATGACGCCAAAAGCGCCCTCAGAAAGTTTTTAGGGTCGGTCAGTATAAAAATGCGCCTAGTTCTGCTACTGGGGAACCTAATTCGGCAAAATTAGTTCCTGATTATTTGGTATTTATGTCATATAGAAAATTGACCTATTTGCACTTTGAAATCTAAACAAACCTTGAATATATTTTTTCTCAATTGTCATTGAATGCAAAGATTGTTTTTGAATCATATTTTTTAGTGTTTTCTTTCTCCAAACTTTTTTTTCTCTAAGCTTTCTCTAAACTTCGATGTAAAATGCTTCAATGTTAGCTTTTTCAAGCAACAGTTTATTTTTGAACAGTTAAAAATCGTGACAATAGAAATTGTTTTTTTTTTCTGGGCCAAAGGTGTACTTAATTAATTATGAATTAAATGTTTTTTCCTTTAATTAGACAAACGAAGCGTAGTGTATTAATACAAATAATTTTCTCTAAATTAAGTCACAATTGAAAGTGCTCATTTGGTGGCACATTTGGTATATTTCAATTTTATCCTTTTTTAGCTTATGTGAGCATTACTCATTTAATGGCGTATGTTGTTGCTTTATTTTTGGCTGTTGTTAGTTTCTGTTTTGGAAAAATAAACATGTATTCTGAACATTTAAGGAAATTGTTGTTTTTAGTTTTTTTTTCAACGCTTTGGAAAATTTCTGATTTTTTTCGCAATAATTTTGATTTTACTCAAACACTACTGTACCTTTTTTCAAATAAATTTTACCAATGGAAAAACTGGCTGCTCCTCTTTCGCTAGCCTTTTTTCATTTTACGTCCTGTTGTACGGCCGTCGAAAGTTTAAGTTGGGGATTTTCTTTTTCTTAAATTTTAAATGTTAAATGGACAAATCTTAGATGAAGGTTTCAATCAAAAGATCAAAGTTATGAGGATATCCCCTTTTCGAGTGGCTATTCCCTAATTTTGACAGAAAAAAGTTATGGCGTCAAACAAGCGCATTTTTTGACATTTCAATTAATTTTTTTTAACTTTTCTCAAACACTCCTCTATCAAATTGGAGATCAAGGCTTGAATGAAAAGAAAAAAACAGCTATGCGAATCTTTTTTGCGCAGGCAGCTATGCACTACTATTTGAAGAAAAATATGGTCTTAGTAAACGTCCAATGTTTGAAATTTGCCGTTTTTCGGGAAAGTTCTTTTTTGTTGCAAAAACTAACCTGCTGATTCTCAGGTTGATTCTTCATTAGAACCAACATAGCGCTGAAGTTTTTTGCTTGAACTATTTTACTCTGTGTGTTTGTAGAGGATCTTTTGTTGATTATTTTTTCAGTTTGTGCAGTTTTTTTAATAGAAATTTTGTCACTATTCTCAAACTATTAGCTAAATCTGATATTAAGGGTTCAATCTAAAATATCAGGGTGCGCAAATTCTCAATCTAAAAATCAGAGTTGTGGAAATAATAGGCTATTTTCATTTTGTAATAGAAAAATTTTTATAAATTTAAGAACAGTCCAATTTTTGAATGTTTGATAGATTTTTAGAATTTTTTTTCGAAAACTACCCAGCCAAATCTGAAATAAAGTCTTCAATTGAAAAGCAAGCAGTAGTTATCTCCTTTCAGTGAGCGGCTAATCTTCGACCTAGGTAGAGAAACACTAGGGCTTAGCGTAAATACCATTTTTTTTGAAATTTGGATACACATTTCCGTATCAGTACAACAAATGGTTAAAATTATTAGAACAGGAAGATCCAGCATTAGCTGGGCCAGTAGCTTACTTCAAAGCGACAGTGGCGCAGATACCTGAACAGAAAATTTCTAATCGACAGATCGCAAATCAAATCCGGAATGTTAAAATAGTTTTTTTTGTTCGAATTTTTGCTGCATAACGTTGAAAATTTGATAAACTTTTGCTGCTTTGTTTATGACTAGTACTTGTAAAATTACAAGTGATCATGGTGGAGCAGATGTGAGGTGAGTATAGCATCAATTTATTTAATAGTATACAATTTATTTAATATATATCTTTTCTGATATTTTTTCTCATAGTTAAATAGTTTGGTGCAAAAAAAAACGAGACTGGAATAACTTGAATTTTCTCATAAATGGCAAATCATAACGAAACATAATATAATACAGAATAGGCAAGAAAAATGGCTACAACCCAGTACGACTAAGCAGGGATTTGCTTTCCATGGCAACGACTAACATTTAACAGTCTGCTTGGAATTGACTTCATTAACTTTAACCTCATTTGCGCAGTCACTTCATCTTGGCATTCGATTATATCTCCTCAACTCTTCGATATTTGTGGAAGATTTTTTCCACAACAATTTTGCGAATGTTTCAACCATTTTCAATGGGTGATAGCTCAGTTTGGCGGCCATTGCAAAATATGGAAATGATTGTCCTCCTCCAGTTTTTAGTAAATTTTGACGTGTGTGGGCGAGCACCGTCTTGCTGCAAGATCCAGACCTCTAGAAAAAGTGCGTCAGCGTACGGAAAAATTACCGCAGGATTTGACAATATTTAGGCACATTCATTTTTCCTGGGCCATCGACTATTTTACGATAGAATCCTCGGACTGAAATTGCTCCCCACACCATCACTTTCTTTGGGAGCTGAAATTGTTGATATTTTGCCATTTTTTGAACACCAGACTGTCAGTTTGTTTCTGTGCATCTGGAATATGCTTTCATTGGTTATTCACACTTCATCGAAGCCATAGTTTCCAATTTTCCGCAAAAATGTTTCGTTTCCTCATGGATGGTGGTTATTCCCAGAGTTTTTCTAGGGATTTTCTTCAAAATGTTACTTCTTTTTTATGTACGCTGAACCGTGGTTTTGTGTACAATTATGCCATCCTCGGGGTTAGGTCTTAGCGCAATTTTCTGAGCGGAAATATACGGATTTCTTAAAGCTATTGAGGCAGTTTTTTTCAACAAATTACCAGCTATTTTTCGAGGTCTTCCATTTCCCTTTTTCCGATCAAGGGGTTTTCTTTCACGTATCTTTTTTAGTTTTCGGTAGTAGATGGACCTTTATATCTGCAAAGAACTGTACAAAAACTAATCTTCGTTTGTTGCTGGCATAGCTAACTCTTGAGGTCAATGTTTAAAAGTTGAGTTAGAACTAATGCGCAACAGTTTACCCCATGTAGTATGAACAGATATTAAAATTATACCGCCAATTTTTATATCATATGCAAGCGAAGGAATAGTTGAACAATTCTTGTTAAGCAATTGCTCTACCAAAATCAACGGAAGAGGAGCTAGGGGAATTTTTAAAATGAAACTAAAGTTTTTGCACCTCACATTAGTTTTTTCTAGTTCATCTTTTTGAGTTCTTTGACGTTTTTTCATTTGTCTATTTTCCCGTCTCAAGCAAAAGAAATACCATTTTAAAAAGTTCTTCAATTGCTTGTGTACACAAACGGCTATTGAGCGTAGTTTTAAATTACAAATGTACTTTTTTCCAACGCAACTTGCTCATGAAAGTGAATCATTTAGCAGAACCTTTGTTGCATATTATTAGCAGTTTAATTGCATTTTTTTCGTGGCTAGTTTTTCTAGATTTTAAGCGGCATGGCACAGATGCTAGGACGTGCCGCCCATAAATTCTAGAGTGGTGCGATTCCGGCACATGCAATAATTTTATGATGCTTATTTTCATTCCTCTCTTCTTGTTTTGCATTTTGAGAATATTCTTGGGCGTTTTCTCCCTTGTTTTTGTTAAGTCAGTTTCGTCTGTGCCAATTTTTGCAAATGCCACAAAAAATCTGTGTTGAAACATTTTTCTCTTCTTCACACCCAAATTTTGTGAAGAGCCAAACAAACCGTTGTAGAGCCGTTGAAGAGCCAAACAGTTATGGTTACATAAAAGTTACTTTTTTTCCAAGTTTTTGGCACTTTTAAACTGTCTGTGATTAAAGTTCTTCCCATTAGAGTGAAAAAATTCCATGATTCAGTTGTGTCAAATTGCGCTAGTTCTATCTACAAAATTTCAATCATAATAGATTCTGGAAATTCACTATTTTTTTGGATATATGTTTTTATATATGGATCGACTATCATGCGCTCGTTACTTTTTTTCATATTGATCTATATTATTTCAGTGTCTACCTTCTACGGCAGTTTTTATCTAAGTAACCTCATCATCATTTAGTTTTCTTTGCTAATTGTTCACCTCGGGCCTCGTTGTTGATAAAAAACTGTACTTATGAAAAATATTCTTTTAAATTCTATGCAACTGCGATATTCATTTTATCAGCAAGAAATTCATCGAAGTTACTTTTTGTCACAATTTTTGATGAGTCATCAGGAATTGAAAGAGGCAACTTTCACCATCATTCCGCCAAATGACTCATCATTAACTTCGCCCTCTCCGGCGCCAGATTCTGCTGCAGCCGGAGCCCAAAAATCTGAATTTCCTGCTGTTCCTCTAAAATTAGCCGCTGCACCAGCTAATCCGGAACTTGATCCCTGTGCCTGGTTGTTAGATGCCGTATCACTGCATTCTCGACAACTGCATTGCGTAATTACGGTGTAATCGTAAGTCTGGGGTCCGGGTGAAATATAACCAGGTCTGTAACAGTTGATCAAAGTAGTCAGAGTCTTCCAGTCGCTGCCCTGGCAACACTCGCATCTTTTGAATTCGCCCCCATTAACTAACAGTACACTAGCACTGGCACACACTCCGAAACAGGCCGAGTGGATTATAGGTCCAACAGTGTCACATTTTAAGTTGTTGTATTCGAATCCTACTATTTCTTGGTGTTCGAACACAGGAGTGCAGCCTTGGCTTGGTCTGGTTATGCATTTGGGACAGCAGTCGTTCTCTGCCTGCGACAACACCTGGTCCTCTCCGCACCCGAGTCTCGGACATGAACTAGGACTAGGACAATTAGCTATTCCACTTGCTGAGGGGCTTTGAGGTATGCAAAATCTACATGACAGTTCGCAATTCTTTCGCATGTATTGATAGTACTGGTTTTGTGAGTCACAGAAACCACGGTTTTCGTATTGGTCGCAGTATTCGTCTTTGTCTTCACATTGGACTGGAGGAGTATTTTCTCCATTTGGTGTCGGTACAGGTGCTGTTCCAGATCCGGTTTCCGATCCTGATCCCGCATTTTGAAAGTTAGTTCCACTTCCAGTCCAAGAAGATTGACCATTTCCTCCAGAAGTTCCGCTACTGCTACCGTGCCATCCGCCAAACCTGGCAAATGGGTCTTCGTTTCCACTTTGTCCCATGCACACTATTGTAAAGTGCAACAAAAATAGAATATTGCGAGTCATTGAATTCATAGAAGGTTCCGTTGCTTGTTGATAGTTTTTAAAAAATTGAGATGTTCTTGAGGCTTCAAAATGACCTAGAAATTGGAAATGAGTTTTCAAAATGCATTCCGAACATCCAAAGGAGCATTGAAAACCGGTTACAATTTTTTCGAGATGTCTATAATTAGTAGCAAAAAGTTCGGACAGACGGAATTAATTAAAATGAACAATCAGTGCTTTTTGACGGTCTTTTGCATGCAAAATCTGAAGCCGAACAACCTTGAATTTTTTGTCAGACCAAATTCAAAATGCGAGATCGTCGATTATCTGATGATCATGCTAGCCTAATTTTTAAAGACTGCGATGAACATCCAGATTTTACTATAAATTATTTCGACGCTTCGGATGCAATTGAACGCCTTGGCTATAGGTTTTGAGCGAAACTCGGATCTACTTAACAATCTCCTCCCCTTGTTGTATTTACTAAAGAATCTCTACCCCTGTAAATGAAAACAGTAGTAAGTTCGCACTAGAGCATTGTATGTCAGCTCGAATTTTGCTGCATTCTGATTGGTCGAAATTTCGCTGCAAGTAATCTTATTAACGATCTCTTCCCCTTTGAAAGGGGGATTGTTAAGTAGATCCCGTAACTCTGCTTTATGAACTTCCGAAGTTATGTTTATTTCAGTTTTAATTTCCGTTGATGTCTAGACAGTAGCTCTTTTTAATTAATTCTGTCTGTCCGAACTTTTTGCAACTCTCTATACATTGAATAACTTCTATAGAGAGTTGCCAAAAAATTGGAACAGACAGAATTAATTAAAAATACCAAAAGACCTATTTCAAAAAACTTTTGCATGCTAAAGCTAATTTTTCAGACAGAAAATATGACTCAAGGTCAACTAAAAACTCGAATTTGCTCGCAAAATTTGCTCAAAATTGACAAATTGCTCTTTTTAGTTATTTTTGCCTGTTCCAACTTTTTGCTGCTAATTATAGGCCGAAAATACTAGTTTTTGAGCTGCCACACCTTTTCTAGAGCATTAAAGTTGAAACAGCTGTAAGAAAGACAAAAAGCAATTTCAGGGAATTTTTTTTATATATTTATAGCTTCTAGCTCAGAATTTTTCTTAAATTTTTAGATGTTTTCCGACAAACTTTTCATGAAGTATATAATAAGTAGCAAAACGTTGGATAGACTGAATTGATTTACAAGAGCAAATGTCCGAGAGCAACTGTCCAATTGATTTACAAGAGCAAATTTACAAGACCTATTTCAGAAATTTGTGCATGCAGAAGCTAGTTTTTGAGACAAAAATTATAGCTCAAGATAGCTTGAAAATTTTGCATTAAAATTGTCAGGTTGCTCTTTTAAATTAATTTTGCCTGTTAAAACATTTTGCAATTTGCTATATACTTGAATGCGTGGAGTTACCATTTCACAACAATCAACATAAGTTTCTAACCTATACGTTTGAATACAAAGAGCAGTTGAAGTTGTTTAAGTAGTTGAAGTTTTCAGGCAGAACTCCTTATTCAATGACACCTGACACCTAAATTTCAGACAAAGAAAACTTCTTGGCCATGTTTTAAACAGGTGGCGTCCCTCATGCTTGAAGGACCGAATGCTTGAAATTTATTCTAGTTTACTTTCAGCCAATCAGAATTGAGTATTCAAAATCTCAAAGTAAATCGCGAAAACCTAAAAGTAAGAAAATAAATCCAGGCCATTAGGCTTAATATTGACCGATTAGATAATAAGCAGATGAGTTTTCAAGACTGAAAAATTCTTATAATTTTGACCTCATTAATCTTGATGATTATCGGAATAGTATTGCGGTTGTAACCCGCAATTTGTAATATTTTTGATTATTTGCCACTGATTTAATACAATTTCTGTTAATATTAACTTGGATTTTATGAGAATGGCATAGAAACGCTTAGCGATTTGATTGGCTAAAATTTTTCAAGCATTCGGTCCTTCAAGCATGAGAACCCTTCCCTTTTAAACACTTTGGACCAATAAAGCGATTTGCGATTCACACAGGCTTTGACTCTGATGTAGTATATCAGCGTAAAATCTGTCTTCAGAACAAAAATAAGCGTCAGATAGTTGGGTCTCTGACAAAAGCAAGTGGAAGAAGAGTCCTCCAAGTTTGTTTACGCAAGCATAGCTTGCGTGTTATAGTATGAGCTCTCTTTTTTCCAACCTAAGTTGCAAATATAGTTGCGATTCAATTGTTGCGACAAAATAACCAGCTATTAAGTACAGCCAATGCTAAGGATTTTACCACAGACTATTGTATTACAAATCGCACTTAAGCTTCAAGGTATCATGGATCTGTGGCGTAGAAGTAGGGAAAAAGACCAGCCACAAATTAAGAGGGTTCGAACCTGGGCAGTGTCGGATGTTTTTAATGAATTTTTCGTATACAAGTTAAGATGCGTCCGTTCTGTAAATTGAGGCATGTTAGTTGGCAAAGTTTTTTTTTTCAAAATGACTGGTACGGCTAATACGTCATAATTGGCTGGTGTCGTTTAGCAATTATGTAGACTCATATTTGGCGTGCGTCACTTAAGAAGTTTTGTTTTTGAAACGAGTTTAGCATCCCAAAGCTCTTTATTGACTTTTAAGAAGAGTAGCCTCAAAGTGATGTGGATTCATGCTTTTTTGACGCGATCCAAGTGTGATTTTTTTTCGCGTATGAGGGATTCCACCGCTCACTATTTGTTTTGTTTTACATAATGGGGTTACTTCCACGCGCGGATCTAGGAATTTCTCGAGGGGGGGGGGGGGGCGGATTTTCAAAATTGTTTTTTTTAGATCGACCAAATTGATTTTCTGAGCTCTCGAAAACACCTATAAAGACCCTGTTTTGAAAAACAGGCCAAAAATAGCGTTTTTAGGCACTTTTTGGAAAATTTCGACCAAAAAATCGCGTTTTTTTGGCGCGCGCTCCCCCCTCAAAATTAATATAGATTGGCGCCTTTAGAAAAGTTTTAAGGTCAGTCAGACAAAAATGGATATCTCAAAACAGTACAATGGGGGGACCCTTGGGGTCGGCAGCGGGTCGAATCAGGGGCGGATCTAGGATTTTTTGAGGAGGGGGCGGATTTTCGAAAAATTTTCGAACATTTTGACGACCTTTTTTGTTTACTCACGAAAGAACCCAAGAACCCACCAAGACTCATGAAAGAAACCCTCCAAACACGATATGAAGAAAGATACATTGAACCTCTACTCGACAGCAATAGACCTCTAATCGAAAAGAAGTACAGAAACCTGCTAAAAACGATCCACACAAATGAGGTACGCGACGCCTTACAAACCTACGAATACCCAGCAGTCCTCGGAGACAATCCACCAAAAATTGCCAAAGAAGAAACCGAATTACCAAGAACAACAAGAAGAACACTGGCACAGCTCAGATCCGGCTACTCAAAGTTCCTGAACTCGTACATGAACAGAATTGACCAGACAGTAAGCGAACTTTGCCCGGACTGCGAGCAAACAAGCCACACAACTATACACCTGTTCGACTGCATCGCAAATCCTACGAACTTAACCCCAGCCGATCTCTGGAAGCAACCGAAGAAGACAGCAATATTCCTGAAACTCCCCACAACCCTGGACCCAACAACGAGCGACGAATAGATCTCAGAAGGGCAACAACAACAACAACAACCTTTTTTGTTTTTTTTAGGTCGACCAATTTGATTTTTTTCCGAGCTCTCCTAAAGCACTAAATAGTCCTCCCTGTTTTGGCCAAAATTTCTGCGCCGCAGGCTTATTTTTGAAAAAAAAAACAGGTCAAAAAAGCCGTTTTTAGGCTTTTTTTTTGAAAAATTTGACAAAAAAATTGCGTTTTTTTTGGCGCATGCTCCCCCTCAAAGTTAGTATACATTGGCGCCAAAGGCGCCTTTAGAAAATTTTAGGGTCAGTCGGCAAAAATGGATTTCTTAAAAAGTACCAAAGGGGGGACCCTTTGGGTCGGCAGGGGATCGAGTCCCTGAGGGGGGGTCCGCCCCCCCTAAATCTGCCCCTGGGTCGAATCCCTGAGGGAGGCGTCCGCCCCCCCCCCCACCCCCTCCCCTAAATCCGCTACTGGTTACGTCATCCCTAAATTATGGCCATAATCGAAGGCAGTTCCATACATAGTTGCCAACCTTTGTCCTTTCCCTCCATTATTTAGGGCCATAATGGGCCCCTACCATTATTTTTGTGGAAGCCCTCGTTGTGCGGAATTACTTACTAGTAAGTAAAATAAGGCTTATTGTAATTACTAGTAAGTTGAACCAAAATGAAATTTTTGAAAGAAATGAGGCTCAATTATCAGTCGAAAGAGCAGATAAACTTGTTTTCATATAGGCTCTTTTTCCTTTCCCCCCCCCCACCAGCGAAATTTTAAAAGTAAAATTTTGTTCACATCATCGGATTGTTACAAAAATTGGTATGCGGACTAATTAGGCTATGACAAACATATTTGGTCTTCATACGTAACCTTGTAAAACCCCTCGTTACTTCATAAAATTGATGTATATGTGAGGTGGGGGGAAAAGGAAAAAGAGCCTTCATATACTGCAACGCTGCTTTACTTAATAATGATTCTTCATAATTCATAATATGATTCTTCATAATGATTATTTAGCGGATTTTGAGCTTGTGTAAAATGTCTTCATACTTGGTAGTTTTCAAGCAGACCCTGAATTTTTGAAACTTAGTAAGTAAAAGTAACTTACTAGTAAAAAAGTGGTAATATACTTGACTTACTAGTAAGTGAATTTTACTTACTAGTAACTGCACAACCCTAGCTGCGAAACTGGAAAAAGGCCCCTGTATATTCGATTCTGTCCTTCCTTAATCGTGTTAATAAATGTTAGAAAAATAACTTGACAAAAAAATTAATGGTCCCAGAGAGGCTCGAACTCTCGACCCTCGCGTTATTAGCACGATGCTCTAACCGACTGAGCTATGGAACCTTATAAATCAATTGTAGCTTCAGTTTATAGAATGCGTTGCGTTGAATGAGGCAAAACACTCTGATGCAATAATGCGAAAATGCATATTCTAGAATATTCTATGGAACAATGTTGATTTTCTGTATTTACAATTTTCGAGTTTTTTTCGTCCAAGTTCTAGAACATTCGAAGCAAGATTATATAAATGTAATTACTTATAATCCTTATCATTAATCTTACATTTCATGTTGAAAAGCTTTAAACTGTTCTGCAGCTGAACTTAAAGTTAATTGAAAAAGACTAAACTGTCGAAGAATATGCTTCTGCCAAAAATTTACGCAACAGATGATCTATTTTCGTGTTCTGGGCCTTTCCAACTTTTGAAGCGGAGGCCCCTTGCATATGTTTTGCCGTACCCCGAACGAAGAAAAGTCGCTAAAATTACTCTGGCTCCCGCTATAAGCCCGTCGAAAACCAGAAAGCCTAGTCTACGATGCAAAAACTGCGACGAAGTCCGCCGATCACTGAAAAAACATCAAACAAACAAGAAGACATTTGACGTTGAACAGAAAAAGGAGCAATTAACTAGAAGGCCAGAAACAGCTTCGGTGCTGGGAAAACTGACGAAAATGGGAAACAAGTTGACGAGAGAGGAGCTGGAACTTCTAGGAATGAAAGAGGAGTCAAGCTCAAATTGGATCTGCTCAACGAAGATCGAAGGAATGGACCCTGAGAGGACAAAAATAACCTTAGACGAAAGGAAAAGGACGGTTCTCTTGGAGGGCTCCGCAGAGTGGAAGAGCAACGATGAATCCAGCTTCAGCTCCACGACCTTCTCGAGGATCTTGAGGGTTCCTGGGGATGTCAAGTTGGAATCCTTGGCGTCGAAGATGCTTCCGAGTGGCAAATTGGTTTTGGTAGCGGAAAGAAACATAAATGAAAAACTGTCCTCACAAATCGAGAAGGAAACTTCTGAAATTGCAAAGAAAACGCCAGCTTGGGGCTCCGAAACTTTGGCAGCTAATGACTCAGACAGGAGATCAGACGAGAATAAGAATAGTGAAGAGACGAATGAGAAGCAGATGGATACTGATGGGTCGCCGAATTTGAAAGGAAGCCGAGAGAACGAGAGCTCATCGGAAGACGAAGAAAAGGACAACGAGGAGGAAGATCGTGATGTAATTCCGCTGTTTACAGTCGATGACTCTATTTCGGATGAGGCAAATGGCGGCGAAGTAGCCGAAGTTGAAATGGCCGAAAACGAAGAAGCAGACCGAGAAAGTGCCTCGGGACACACGTGGTTAGACGTCGAGGATAAAGACGTCTCGGAAACCACTGCGATGAAGACTAACGAATTAGAACTCGCGAAAGAACCTTCGCTAGTAGAAATTATTCTCATAAAGAAGCCAATCGGCAATGAATGGCCGAATTTAAGCTGATTCGCAAACTGGAAAAACTGACGAGATGTTTTGTGATTTTAAGTTATAGTTTGAATTATAAATTGATGTTTCTTGTCGATTTATTGTAGCAATATATATTTGTGATGATTCAATTTATTTTTAAATTTTCGCAATTTTTTGTGTTATGTGCATTAGGTGGGTGTTTTCTCGAATATCAAATTGCACTCGGCGCTTGCCCTGAAAATAAATTGAAATTAATTTTTACCTAAAACGAGTTGGCCTTCTAATTAATTAGATCTACGACGTATTCACAGGGGATCTGCTCACCTTTTGAGGACCGGTCAATCTTCATTGTACTTAACCTAAAATATGGAGCAAAGCAGCCGTTAATACCCGCATCCAGTTTCAAGCGTTAATAATCGATTATATTACGATTTTAGTACAAGTCTCTCTAAAATTGAGAAACAATCGATTTTAATCAATTAATAATCAATTATAAGGCTCTTTTCCAGTCCCCCTTTCAAATTCATTTTTGAAAACCTTAATTAACGTTGTCATAATGCAATGAAAATTGGCGTGGTGAACAAATTGACAATTATGAACAGATTTGTTCTTCATAATTTACAATCTCTCGATTATAGTCTCTCTTTTTAAAATCAAATTATAATTAATTATAATCCATTATAATCGATGATAACGATTTTTCGATACAATTATAATTGATTATAATCCATTATTTTTATTCAAATTTCTATTTCATTAGTTTTGCACAAAAATCCATTATAAGCGATTATAATTGATTATAATCCCTTTTGTTTGTCCATTTTTGTCTTCGAAGTTGCATCTAAATTGCTTATATTTTATGCTTTTTGTAGACTAGACGTTGGTTCCTATAAAAAATGAGACAAATATTTTAAAAGTTTTCCAATTAATTAAAATTTATAAGTTTTTTTCATTTTTTCCCAATTAGAGTTGTTTTGTGATGCATATTTTAAGCTTTTTGAAACACCAAAACATCAGCAAATTGATTTAGTTTCATGATTGATTCGGAAAATTTATTTTTCATCTACCGCTAGAACCATTCCACTCATATGAAAGGATCTCTATGAAACTTTTGTTTCGTGGTAAAACTTTGTCTTCAGATGATCCAAAGTGTTCAAGAGATCTCTCTTTTTAGAGATTTTCTTTTTGACACAAAAATAATAACCCATAAGATATAATTCGAATATAGAAAAATTTCGGCAAAATAAGAGTTTATAATCGATTATAATTGATTTTAAGGGTTTTTAGTAAGAACTACAATCAATTATAATCGATTATAAAAGATTATAGTCTCTTGGAAAATATCACGATTATAATCAATTATAAATCCCTTAAAGACCTAATTTTGGTAATTATAATTGATTATAATTGTCAAAAAATCATCATAATAATCCGTTATAATCAATTTTTTACGCCTAAACTTGGATGCGGGTAGTGTTAAAACATAGTTTAAAGTTTCCGCTGTGCTTCGACAGAAATAAAACTCAATGTATGCTCAAAATTGAAATCATGAATGCTGTCAGAAAAATACTTTTTTGAACATCTTCTGTGTTAGCCTTTCTACTGAAAAAAGATTATTAGACGTTGTGTATTTTGGTTTGCTTAATTTCCTGATTTAGTTCATCGAACAACAAATGAAGTGCATATTTATATTAAGACAAACTTTTTATGTTGATATTTAATTATAAATTTTATGGATAAATATTTTTTAGTTTGTAGTGTATTTCAAAAGCAAGGAATCATAGTTCTCTCAAATCCACGCGAGTTGGTCGAGTGCGATTGCCTCGTTGTTTAAACACACAATCTGGGATACTTGTCATCGGGCACCAGGCCGTGCTTGCACCTTTTGTTGTACTTCTGGGTTGTCTCGAATGGTTTCTGCCCTTGCCAGTTGCCACCTGGTCCGTACCTGAAGAAACTTGTTAATGTAAGAGTAGCCCTGATCAAGAACAGATCTCAGAATTTCGCCGGGGGGGGGGGGGGGGGGGGTTATTCGGAAAATATTTTCGTCCACCTTTTTTTTAAATCGACCAAATGGATTATCCGAGCTCTGCCAAAACACTACGATAACTCTTGCGAAAATTTTGCCCGGCAGGCAAAATTTAAAAATTAGATGCCAAAAACAACAGTTTAGGTTACTTAACTCATTTCATATTGATTGATAAGTCACTATTACACTTGCGAACTTATGTGAGGGTTAGTGTAATAGTACGACTATGCTGTTTTTTTTCTAATCTAAGTCGCAAATATTGGTGCCACTTTGGTGGCGCCTTTACGGCTTTTTGATATCATGAGCTTTGACATTCGAATAACAGTTATTTAACACAATTGACGCATTTTTAATTCATCAATTGCACCGAAAAAAGTTATTTGTTTCAAACAAAATAACAATAATAAAAACTCGATTTCAGAAATTTTGTAATTCATGATATGTCACAATTTTTTGAAATGCAAAATTTGGCTCTTTTCCAGTCCTTCCATTTTATTTTTTCTGAAATTCAATGTATTAAAGTCTAAATAAAATTACTTTTCCTAACTGCATCAAAACGTGTCAGCGTGAACAGCTGAACAAATTTTTTTCAGTTTTGTAACTTTTTGAGGGGTGGGAAACTGGAAATGAGCCTATAGTTTATACAATATGGCTTTATGCTCTCCAATTTATTTCATGCAAAGTTAGTTTGGGTGCCTTCAGTTTGTTTTATTCCGAAATATTACTCGCAAAATTGAGTCAATCTGTGTTTGGTACCACTTTTGCTGCATCGCATGGGAAATTTATCAGCACGCAGCTGCTTTATTTGTGATTAGTATTTTGCCGATTGTTCAGAGTTTGTGGCCGAGAGGGCAGGGCGCGAGACTCCAATTCTCGAGGTCGCATGTTCGAAGCCAATACATAGGAAAGTTTTAGTAATTCGAGGCTTATTTCTATTTCTTATTTGACCCTAAAAGCTGCTTTTTTGTCGTGTTCTTGCTAGTGTTTGCGAATTGCAGCCTCGCTACAGAGTGGATGTCGTAAAATAGTATAAAAGAGGGGACCTATAGGTCGCCTGAGGGTCAAATCCTGAAAAAAAAGAGGCCCGATCCCCCTCAATTTGCTTCTGGGCCTTATGCTCATAGACGCTTGGGGAGAATAGACTTTCTCGGAGTGAATCTTATTGTCATGAAAGGCGTAAGTTTCAGTTTCTGACTCCGCCGAAATACATAAATTGTACCTGCAAACATAGTTGGTCCATGTCTGCGGACTTTTGCTGTTCTTGTAGGTAGTCTGGCACTTCTGCTGTGCGCACCCTATGAACTCAGTGTCGTCCCATAGCATCTGGGTCAAGTGACCACATTCGTTCTTCGCTGAAAGCAGAAAGGTCAATAAGGGTACTATTGTCTAACCTTATCATTGAGTATGGTGTAAATATCGAGACTTTTTGTATTCTTGACTCACGGAGCTATCAACAATAGTAGCAGCATATGTAACTGCTCGGTAATATTTTCTGACCCAGAAATTGAAAGAAAAAGTTGTTTTTTTCCCAAATATTTATCATTTTTATAATTTTTTTGCTTTAGATTTTTAAACCTTAAATAAAACTAGGTCAGCCATTTTATTCAAGATATAATTTTCTAGAAGGTTGATTTCAACTTTTTTGTGACTGCTTCGGCCGCGAAAATGTCATAAAATTGGACATACTCATCAAAAAACCCTTCTGAGCACATTTGCTATAATAATACACAAATTATTTTTAAAGTTGAAATTTTGCGATCTGAGGGGTTTCACTGTGTATTAGTTTGTAGAAAGAGGGAATGTAATTGTAATGTGCGGTAAGGAAGCATCCGCAATACTGAAAACAGTCTTACGGTAACAGTTGTGCTTATGCCAGTCGTAGAACATGATTTCCTCATACCATCCTGCGACAAAGTCGTTCCCCACATTCCTGTTGGCCTTGTAGCCTCCCCCGAAGTACAGGTTTTCACCCACGTGACCTCCAAATAGGTCCATCAGTTTCCAATTCACGCCCACCATAGGAATAATGTGCTCCTATGTCAGTAGAGGGGGGTGTTCTTTTCTCATTGTTTCTACTAGCCCGTCCCTAACCAAACTAACTTCAAACTTCTCATTGTTTTTTTACCCAAAACGGAATGTCAGATTTGGGCAGGTTTTTAAGCTTCGATGAACGCAGTTCAAACTCTTGTATAGGTCGTGGTGATTGTTTTTATTTTAAGGAAAAGTCTTAAAATTTGTCCCGCTCAAATTTAATTTTTAAGAGTAATGAACATAGTGGGTACTCTAATATAGGTCTTGGTGTTTTTTTCAGGAAAAAATCTTAACGTTTGTAAAAAATCTTAAAGTTTGTTCACGCTCGATTTTTGACTTTTCGCAGTTTCACTTTTGATTTAGTTTCAGGTTCAGCTCATGTCCTTAAAGAAGGCAAACTCAACTTTCGAGCAGCAAAAGTGTAAATAGTCTAATTTCGAAAAGGGAATTTAAGTTTCAGATTTCCCAGCGCAATAAAAATTTTATTTAATGATCCAGTTTTCTCAAATTGGGTTCATTTTATCAAAAAAAAAAAACAAGTCATAACTTGCTCGTAAAATTAAAGAGCTTTAAGGGAAAATATTTTTTTTCTCTGAATCTCAAAAGTTGAGGTTTTAAGAATAACAAGTCAATTTTTTTCTGCTTTCTTGCGTTGATTACTCTTTTCAGCTGTCAGTTGGCTGTTTCGCAGTTTTTTCGTTACTATTTTTCAAGTTCAGTTCTTTTTTTGTTAAAAGGAACGCAAACTCCATTATAGAACAGCGGAAGTGTGCAGGTCGCGAAAATCGTGATTGACTTCTAATTTCGAAAATGAATTTTAATTATCTGATTTCCCAGCCAAATAAATTTATCTATTGTTTCAGTTTGGCGAAATTGATATATACGACAAGTGGAAGCCAAATGCATGTTTTTATACTTCTAGGCACAAATTTGATAATTATGGATTATTGAAAGCTCTTATTTTTGTTGGTTTGATTAACAAAAATGGAAAGAACAAACAACTGTTGTGACAATTTTTTCTGTTTTTGGTTCGGTGTAGCCGGCCATTTCTACCAAGAAGACCCCCCTTTGTACATAAATTGGCAGTCTCCTGAGCTGACTTCTCCAGTTCATCGTCCCATTTGAGTCTCTTCATGTTCACAGCATATCCACTGAATTTTTTGCCCTTGCGATCTTTCCACCCGAGGTTGTTGCGGAACTTGTTGTGGGAGTCCAGCGACTGCCATTTTTGTCTCTCAGTCAGCTCTGAAACAAGCGATGATTTCTAATTATTATAAACACCTAAATTTGATCTGAAGTTAATTTTTTGGGAAATATTGTGGAATTTTTGGAGACAATTCGGAAATATTATCGACCTAAAAAGCCTAATTTAGTTTTGATTTTGCATAAACTAAAAATTTTATCGAAGCGAAATCGGTTTAAACTAAGAAATATTATAATCCTGGCTTTGATAACTTACCATATTGCGCGAGAGAAATTGCTAAAGTTGCCAACAACAAGAGTAGTTTGAATATTAATCGGTACATGAGAGCTAAGTTTCAAAAGTTTTCAGCTACTGGTCTCCAGTTATTATCCGTTGATATGGAATGGAACAAAAAAATGAAACGAAACAGAACATATGGTTAATTTGTTGTGTGAGACCTAGTTAGTTTGACCGTTATAATCACAATTTCTGACATCAAAAGCTGGAAAATAATCGAAAGTTTCGAAGGCCTACCTCAAGTGTGATCAAATATAGCAGCAGATGGAGTTAAAATTGACTAGATACCAGAACTTTGTAATTGTGTGTCCATTCCACCTAAATTGTCAATAAACATCACAGTCCCCGGAGAGAAATTGTCAATATTATTTGTGAAATTGAATTTTTTTAGCGCAGCAATCGAACCGAATTTCATACGGCCGAAAATATTCGCTGTTGCCCTATTAACTATTCCGATATTGAACGCAAATTTGATATCACATTATTCCAGTCGAAAGGGTATAAAACAGCTGCTGATAATTGCAACTTGTCAATGTATGACACGAATCTGGGTTTCTCTAGGAAAGTAAAGGGTTTCTCGTCCGTTCTTTTTTCGGGCCTCAGCCATTAGCTTGCAGTACATCTCTAAACCACAATATTATGACTTTTAATTGGTTATGAACGAATTGAATGCGTAATAATGTAGACCGTGTGATTTTTTTCTGTTTGTTTTTAGGAGAAATTTTCTTTTGCTCATTTGTATGTTTTGTCGCCTTGATTTGATTATTAATTACATACAAAAAAAACTTCGAAAATACATTTTTTCACTTCAAAAATTGCTGCTTAATCTGGGTGCTATCAGAGACCAATCTGAAGCTCTGATTCTACCCAAAAAAAATATGACCTTCCAGAAGTTGCTGGTTTTCGAGAAATTTTTTTTTGTAATAATATGAAATTTTCCAGTTACAAAAATACTTGCTGCTTAATTAACTATCTAAATTTACACATTAACGTTCTATGTCTCGGTCAGTATATACTGGGTAGACATTTAGTGGGCATCTAATTTGCCCTTTGTCTATCCTCTTCAGATAATACGTACGTTCACCAAAATTTAATTGCTTAATTTGTTTGATTTTTTTGTAAATGTATGTGTATGATCGAAGAAATAAATTCTTTCTTTCTTTCTTTCTTTCTTTCTTTCTTTCTTTGAAGTTCAAATAAATTAATTTGCTAAATTACAAGCTAAAGGCTCTAAAAAATGCGATTCGCAGAAAAGACTGGGTTTTAATAGGGAGTTCTCATTGAAATAGAAAACTTCTTGACGCAGTTTTCTCAAATTGAGTGATCAAATTTATCAAAAGAGGAAACTTTTTGAAAGTCGATGAACATAGTGAAGACTCTTATACCGGTCTTGGTTATTTTTTTTCAGCAGTCTTAAAATGCTATAATAACAACAGATGTGCTTTGGTATATGTCCTTTTTTGAGTTCAATTTAAATTCATCTGCTGAAAGTTAGGTTAGTTGCCCTCTGCAAATATGAATGTGGAAATGGCGCGAAAAAACGTGAATTACTTCTAGCTTTGAAACAGGAATTTAGTTTTTAGATTTCCCAGCGGAATAAAAGTTTTACCTTTTATTCCAGTTGTTTCAAATTGAGTTAATTTTATCAATTTGAAACGCAAATTAACGATAAGCTTGTTTTCTAACTACTAGTCCTTAAAATTTAAATCTGAAAATTAATTTTAAAAATATAAATGATTTTTTTTGCGATTTTTAATTCCAGTTAATTGAGATTAATATTTTTTTACTTACAATTAGTTGGTTTGACTTAATAATAATCATAATAAAATGTTTCCAGTCTAAACAAATGTTTTTTTTTGTGAAATAAGCAAAATGTTTGACTGATACTAGATTAGGAGGACGCTATTAGTTCTTAGGATCTGCTTTCAAGCGCCTCAATTAGAAAAAAAAGTTACAGAAATCAAAAAAAAATTTATTATATACTTTCTTCGTCTTTAGTTTTCGAACCCTTAAGAAATCTGGAGCTAGTCTAGTATCCAAAGATAAAACTTCTAGAAAATTGTGCTTAAGAAAGTTATTTTGTTTTTGTTGGTGTAAAATTGAAAAATTTATTAGAACTAGGTTAAACGTTCGCTAAGTTTTTGTCAATGAGATCTCATTTATTTTTGGTGTTTTTTTTTTCAAATGTTTTTATGATGCTTTTAAATTGCAGATGAATTATCTCAGTATCTTTTTTGTTGATTGTAGAATCTTTATTTCACTTTTCCTTCTAATGGATTTTGATAATAGTTTCAGAGTTTCTCATGCGAAAAACCCAGTTGGTTGCAAAATTAAAAGTTTTATTCGTAGTTTTTTTGAATCTTTCAAAAGAATTCTTGTTATTGTTTCGAAGTTTAGCTTCAAGTGGCATGATTGATGTCATATCTGTGCGTACGTAAGCATCATGTATTGTAATACCAGATGGAAGTAATTTTTGTATTTTGGACCAGTTGTGCCGATTACAACGAGATTTGTAGATATTGGTTAATTTAATTTTATTATTTCTTGAGAGGATATTTTCTCTAAGTTTGTAGTTTTTTGATGATTTTTTGTTATTATCCCTTGAGATGAAAAATTGATTGAGATTGCTCTGATCGGCGGTGAATTTGCTTTATGATGAAATGAAGCACTCTTGATAGTTGCAAAAATGTTATTTGATTTTTCAGCATTTTATAAAGTTAAATTTACTGAACTGCCTGTCCTCGTATTTCCTCTGTTTTCATTTAAAAGCCTAAAAATGCGGTGATTTTGTGCTGAACATTTGTTCAGTCTGTTTTGATCGTGTTTTCGTTTTTGTGTCTGTTACTTTTCTTCTGACAAAATTTGATTGCTGTTTATATGCTACCAGATCCGCGTTTAGTTGATGGTTTATAGTTTTTAATTTTAGTCTTTCTTCTTTTTTTTGCGGCAATATTTTAAACTTCATTGTTTTTCATGTGTTTTTTTTCGAATGTTTTTGAGTTTTTAAAGGAAAAACCTGCTAATCGCTAGCTTAAGTGTGTTTGATATTTATCAAATATTCTTCAATATCATGGTCATTTTTTTGGGAATCAATCTAGTTCTTATGTTATCATAGAGTGCCAAGTTTCTGTATAACTTGTTGGCTGTTAAGTTAGTTTTTGTGTGTTTTGTGAGACATCTATAAAAAAAATCACTGAAAACTACATTTTCATTTGCTGGGAAAATAAAAATACAGTCGAGATGGTTTTCTAATTTGTTGAGAATTTCTTCTGTAACAGAGTTTGGTGTTATGTAGTCAGCTGTGACAATGTTTTTTGTTGATTTTTTTTCGATACTGCTTGATATTAACATTAAAAGCCAATTGTTCAATGAAGACTACTAATTCATCCGTTTTTGCGGTAGAGATATTGTTTTGCAAAAAAATACGGCTTCATCTTTTTTTCCGTTGTTCATTTTCAATCTGCATTCTAATTGTTGCCGCCCGAGGTCACTCAAGCAGTTTATTGAAGTTATTTGATTCATTTTTCTGAATATTGTTGTTTCAATTTTTTTCCGATTTTTTGTGACCCTAATTTTTTTCTGGTTTTCAAATTTCCTAAATTTTTTTGAATTGAGAAAAAAAAACTAGAGAACGGTACATCTAGAGAACTCATTTTTTTAAAATTTGAATAGAGTGTCACATTACGAGAAGTTGACCGAAAAAAAAATTAGCTGAGATGCAACTTAACACCTTTTGTAGTGGTCTTGGGGAAATAGCAAAATTCCTTAGGTGTTTTTTTAGCCAATTTTCCATTTATCAAATCTCCCTTCTCTTTTGTCTTTATTATTAATGGTTGCTTCCTGCAGAAATCGCGAAAAAAATTTTGCCTTCATCCGGAGTCTTGAGGCAGAAAATTTCACCGACTTTTTTTTGGATCGAACGGTTTATGATTAACGAAAACTTGTCTGTTTTCGGGTGTCTTTCAGTAGTGTGTCTTTTTTTCTACGCAAAATCATGTGCCTGATGGCTATCTTTCTCTTGAATTTCATTCGAGCTTTGTTCATTTCTTTTATTCAGGTGTCGAGCCCTGTCCACATTTTGTATTGCAGCTGTCAGTTCAATCTGCAACCCCACATCAGGAGCAAATGGGAAGCCTTCATATAAATTCGAGGAATGTCTTCATGAATTATTCAATCATCTCAAGGTATTCGAACTGTAAATAATTACATAATTCTAAGAAAAAGGAAAGATCTGTTTTCTCTTTGTTCTTAGGCAACAATATTGATGTTCCAAGTTTTCGCTAAGCGCCTAAAACTTGAACAATGAAAAAAAAAACAATTAGGACTGATTAAGTTTGATTTTTCTGCTTGAAAGCCTGTTTTTTTTCCGAGCTTGAGAATTTTTTTAGACAACAATTAAGTACAGTTGTTTTTTATTATTTCCAGTTCAACCGTGACCCGGAAGACAGTTTCATCCCATCTGGCAAGTTCCTATCGCCCAGTGAGTTTACTCTGGCTCAATTATCGGTGACTCACGTGCTCACTATTTTTGACGCATTTCTGCTGACCGAGGTTACTGCATGGGAGCTACACGAGACAGTGATCAGTTTGGTTGCTTCTGTCGTCAACTTGGTCTCAAATTTCCTGCCAGATCAAAAAATGTAAGTTAATGCAACACTGATATATCCGATTTATTCAACAAAATTGTAAATTGACTAGGTGAACAAAATTAGGAAATTACACACATTTTCTTAAAATTTTTTTGAACTTAAAAAGTTACGCTGAGTTAAAATGGCGAGTACCATATATTGTAAGTTGTTCGGCAGGAAAAACATTTACTGCTGATTTAGAAACTGTTTAAACTGATGTTTTCAAATTTTTTGTTAGAACCGATAATAGCGTGTACGTCAGTTGCGCTAAAAGCCACCCCTTTTTGAAACTGCCCAGTTTTGAATCTATCGCGCAATTGTCCCAAATTCTGGAATGAGCTCAATTTTTTTTGAACTGTTTTCAGGCTCAGTATAGTTGTCTCTCTTCTGTGTACGATAAATGACTGCGTCTCCAGACTACCGTTTGAGACTCTGGTATCTAAAGAAAGACGCCAACAGCATCAGAGTGCTTTTGGAGAAAGAGCGTCGGAACAGAATCCCGACTTGCCCCAGATTGTGTACCGAGTGAGAGTTTTTCTGATCAGTATTGATCAAACATTTCTGCATCTCATTAAGGTTTTTGTACAACTATTAAGAAAACTTAATACAAGCGGTGTTCCGTGCTAGTTATTTCATCATTAGTTTGAGTATGTCGTACCGCTGTCAATTTCTGATGAAGTGTCAATGAACCAAGTGAAGAACACTTCTTTAGACTGTGTTTTTTGCTTGTTTTTCAGGAAAAAGTTTTAAAACTTAAAAGTTGTTTGTATATTTGATTTTTCAATTTCATTTAAGGAAAGGAAATCAAATTATGCTCTCCAATTACGGAAAAGCAAATTAACCGAAAAACGACTTTCAATTTAGGCAATAAATATCAATTTTCAGGGTTTCACTCCGGAATAACAAATTATGAACCAATTTCTTAATTAGTCGAGGTTATTAAAATGACTATCAAAAAAGATTCTTGACATTCAAAGATATTTATTGTGATGCAAATAGTCAATAATGTTAGAAGTATATGTGTGAGCTGATCAGTAGGAGGGGTGATTATTGACCCCCATGTAGTAAGATAGGTTATAGACATCCGGTCTCCATGCTATGTATTCAGATAGGGAATAGAATTTCCCATGTATTAAGATAAGTTATAGGTTCGGCCATGTATTAAGATACAAGATTTATTAAGATACAAGATTTTTCAGTACTAAATTTGAATATGTGACCCTTGCGGATAAGCAGAGGCATTAGAATTGGGTACTGGATTTTTTTTCCGTAACCAACTTGTCCACAGGATGACTGAAGTTAGGTCATCTCCAAATGTGTCTCTATTTCTACTCAAGATGTGAAGTTTGTAAGTGAAGTTTTGAGAAACAGGACTAAAAAGATTTCCTTTAGCACAATTTTTCCAGTGTCGAGCTGCATGTGCCCAAACTCACATGTTTCCGAGGTCATTTTTCTCATTCTCGTTTCTGTTGAGCAACGGCATCTGAGAAATGGGCTATTTAGCCTGTTAAAAAAATAAGAAAATTGTATTTGGTATTTTTGAAATTTAGACATTTGAAATCTCCCAGAATTTTTATTGAGTGATTTTTTTCTTCTTACTTTTATTTTTTAAGAGAAAATGACTTTTTTCAAATTAAACAATGTATGGACCTATTGTTTTAAGTGTAAAAATTAATAAAAATGAGTTTATTTATGTTTCCGGATGCTTAAAGAAATTTAATTAATCATATTCGAAATCAACTCATCGGAATTGAGCAATATTAAACCGGGGTTTTATCCAGGCATTGTTGATATAGTTGTATTCATGAATGAAAAAGATTCAGAACGGGTGGGTGCAGAAGTATTCAAATATAAAGGAAATTATATATTGTGGATAAGATTACGCAGAAGATGGCCGTTCTTTCAAAGGATCATAGGTGTTAATCATTCAAAGTGCTGACTTGAATCATTTCTTTGCTGTGATTTAAAGCAAAATCAAACATGGGTTTTGATTGGTGGAAAAGAGCCACAGTACTCTCAGTCTTTGTACTTCATTATAAGAAAACGTTTTTTGATGATGAATCTTCATATATTGACCTCAATACAGGATGCAGCTGAGCAGTTGCATTAAACAGAACTTAATGGAAAAAGCTTGAGAATAGAGTTTTTTTCCGTTTTTGCTTGTAGCAAGTAAAGGAAATGATTGTCTAAGGAGAAAGACCACCAAATGTTCAAACTGATAAATTCGGAACAGTTGTGAAAATTGTCTAATATCTCATTCGTCTAACAATTGGTCAATTTGAAAATTTTGACATTTCGAATTGATATTACCCATTTCATTTTTCTTCAGATCTAGGCATCAAAACAAAACAGAAAATGAATGCTGCATTGTTCAAAAACCGATAAATTTCTATAGCCTAGAATTTAAAGTAATGTTCAACAATTTTTGAACTGTGTATGTAAGTCATCTAATTTATTTTTAACCAAATTGTACTATCAAATGATCGATGTTTTTGTGTTCAGATGTAAATCAGCTAATAATTGCAAAGATTGATAATTTTTTCTCTTGTTTAATTTATTGAAAGAATTCCAGAGCTCAAGTTGAAGTATATGGGATCTTTTACAGCTGATAAAGTACCTGAACTCCGAAAATATTCTTTTGCAATAACTAATTCAGCTTCAAGCAATGATAGAGGAGAGCATCGGTGATGGTTACACGAGTAGTTAAATTTTTTTCTTTTGCTGATTTTGGACAAAAAAGGTCGTATTCTTCCTTTCTTGCTTGGAACAATTTCAGCATGTGGTTCAGCGAAAGCTTCAAAAAAACTGATAATTTTTGTAGATTCTACAAAATTTGTTCAGCATTTCTTCTCTTTAAATTCTACCAAACGAACTTGAATAAAATTCTCGATAATTTTGTTTCAGTTTTATAAGTAATTTTATGTAAAAACGCAATATGGAATTTAAGATTGATTGTAATTTTTTGTATTGAAAATCTGTACGTCTTTGAACTTTCGTTTTTGTCTGTTCATTACCGAAAAAAAAATAAAGAAGCTTGAAAATCACGGTTTGTGGAGATGCAATTACGAATGTCCGAGATTATGATAGATTCATTAGTCCAATAATGAATATCCAAGAACGTGTAGTCCAGTTTCGAACATTCAGGAAAACGTAAGAAAATCCGAAGTAAAAGCTTATTTTGATAATGAAAATGTGAAAAACAAAAATTTAAAAACTAAAGGGAGTAAATGGAATCCAAATTTGATTGGGAAAAAAGTTTTACTCTGAATTTGACAATTTTTTGCTTAAATTTTACAAAAACTATTTTTAAAAAGCTGAGTTTTTTGAAATTTTTTTTTTCATTTATTAAGAAATTACTTTTATTTGGTAAAGATAAAAAATTTTCCTTCGTTTGTTTTCAGATACACATTGTTTTCTACTTTGTTTGCAGATAGTGTTTTCATCTTTACCAGAGTAAATTGTTCTAAGAATTGAATTTTAAAATGGTTAATTAAACGTCAAAGAAGATGAACAATAGCTATTTCTTATTTTCAAGAAAACGAGTATTTCGTTGCAGTGATTTTCATTGAAGATAGAAAAACAAAAAAAACTGATTGTTTCATGATATTACACAGAATAAATCAGACGTATTGATTGGATGAGCTTTTCGTTTCTAAAACTTAATTCCGTGGATTTCTTAAATTTCCTAAAAAGTGAATTTTCCACTCCATTAAGTTCAGAGAGGCAGATATAATAACCTCTTTAGGCGATCTGTCAAATATAAGATTAGATGTCATATTTCCCCAGATATCGCATGCAGCGCAATGAATTATCTGTCATATATATTACCTCTCTCTCGGCAACCTTGCCCATATAACCTGAGGGGACATAAAATTTATGTAGGAACAAAGTTTTTCAAAATGCTGCGAGATATATTTGACTGACAGACTTCTGAAATCAAATTTTTGTTTTGTACTAGAAACAAATAGCTTTTTTTGGACTCATTTGCTGAATCAAAAAAGCATCAGCTGTGTTAACTTACTAATCAAAGGTTATAGGGCATGCTATCAAAAGCCGTAAAGGTTCACGAAATGAGGCACCCATATTTGCGACTTACGTTGAAAAAAAGAGTAGTTATTACGAGTGTAACAAAAAGAAGAAATGAAATTGTTCAAGTGTTCTCACCCTACAAGTTTTCTGTATGGTAAGTTTAAGCTGGTGTTTCAAAACATTTATATGCAAATGAAATTTGTTGAAAACTACCATCCTAAAATTACCATACAGAAATTTTGTAGGGTGAAAACAGTTGAACATTATAATTTCTTTTTTTTTATACTTGCAAGCTTTAGCGAGTGTAGTGTAATAGTGCGACTATTCTTTTTTTTCCAAATTAAATCGCAAATATTGGTGCCTTAATTGTGGCAACTTAACGGCTGTGAATAGCATGCTCTATAACCTTCAATTAGTACTAAATCAACACAATTGATTCAGCTTTCATTCATCAATTGAACCGAAAAATGTATAAGTTTTCCTTTTTAATACATCTTGCAATTTTTTTGAGCTACTTGATTCATAGATGATATGGCTTTTTGCTTTCCATTTTTTCACATGCAAAGTTCATGAGGATGTCCAGATTGTTATTTTTACGCTCGAAATAAGCAAGCGTTATCAAACTGGAATATAGACTTTTTTTCTAGTTAACAACTAGTTTAACAAAATCAGTTGAATCATTTCTGCAGCATCGAATTCTGCAGCAACCATACATCTCAATTTCTTGAAAATTCAGATTTAACTACCGGCTGAGTACTAGTTCCTACATGGTAGTTTTAGGGGGGACTTGAAAATTTGAAAAGTTTTTTACATAGTAAGTTTTTTGTTCGGCTCAACTGGTGTCTGCTCAAAGATTGTCTGCCTTGTTTGCGCTTTGTAAGTTCGACCAAAAATATCCCTCTATATCTGATCTTTGTGGTTTAACCCAAAGAGCGGGTTGTAGGAAGTTCCTTTGCATATGCGACTACGCCCAAATTTTTTATAAAAATCGGAAAAATCAAAAGTTTCATTTTTTTGACCGGTTTTTAAAACTTTCTGATTTTTCTCGAGAACTACCCGGCCAAACCTACGTTTTTGGGTCCAATCGAACTAACAGATTGGGTGAATCTCTTCTACATAAGCGGCTTCGCCCAATTTTTTAAAACAAAAAGTTATGCTTCTCGGAAATGTCAACTCTCTGATTTGTTGACCGTTTTTTGATGTGTTTCTCGATAACTATCCTCCCAAAACTGATATCATAGGTTTAATCGACCCAACAGGTTGTTGAAAGCTTAACTTTAAAATTTGTTACTCCCTGTTTCTGCTAGAAAACAGTAATTGCCCCTAAAACAAGTGAAAGTTTCAAAAGTTGGAACGTTTTGAAATTTTTTTAAACTCGAAAATTGCTTGCCAATTCTCAGATTAAGTGTTCAATTGAGAGATACGATAGTTTTTTTAGGAATCTTCCCTACTTTACCGGTCACGACCTGCGTTTAGCAGAAAAGTTTACTGATTTTTGAATCTTGAGTATTTTATAGAAACTTTTTGATTTTTCTTAAAAATTACCTTATCAAATCTGATATGAAAATCTCAATCGAAAGAACCATTTGCGTAAATTTATCTGCAGAAGCGGCTCTTCCTTTATTTTGTGTAAGACAAAAGCTAGGTCTTAGGGAAAATTCCAAAATCTCAAAATTTTTCACTCTTCTCACTTAAGTTGAGAAACAACTAAGGTTTTGGGCAGAGTCTAATTTTTAAAATTACCCATTTCTTCGCGCAACATTATAACAAATTCAAAAAATTTTAAATATCTACCTCCAGCTTTAGCTGAATGAACCCTGAGTGTCCTCAATCGAGAGATACGAAAATTTTGGTTCTTAAAGTGCTTTTCAATATTTTTCTTTTTTCGACTCATGCTTTTCGACTCATTTTCATGTTTTTTTATGATTGTGTTGTATCGCAAGTGGTGCGAAGCTCCGCTTCGCCTCTGTGTTTAAATTATCACATGCAAAATTGTGTCTATTTGTATTTGGTGAATTTTTTGCCGCATCGCATTAGGAATCTTCTAGCATAAGTAGCGGCTTTATTTGTGGCGAGTATAAGTAAATTGTCAACGGTGCGTAGCGCAGATGGGAGGACTGCGGACACTTAATCTCTTGGTCTTAGGATCGATTCCGCTTCTACAAAGTTTCGTTTTTCAAGGCTTATTTTTACCTCATATTTTATTTCACTTTATAGAGCTTTTTTGTCCTTTTCTCGTAAGTGTTTTCGAAGCGCAGCCTCGCCTGTGCGCAGCCTCGCATACTGTTATCTTAGACAGAAGAAAACTGAAGAATCTCGAAACTTACCATCCCAAAGTTTTTTAAGAAAACAAGCTATTCGATATATTAATACTTAACCTCATATACATTGGTGTCGAGGATCTTAAACATTGGTGAATTGGCAAATGCGGGCGCCGAGAAACTCATCATATGAAACTTACCATCTTATCATTCCAAACCTTGTATCTTAATGCGAATACGTAGCCAAAGCTATAACCAATCTTAATACATAGGAAATCATATTCCATATTCTAATAAATGGTGACCGAGACCGGATGTCTTTAACCTAACTTAATACTTGGGGTCACCGAGCATCCCCTGATCAGCTCGCGCATATACCACATGTTTTTGGTTCCGGTGAGTTCCTTGAGCCATTTCCAATTTTATTTGATTATGTTTAAATTGTTCAGCTGCTGTTCAAAAATCTAAAAAGGTTCTTTATCTAACTTGTTCTGCATTGTAAGCTGCCCCAAGCCCCGATCTAGAAAACTATTGACCTAAGCATAGGGTTCATTGAGTTTTAGTGAGAAGGCCCGATTAGTAAAAAAAAATGTCTATTACAATTTCTTGAGTGGAGCTATTTAATTTTTAAAGAATTGGTTTAAATTTTTTGATTAAACGTACCTAGACGGACGCATCGGACACAATATGTGAACACTGAAAATGTTCACTTAAATTGAAGTCTTAGAGATTTACATTTTCTAGTTTATTTTAGAAATACCATTTTTAGGGCCTGACTAAGGTGCAGCAGCAGTGTAAAAAGTGGCAATCTCAACTATCTCCCCTCGACTCCGAATCAGTCAATGGTTCTGAAATATCCGCAGACCCAGAGTCCGCTAGTGCAATGAACGCCAGGTCCGGATCATCGAGCAGCTCCAGCAATATATCCAGGTATAGATATTCAAGATGATGGGGGAGATTTGGCGGTTTTCATCGCGAACGAGTCCTTCTACGCGAATGCGAGTTTTAACTTTTTTGTACTAATTGGCGCATAAAGTAATATCAAGAATAAAGCACGAATAGATCTGGCATTTAAATATTTCTCCTGGAAAGACAAATAATTCGTGTTTTTTAATACGACGCTCAATATAAGTCGACTATAAAGAGCAAAACCGCTTGTACTTAGTCATTTCTGTTTTGAAACAAGACATCAGTTATAGATCAGCTCAAGATGTTTATTTGATTATTGTCGATTTCAGTTCCATCCGCAATGTGGACATTGAGGGTGTCCCGGCTGTGACTCCGATTTCCGGGAACTCCGTCTCTACTGGAAGGGGTCTGGCCAACAACAGTCCAATGGCGAAAGAACAGATTGAAGCAGTTGAACAGATCCAGCAGACTTCTGAACTGGTAAGTCAGAAATTGTTGGCATTGTCCTGCTACGCTTTCATTATACAGCATTGATGTCCAGTTAATGCGAAATTTGGCAATATTAATAATCTTGAGCAGATTAATCGGTCCAGAATTAGTGCTGTTTGACTTATAGAGTTGAAGAAAATTCGAACCGACAGAATTAGTTACAAATTAGCTAAATTAGGTGCGAAATAGGTAACTTGCCAAACTTTCAAAAAATAAATTGAGTGCAATTTTGGTTTTTCGGCGACATTGAAAATGCTGTATCTGAAAAGATAAGTTTCACTAGTAAAAGTAATCCGAAATAGGCTATCTTCTCTTTTTTAGTGAGAATAAAGGGAATTAAGACACTTGTGGAATTTCGTTGATTTTTTACAGGAAAACCTCTTAGAACTTGTTCACACTAAAACTTAATTTTGCTGACTCACTTTTGATTGCTCAAAGTTCTTTTTTTTGCCTTCTTTTTTTACTACCTCCGTTTAATTTGTTACGCCCTTAATTTTTTTTGGCGATTCAATTCGCGTTAGCTAGTCCGCTTTGTTGGAGTGCTTTCATGCTGCCTGTTATTTTTTTTTCAAACTTTTTGTTTTTTTTGCGTGGTGCGATGAAAAGATCTGATCGAAAACTAGAGCTTAAGCTTATTCGACAATCACAGTAAAATAAGCGAATTGAACAAAATTTTTGCAAATTGAACAACAAATTGAACAAAAATGTTTTTGCTGAAATTTTGATTTTTCGAAGTTTTTGATTCCCAAAATGGCGTTAAAAACTCCTAAAAACTAGTTTAACTTGAAAATTTTTAAATTGGTCACAAATAAGCGATTGTAAACGGCTTAATTTAAGCATAAATAAGCCTGATCGCTCGCTTTATTCACTCTAAATCAGACTAAAAATTTCAAACAGGGTTTTTCTCGACTCTGTAAAAAAAGTTTGGAATTTTTTTTAATGTCGTTCAAGTCACGGCTGAAAGGGTTTCAATATTATATATCATTCAACGCAGTCCGATGATTGCTTGTGGTACCTGATTATGCATGGTAAAAAACTGAAACACTTCCGAATGCAAAGTTCCTACCCATTTTCAAATGTTCGGAACAATTATTAGTGCGCGTGAAGCTATTAGCTAACGCCTTCGCAGAGTCGGCATTGAGTTAATCTGGCTTACAAGTCAGTCTACATTTTGTTCAGGAAAGCTAAATCAGCAAAATTCTGTCAGTAATGGACGAAAATTTATCATTGTGTACTTGGCCTTGCGTATGGGGGAACATTTTTTGTTCTTTTTATATTCTTTATCAACGAAGTGAAGACATTTTTCCGTTAACGCATAGCTAGGCGAAGAATGATGATTTTAGTTTCTTTTTTCGAATTTCACTTTGCCAAATACTGCATCATGCATCAGGCGTTTTGTTGCAGTTGTTTTTACAGGTAACCAGTATTGGATTAGTGGCAATTTTTGCTTTTGTTTGTCGCTTTGTAAGTGCAACTTTTTCGCTGATTATTTTTTTGCACAGATTTTATTGAAATTTTCATGCTTCCACAGTACCCGGTTATATTCTTGTTTTATTGAATTTTCAATGAAGTTCGGTTTAATTTGTAAAAAGCATCTTATTAAGGCTGGATGAACTGAGTAAAGACCCATATAAGCGTTTTGATGATTTGCTTGATTTCATTTTTTTTCCAAACTTGTTCATAATTGTAATTTTGTTATTTTTTTGCGGGCTTTGACTTTGGATTTTCTCAAGTTCAGTTCATTTCTTTTGTTTAAAGGAAAGCAAAATCCGCTATCGAACAGCAAAACTTAAAAGGTCATGAAAAACTTGATCGACTTGTAACTTCGAAAGTGAATTTTAATTTTCGGATTTTTTTGCGTAATAAAAAGTTTTTTGATCCAGTTCTTTCAGATTTAATTAATTGTAGCAAAAAGTGTTAATCATAAATTGTTCTTTATGTTCAAAGAGCGTTAAGGCCTGATTTTTTTCCGCTTTGTAGTTAGTTTTCTTTTGTTTTTTTTTTTCTTTTTTTCCTCGCAAAATCAGGTACCACAAAAAATCGTCTGACTGGGTTGAGTGATATATCATATTAAAGCCCTTTCAGTCGCGATTCGAACCTTCCCATAATAATTCTCTAGTGTCGTGAAAAACCTGTTTTAAATTTCCCAAAATTATTCTCTAGTGTCGAGAAAAACCAGTTTTAAATTTTTGATTATCGTTTAAATTCGACCAAGTAATGCGAGCGATCACTATTGTTTATGCTTAATTTAGGCCGTTTACAAAAGCTTGTTTATGCTAAGCTTGTGTGATAGTATGAATTCTTTAGTTCCGACCTATGTCGCAAATTTTAGTGGACATTTTGAAAGTGTTATTTTTGAGTGGCGAGGCACAAAAGCCACCGATGCAATCTTTTCAATCGCTTCTTTCATTCAGTATTCTCAGCGAAGGAAGCTCCTGTTAAGAAAAGGCCCTTCCAGCGGTCATCATCGACAATTACAACATATCAATTGTGAAAATAGAAATCATATCACCTGCTCTCGAAATTTCGAAAGCAAGGGGCTCCGTTGGACTGCCTCCTGTTCTTTTAAAGAAAACTCCAATTCTGGCAAAATATCTTTTCAGCGTGTTTTCCTGCATTAAAAAAACCGCAAAGTTTTCTGAATTTTGGAAAGCAGGCAAGTGAAACCCTTGCATAAATGCTCGAAAAATGCATCTTCGATTCGCTGTATTCTTTCATAAGACCACTTCTAGATGCTTCACAGTATGGGTTCCTGAAACGAAATTCAACTATTAAGCAACTTTTGAGTTATATCGACGATGTTTTAAAAGCACTGTTGACCCCTCCTTCACAGTTCAAGCCGTCTATCTAGGTTTTGCTGAAGCCTTCGATACAATAATTCTCAGAATACTCTTAAGTAAATTGAGGATCATTGGAGTCGGAGGAAAGTTGTCGAGAGTGATTGAAGCGTACTTAACGGGACACACACAAGTTGTTCCCGTAGGCTGCTCTGAGAAATCGCTTGTTGTACTTGTCGAGTGTGAAGTTCAACAAGGATCAATCTTGGGTCCTTTGGTATTCCTAGTATACGCCTACGTTTTGAATATTCCCGTAGGATTGCTGAGGGTTTAACAGACTTTTATATTACAAATAGCACTTCAGCTTCAAGGCATTTTGGTTCTGTAGCGTAGAGGCAGGGAAGCAGACCCGCAACTAAATAAGAGGGTTCGAACCTAGACAGGGTCGGATGTTTCAAATGAACTTTTTCGTATACTAGTCGAAATGCGTCCGCTGTATCAATTGAGCCATGTTAGTTGGTAAATTGCTTTTTTTTCAAATTGAGTGGTACTGCTAATGCGTCATAATTGGCTTGCGTCTCTTAGCAATTATGTAGACTCACAATTGGCGTCCGTCACATAAGAAATTGTGTAGACTCAAAGTTTTACTCATTCAGTTTTTCCCAGTAGTGTTATCGGTCATATTTTTGCTTGCGTATGAGAAGTTGATCTTCGCCTCTGTTTTAATGCCATTTTGGGAATCAAAAATAAAATAGAATTTCTGCAAATTTCTTGAAGTTTTTTTTGGCTTTTGTGGTAAAAATGAGCTTCGTGTTAACTTATTAATTGAAGGCTCTTCGACCAGAAAAATTATTGCCTTATATCATGGAAGATTTGTCTTTGATGCTTTTTCTCCAGACAAACTGCGAATTTAAACTATCATACTTCAACAGAATTTTGTCGCACCGGCCGTTTTTTTGTCCAGGTCTTAAAATTAAAAAAGATATTTCACTTGCAATGAAATATTGAATTTTGGCAGTTTAGGATAATTAATGCCTTTTTTCTGGTTTCTTGAAGAGCAGGCGGTGAATAAATCCGTCTCATAAATTATTTCAAGCGTAATTTAGGCAAGCTAACTAATTGAAATATTGCCTTATTGTGCTCAAATTAAGATTTTTTAGTAATTGATAATTCCCTCCGTAAAAAAGTTGCCAAATTTACTCTAATTTGCGCCAAATGTTGCTAAAAGTACAATAAACACGAGCTTTCTTGATACTTTAGAGAAGTAGCTTTCTTAGAGAGCCACTCCTCAGTTCTGACTGCTGATTTTTTCCAAAGATAATACCCCCTTTGATACTATTTTACATCCATTGTGGGTTGGCCAACAGTAAAGTCTTTCTAAAGGCGAATTGGGCGCCGCTATACAGAAGGTGTGATGAGAGAGCGCGCACCGAACATTTTTTTTGGGTAAAGCCTTTCAAAAAATCCTTGCGTCATTTTTAGCATGTTTTTTCAAAAATATTTTTTTCTTCATGTTTTTTGCATACACTTTTATTAAAAAATAGGGCCCTTTTTTTAAATTTTAACGGGAATGGACTGGGAAAATCATTTTGTCAACCCAAAAAAAAGTTTACAAAAGTTTTTATGCTAAGTTTTTTTGTAGTATTCAACCTATACACAATGCAAGAGTTACTACGTCACTATCAGCAATATACATTAATAGTATCCATCAGATTAACGAGTTGAGTTTTCTAACGGCTCGAAAAATTGGCGTATAATGCTCGTTAAGCGTAGTATTAAGTAAATCACATTTTGGAAAAATAGTCACAAAACGGCTGCATATTAGCGTGAAATTTTGCTCAACTAACGCGTTTTGTATTTTACAGGTGTGCAATCTCATTCTTGGCCTGATTGGCCAGTACCCTAGTGTGGAAGGAGGAGTGACCAAATTGGACAGTGCAGTTTCAGAGGCAGACAACAACCCAGCTGCTCAGACCACAGCTGGGGGGACGAAAGGAAGCGACCAGATGAGCTTCGCTCTTATTGACAATGACTACACGCAGACATTCGTGTACAACGAAAACACTATCATTACAGTGCTTGAGCTGCCAGTAATGGTTGGTTCTCCACGCTCAAATAGACAATCACAGATTTTTATTAACGACTGAAGGATGTGAATTTTCTCGAATGTAGACCGTGCTATTTTAATTCTTGGTTTTATTTTCTTTGAAGAAAGTTTGTTCACACTCAATTTAAAATTCCGGCTGTTTGACTTTTGATTTCTTTTCGAGTAAATTTCAAGTCAAGATATAGGCTCATTGCTCATTTTGGGCTTGTTTTTTTTTGGCTGGTTCATCTACACTTGGTTTTTGTTTTCATTTATTTGAAATTTCGAGCTGAAAAAATATAAATTTGCTTGTTTTCACGTCATCGAGGTTTTTGAACTGTCTGTTGGCTATGATATTTAGGTTGACGACGAAAAGGTTGCTTCTTCAAATCGACATTTAGTTCGATTCATAATCCGAGACCTTTCTGGAAAATACTGCTACGACTTTGTTTCAACTGACGACGAATTGGCCGCCGACTCGAACTCTTCTCGCGGTGACGGCAATGAAGCTACCAAGCCGGGCAGTGCTGATAAAACGTTGGACAACTTGATTCCGATGGAGAGAAACGAGCAACATTCAGATTGTTGTGTCGAGTCAGGAGACTCGTCGGATAACGCTCAGGTATTTTTTTAGTGAATCAGCTTACTCTTGGTTTAAAGTAAGAGTTATTATGTTCCGCGTGCATAGCGCAACTGCGCCTCTGGCGAATACATGTAATGGTAAATTTCAAAAATTATAATCAGTTTTAATTAATGCTATAGGCAGGGGCAGTATCGGCTTACTCTTGGCTTTAAAAAAGAGTTATTATGTTCCGCATGCATAGCGCAACTGCGCCTCTGGCGAATACATGTAATGGTAAATTTCAAAAATTATAATCAGTTTTAATTAATGCTATAGGCAGGGGCAGTATCGGCTTACTCTTGGCTTTAAAAAAGAGTTATTATGTTCCGCGTGCATAGCGCAACTGCGCCTCTGGCGAATACATGTAATGGTAAATTTCAAAAATTATAATCAGTTTTAATTAATGCTATAGGCAGGGGCAGACTTAGGGGGGACGCCCCCACTCCTCAGGGATTTGACCCCCTGCCGACCCAAAGGGTCCCTCTTTGTACTATTTTGAGATATCCATTTTTGGTGACGGACCCTAAAGTTTTTCTAAGGGCAAGGGCGCCTTTGGCGCCAATATATACTAATTTTGAGGGGGAACGCGCGCAAAAAAAATGCGATTTTTTTTGGTCAAAATTGTCCTAAAAGTGCTTAAAACGCCTTTTTTTGGCGCAGAAATTTTGGCCAAAACGGACTTTTTAGTGCTTTGGGAGAGCTCGAAAAATCAATTTGGTCGACCTAAAAGAAAATTTTTCATTTCATCAGCTGCGAATGGTAGAAGCTGCGAGATTTCTTTATTTTCATTTATTTTTATTTTAGCGGAATGCTAAAAATGTTATTTAATGAAGCTAATCACTTTTTAGCATTTAAAGTTATTGTTTTTAATAAAGAGTAATGAACGTAGTTAAGACTCTTACTTAGGTCTTAGTGATTTTTTTCAGGAAAAAGGTTGTTCATGCTTAATTTTGTTTTTTCGCGGTTTGACTTGATTCTTTTTAAATTCCGTGCATTTCCAGTGTTAAAAGGAAGGCAAACTCTACTATCGAACACCAAAAATGTAAAGGTCACGGTAAACGTGATCGACTTCTAGTTTCGAAAGAGGGATTTAATTATCAGATTTCCCTGGGAAATAAATTCTTTTCGTGAAATCTTTACGAAATAAAAAGGCAATCTATTTTTTCTTTGAAATTCGAAGGCTGAGGATTTTTTTAGAAAAAAAAACAGTTTTTTTTTTGTTTCTTTGCGCTCATTACTCTTTTCCAACTTTCAGTTGGCTATGTTTAACTCTTAGCAGGTGCAATACGGAAGTTCACCAGAATCATCTACATTCCCAATAAGTGATGCCAATTCAAACAGCATATCAGTCAACAAAGCCCACGGGCATGTGGTCGACGCGACAAACGAAGACTCCACGAAGGACGAAGACACGAGGGAGTGCGAGTCATCATCAGTGGGGGAGGGGGACGATGAGAAGACAGAACACGGAGATACTCAGAGTGGGGGGCTGAAGTTTGATATTCTGGACTATCTTGAAAGTCCAGTTGCAGATCCAGCAAGGATACCAAATGCTCTCAGCGAGGTAGCTTGTTGCTTCAGATTGATAGTCAAATTATCTTTCACGTGTTTAATTTTGAAAGGGTTTCGGAAGGTTCAATTGTTTAAAGAATAAAAAACGAAGGTTCAATCATGGAATGATGTACGAAACGAGTCATATTTAATTTAGGTCAGATTATATATACGAATGGTAATTACACTTGCGATTAGCAAGCGTTATCAAAGTGGAATATACGCTTTTTTCCGCGTTAACAACCTGTTTAACAGAATCAGTTGAATCACTTGTATCGTAGTTCTTTGTGAATTCATACTTCTATGTCCGGTCTATAGCCTGTATGCAGAGAATGCGCCGGGGACGGCAGAGGTCGCGGGTTTGAATCTGACCAGGAACTGTTTTATTTTTTCAAACTCGAAATATTTCTTTTCGAAAAAATGGCTTAGTTGCCAAATGGTAGAATTGATTTTTTTGAACGTATTTTATAATGCAGTTGCTTTTATTGATTTGAAATACTTCTGCAATTTTTTTATTTTTACTAGCCTTCACTTCGTATGTTTTGCTGTTTTCGTTTTCTTTTTTTTCGCTTAAAAAATTTATTTGGTTTAAATGATTTTGGCTTATGTTTTATCGGCTTAGTTTTATCGGCTTTTAATTTCTTTCTCGTTTGCTCAAAAACTACCCTCTCAAATCTGAGATTGTGGGTTAAATGGACATAGCAGGTAGTTTGAAGCTCCCCTGCATTAGCGGCCAATCACAAACTTTCTTACACAAAGTTATTGACGTCGGAAAAGTTTTAGACCGTTTTGTTTTTCGAATTTTTTTCGAAAACTACCCTCCTATATCTTAGAATTTGGGTTCAATCCAAAACACGAGTGACACAAAAAGTTATGGCCCTCGGAAAAGTCAAAATTTTGATTTTTTTGACCGTGCTTAGAACTTTTTGACTTTTTTCTAGATTTTCCTTTCCAAATCCGGTTTTTGGGTGCAAATAGAAATTACCTTTTGCTTGAATCTGTTCTGCATAAGCGGCTATGCCCATTTTTTGTAACATAAATCTACGATTCTCGGAAAAGTCTATTTTTTGTTTTCTTCTACCGTTTCTTGCAACTTTTTGACTTCTCTCAAAAAGTATTATCACAAATCTGAGTTTCTGGTTTCAATTGAAATTACAGGCATCGTGAATCTTTTCTGCGTGATCAGTTATGCTGAAATTCTTAACAGCAAAAGCTTTGATGCTCGGAAAAGTCTAATTTTATGTCTTTGTGGAGTCGGGTTTTTGGCCCTTGCAATCTGATTTATGGCATCAAGGGTTGAATTGAATTAACTGGTTGCTGAAAGCCTACTTTTAAAAATTACTGCGCTAATTTTTTTTTAGAAAGAAGTAATTGCTTTCCAGTAAATTTTGAAATGTTGACTGTTTTTTGGAATGTTTTTTGACTTTTCATCAAAACTGCCCTGCTAATTTTTAGTTCAAGTGGTGAGAATCCCGGTTTTGGGAATCTTCTCTGCTGAAGTAATCTCGGTGTTTTTTCAGCAGGAAATTAGTTGCGGATATCGAAAGTGAAATTTTCGAACTTCTGACCATTTTTTAGAAATTTTTTGACAAAATTTATTGTCTTTTCTCAAAAAGTACCGTTTCAAATCTGAGATGAAGGGTTCAGCCGAAAAAATTGATTGCGATACTTTTGTCTACCGATCCGACCACCTTTTTTTCAATATAAATGTTACGTTTTTGGGGAAGTTCTAATATCTGAAAGTTTTCGCTCTTACTTATTTTAATACAGAAACAACAGTAGGTTATGGGCAAAGTCCTATTTTTGAAATTACCCATTTCATACCGCATCAGTAAAAAGCAAATTCAAAAAGTGTCACATACCTCCAGCTTTAACTGGCCCCTATTACATTTTATTGAGACATATTAAAAAACATAAGTAGAAAAAAACTAGGTGAAACAAAATTTTCGTGTGTCTCAATAAAATATAACAGAGGTTAGTTAAAGCTGGAGGTACGTGTTTGACATGGTTTCATTTTAGTTCACATAGCTTTTTTCGACTTATGTTTTTTTTGTTTGTGTTGTATCGCAAGTGATGCGAAGCTCCGCTTCGCCTATGTGTTTAACGTGGATCAGGGCTCGTTCCTTGAAATAATCGATGTTTGTAGCCGCGGTAAGCTTAGATAACATAGAGCCAGGTAAATATCAGAGAAGAGGAAAAATCCGCTATATCTGGATATCATTTCATGTGTTATAGTTGCGATATGAATTGTTCCTCTCATCATCTTGGTACCTTATCTTAGTCCTTTGAGTTTTTTCACGAAGACTTCATCGCGGTGCATATTTTGTCGGCTGTCGAAAAAATATATCTTGAATGGTATAGAATCGGCACTACTACTTTTCAAATTTCCGCTGCTCAAATTGTTAGTCGCTCCCGGAAGACTTTTTGCGCTTGCAATTAGCAAGCGTTATCAAGTCTGGAAATATTCTTTTCCAGTTTAACAACTTGGCTGGCGGAACCATAGAATCATTTGGTCAGTTCGTTTGCCAACTGTTATTTCAACAAACAGACTTATATTGAGAATTTTTTTTTTACATGTCCGTTCTATTTACACAAACGAAGCAAAGTGTATTATTACAAAGAATTTTTTTCGAACCTAAGTCGCAAATAAAAGTTTTTATTTGGTGGCTTGTTTGGTTTCAATTTAATCATATTTAAGCTTATTTAAGCATAAAACATTTAATACCATATGTTGCTACTTTACTTTTGCCTAGTTTTAGGTCCTGTTTGAAAAAAATTGTATCATGAAAATGCGTGGGATTTGTTGTTTTTCGTTTTTTTTTAACGACGCTATGGAAAACAAAGTGGTGCCAATGGAAAAACCGGCTGCTCTTCTATGTATCTGCATCTTCGTTTCTTGTCACAGTCTCTTTTCGTTTCTTTTCGCAGTCTCTTTTCAATTTACCTCCCGTCTTACGGCCTTCAAAAATTTCAGTAGAGGGATTTTTGGCCTATTTGATGTATTTTTTTTTCATTCTCTCAAATATTTAATGCACAAATCTGAGATGAAGGTTTAGGTTTCAATCAAAAGGACAAATTATCTGGATCTCCTTTTCTCAATTGCTTATCCCCTAATTTTGGTAGAAAAAAGTTATGGCCTCAAACAAGCTCAATTTTTGACATTTTGTTCAATTTTTAAAACATTTTGACTTCTTTCAAAACTACCCTGCCAAAATGGAGAGTAAGGGCTTTACCGGAAACAAAACGGTTTTGTGAATCTTACCTGTGCAAGCGGCTATGTCTTGGATTTTGAGGCATATATGGCCTTAGAAAATGTCCAATTTTTGAAATTTATTCAGTTTTTCGTTTTTTTTTGGAAAACAAACATGCCATGCTGATTCTGAGATTGATAGCTCATTAAAGTTAACCTGGTGCTTAGATTTTCCCTGTGTAATCTGCTTTACCCTGTTTTTTATGTAGATTTGGACTCCGGAAAAATTCATTTTAAATTTTTTAACATGTGTTTTTTTTTAGAAATTTCGTCACTATTCTCGAAAACGACTTGTTAAATCTGATTTTAAGGGTTCAATCTAAAAAATCAAGGTCGGGAAATCTTCAATCTAAAAATCAGGGTAGGGAAAGCAGAGGCTCTTCCTATGCTCTAGCAGAGAAAATTCAAGGAATTAGGAAAAGTCAAATTTTTCAATTTTTGTTCGATTTTTGAAGCTTTTTTTCGAAAACTACCTAGCCAAATCTTGGACAAAGACTTCAATAGAAAGATCGGGTAGTGGTTTTCTCGTGTAAACAAGCAGTTAACCCCCTATTTAAGCAGAGAAACACTAGGATTTATTATAAAGTCCATTTCTGTGCAATTTTGAAACTTAAGCATTTCCGTATCGGTACAATATTTGATTAAAAATAGTAAAGCAAGTAGATCCAGCAGTAGTTCGGCCACTATTTTACTTCCAAGTGACCGTGGCGCAGATGCGAGGACGTGATACTCCTAATCAAGAGGTTAGATTTTCACATCCGAAATCTTTAAATAGTTTTTTTTGTTCGAATTTTTTTGATAGCAACTGTAGTTGTTTTATTGGTGGCTAGTGCTTTTGAACTTAAAATCGGTTTCGAAGCAGATGTGACAACGTGGTACTACTAATCTTGACAAATGTGTTCAAGGTGCATTTTTAATCTTTTCCTTATTTCACTTTTTTATGCCTATTTAGAGCTCTTTTCGCATTTTCCTCTCTTGTGTTTGCGAAGCGCAGTTTCGCCCCTGTGTCTAAAATTTTTTAATTTTCGAATTAAGAGTCGATGAACGCAGTGAATATTCCTATGTAGGTCGTGATGATATATATTTTTTCAGGCTCATAAAAGTGCTCATTTGATGGCATTTTTGCTATAATCGCGATCTGTAGCCTTAGAATTTTCATAGCGTCTGTTGTCTGCTTTATTTGTCACTGGTGTTTGGCGATTGTGATGTGTCCGTGGTTGATGCGTCCGTGGCTGAGAGAATCTCAATCTCTTGGTCGCAGCTTTGAATCCGTCGCGTGGCAGAACTTTTTCAAATTAGTTTCAGGCCTATTTCTACTTTTTATATTTCACTTTATAGAGCTGCTTTTTTTTTCGTGTTCACGCTAGTGTTTGCGAAGTGCAGCTTTGCCCTTGTATTAAAATATTATAACTCTTTTTCATTAACACCATCAAAGAATCAACCACGACAGTTGACGCAAGCATTCCGCAGTCAAAGATTAGCCTTACCGGTTCGCTTGTATTAGTACATCAAGAAACATACATAAGAGTAGAAGCAAAGAATTGACAAAATACCAGTTAGGGTATTTTATATTCACGAAAAACGTGATGGACTTCTAAGTTCGAAAGTGGTTTTCATTTTCAGATTTCTCAGAATAAAAACTTAACCTTTTGATTCAGTTTTACCAAGTTGAATAAATTTTATAAAAAAGTGTTAATCATATATCTTTCTCGAAATTCTAAGAGCTTTACGGCCATCTTTTTTTTCTCTGAAGTTCTAAAGTTGGCGTATTTACCAAAAACAAGTCATTTTTGTTTCTTTTCATTATCTCTTTTCCTACTGACTGTTGGCTATGTTCTTCTCTGTAAATTATGAAAAGCACTGTTGAAGGAACTATTCAAGCTATTTTCTGATGTAAATTAAACGTCTTCGTTTTCCTTCTACAAGGTTTATTCGGCTGGCTTGAATGGTTTCGGCCTTATTGCCTCATATTGCTTCATTTGAATCGCAAAATTTCTTCATTTGAATCGCGAAGTCTCGAAAAAAAGTTTTTTAGGACAACAAATTTTCGTCTCAACAGGTGTCTGCCCAAGTATTTAATTACTGCTTCGCATGTTTTGTTTCATTGCTTATTTCAGCTAATTTTTCTTTGTGTAGATTAGTTTTTAACACTTTAAAGTGCCTTAATTTTTGTTTGATTTAGTGAAATTCGTCTCATTTTCTGTCGGCTAACTTGCCACGTCACGTTTATACTGTACCGCAAACTTTCAATTTTCCTTTTTTTAGCGGTTAAGAGTCTATTTCAATCTAATTTAAAATCAAAGAAAAATACATGATTTGCTCAATTTGAAAAAATATACTATTTGTGATGCAGTTAAGCATATGAAAGGCAATCAGAGGTCGGACCGTTCATATTTAATAATAATCACAGTATGATTAACCGCAAAGCAAACAAGAAGCGCATGATCTACACATGAGCACTTAAACGAGGCCAATGATGAAGTTCACCAAAGTTTCTACGGACAGTCTAAATATAACAAGGCAAGACATGGCTAAAGGCGATGTCATAAAATCATTTTCAGAATCACACTAAACGACCCACAGCCATGTCAGAACAGAATTGTGTATACCTGCGCCTCATATTTAAAAAGATTGTTTCCACGGAAATTTTTCAGCCACGCATTTTTTTGTTTGTTTATATCCAATTTTCACAAAACTATTCCTAAGTTCATGGTAACCATAAATAGTTTCAGGGTATACGACGAGGCCCAACAAGAAGGTGGCAATTGTTGAGCTCTCAGCATTTGGGTAGTTGAAATGAAGTTGAAGTAAAATTTTAAATGATTATTTGGAAAGGTTTAACTTTACAAATTGGGATATTGCTTGAAGAAACCGAGGAAATAATTATCGCAATGAACCGTAGTCAGCAGTTCAAGAGTTGATATGCAAAATTTATGGCCCAACTCAATTCCAGTAGTGAATTCCAGGAGTGAGTTCTAAGGTTTTTTTGAAGTGAGGGGGCAGATTTTAAAAAAATCGTAAATTTTATCAAACTTAATTTTTTAGGCCAACCAATTTAATTTGGCGAATGTTTTTACGCACCTTCTGGGAAGGTTTTGACCAATTTTTTTGGCGCGTGATTCCCCTCAAAGTTAATACATTGGCGCCTTACAAAAATTTACTGTCATTCAGCTAAAAATAGATGGATGGATGTCGTAAAATAATACCAATATGCTCTTTGGGCTGTGAGGGGTTGGAATCCTCGAGATAAAAAGCGTTTAACTCTGATATAATTGTTTCATTTTGAAAAAAAACCTGCATTTGATAATCAAGAGCACTGCATAATGTTTCCTCGTGCTGAAAGTATGTTTATCATTTACCAAAGTGTTCTCATCATTTTCCCACAGGTGCTGGCATTCCTCTCTACCAGTCCTGATTTGCTGGACTTCCCCGGGCAGAGACTGGACGCGCCATCCCCCCTGCATGGCTTCATGGAGAGGTACAAAGGCGAAATAGAGGAGATGCAGCAGACAATGTTGCTGAAAGAAAAGAAGGAAATGGAGATGGGGCAGAGGTGGGAGTCGAACCTAGACCACGAGCATGACTCAGCAGATACGAGTGAGATTATTTTCGGAGCTTAAATTTTGTATTCATTTCTGTTATTTGCAGTTGCCAAAACGTCTCGCTATTTTAAGAGCCTTTGAACGTACTGAAGACTTTTTTATAAGTCGTGGTGATTTTTTAAACTTTTTTTTCAGGAAAGGTTTTAAAATTTGTACACGCTCAGTTTGATTTTTGCGCTTTGACTTTTGATTTCTTTTCAAGTTCAGTTCATTTCCATTGTTAAAACTCCGCTATCGAACAGCAAAAGTGTAGAGGTCACGTATCGACTTTTAATTTCAGAAATGGATTTTAATTTTCAGATTTCACAGCAGAACAAAACACTAACCTATTGATCCTGTTTTCTCAAATTTGATTAATTTTATTCAGAAAGTGACAATCATAAGTTGTACTTGAAACTCAAAGAGCTCTGCAACCTTAAATTTTTCTATGAAAATTTTCAAAAAACAAGTTCCCTTGCGTTCATCGACTCTTTTTCAGTTGTCTGTTGGCTATGTTTTATATGGTTGCTTTTTCCGATAGAAGAATCCGATGTTGTAAAGACTGTTTACAGAAACTATGAATCGAAACCGCAAATGTATTGTTTGGGTTTCAAAGCTTTTTCCGCTTGCAATTAGCAAGCGTTACCGAACCGGATTTTAGACTTTGGCTGCTAGGGATTTTAGCAGACCGGATTTTTAGCAGACCAATCTTTTTAGCAGACCAACCATTATAAAGTCAGATAGCTAACTTCAAACGCGGCATCGCGTGTTACAATAACAGGAGACTCAAAATCGGCTATCAAAAAACCTGGAGAACAATCACCTCCCCCACCCCCCCAGACGAAAAAATTCAGCAAAAAATTTTTCGAAAAACAGTGATTCAGAGCGTTGAGCAAAATGTCAGTAGAAGTTTGAAGAAATCGTATGACGATGCGATACAGGTGACTTCTGAAGATTTTTTGCCCCCAAAATACGAAAAAATCAGAAAAAGCATGAGCTGAAATTTTACCAGAATCCCAGAACCTCTACAAAAATTTTAGAAGACGTGAAAATTGAGGGTGCATGGCGCAAAACGAAACAAGGTAAAGAATTTGTTCTTCATCAAGAAATTGGTCTCGTAACTTTTGCGACAACTGAAGGCCTAGAAATCAAAAAAATATTATGGGCGATAGAACTTTCAAATCGCCCCCCCCCCCGCCGTTTACCCAAATTTATGCGTTATTCGGAACGAACGGTGAATGGATTGTGCCGGTAGTTTGGGCGTTTTTGGGCTCAAAAACTGAAGAAATTTACGCAAAATTTTTCGGTCTATTTGATGCCAGAATCAATCATAACAGACTATGAAAGCGGGGTAATTTCAGCTGTCAAGAAAATTTTCGTAGTATCCACTCATTCGGGATGCTGGTTCAACTTTTCCCAATGTATATTTCGCAAATTTCAAATTTCAAGATTTTGGTCTTCAAAAAGGCTATCAAGACAAAATTCTGAAAAAAATTGCGCAAAAACTTTTCAGTTTAGCGTTTTTGCCGGAAAATGAAATTGAAGCCGCTCTCAGACGTTTTGCGGCCGAAATCGAAGAAGAACCAATTTTTTCGCGATACCCAGAAATTGGACAAATTTTTGCTTGTATGTGGAGTTTTTGGATTTTTCGGCAAAATTCCTTTAACTTTATGGAATGTGTTTGATCGGCCCTTAAATTTGAGGACAACCAACAAATGTGAGAGCTGGAATCGTGACTGTAACGCATCTCTGGGGACAAAAAATCCGGTTTTTTGGACGGTTATTCAAAAACTTGGAGAACAGGAACAATATTCGCGACTCGATATACGACGTATTACTCGAGGAGAGGCATCTAATATTCGAAAAAAGAAGTATCGAGACCTCAATGAGAAAATTTCCCGCCTTAAAAACTCATACTTAGATGTAACTTTGTCTTTGAAAAACTATTGGGAAGGTGTTTCTTATATTTGCAGTAATTTTCATAATTAAATTTCGTATAAACCGTCTTTTTAATTTTTCGGCTTGAAGTCCCGACGGCTTGAAGTCCCGTCAGCTTGAAGTCCCTTCGGCTTGAAGTCCCATCGGCTTGTTTTCCTAGACCCATTGTGCGCGAAGTCTTAGTTTTGCCGCTAGTTTAGACTGTTGTTTTTTTGAAGTTGATAGTTTAGTTGACAAATCGTGAGATAATTGTCTTAATGAGGGAAGCTTGGCCCAGACTGAGTGTCCTTTTGAGTATGTCAATCAATCATCCATCACTTTGTTGGTCTGCTAAAAGACTCTTTTTTCACTTATTATGCTAAAATATTGGTCTGCTAAAGGATCGGTCCCCTAGACTTCGTTTCGGGTTAACAACTAGTTCAAAAGAATCGCTTGAATCGTTTTATCTTTGGTTCATATGAAATCAATAGTCAACATTATTTGAAAACTCTGTTTCTCATCTTTACTCAATGTGATAGGGGAAGAAGAGCGTCCATTTGCTACAAGTGCGCGTTTGCTGATGCAACTAAATTGTTTCTCGTGGACCAATAGGAAACTGCTGTTTCTCCTGAACAAATGTCCTGCTCTCATGAAAGAACTGAAACACCTCGACACTCAGGTATTACTAGCAACGTTCATTAATTTTATTTAGATAGACAACGAGATCTAACGAGATCATTTTTAAAACTTTTCAATAGTTCTCCGAACTTTATAGTGCGAATACTAGGAAAGCGAAGCACTCCAGGACCCAATAAGTAGTCAAACCATTTAAATGGAGTTGACCAAATTGGTTGTCTCTTTGGGTCCAGTTGGCTCTTGGCTCTTTTAAAAGATATCCTGATTGTTTAGACTCTGCGTGAGGCACACAAGCTAGCAGTGATCTACGTGGCAAATGGACAGGAGACTAAATCGGCTATCCTGTCCAACTCTTCTGGATCCACACACTACGAGATGTTCCTCTCCGGATTAGGATGGGAGGTCAGTAGCTGCAGTCAATTGTTTTTGAGTTCAAATTGACAAAACGAGCTGTTTTGTTATTTGGGTCGAGGTGTTTTGTCAGAAAAATGTTTCAATTTTTTTCTATATTATGAATTTTGCGTAAAAGTTCTCCCGTTGTCCAGAAAAATTGGCTTGGTTTCTCACTCATTCTTTCAGAATATTTCTCTTGACTCCGTTTTTTTCATATTCCAAGTTTAAGATTTACTACGAAACTACTGAGACAAACTCAAATCAATTATGAGCAAAGCAACCAGTTCCGCCTGTTTGAGTATGAGAAAATGTCAAGCAACATTTTTTCTTGGCAATTTTTTTTTGCTTTAATACAAACCTCCTTAAAAGAAATATAAGATATATTAAATGATCTGGGATTGCAGTGTGGTATTGTGACGTTTTCTTACGGGAAAACAAAACCACGAAGTAGGAAGAAATTTTGTTATCGGATGTGTACTGTTCTGTACTGTTTTTCCTCGCCTAATCAGGGACCACAATTAAATGTTAGAGAGGTCGAGTGATATATCATATTACCACTCTTTTGATTGTTATTGTATAGTTATGGACAAAGTTCTAACTCTTTTTCTCAGTGTCGAGAAAAATCCGAATAGAAAATTTTGTCTTTGAATACAATTTGAACCATGTGAAGCGAAAAACTATTGGTTAAAAAGGAAAAATATGTCTTTTGCTGCGAATGACTTGTTTTTGAAGTTTCAGAAAATGCTTGCTCTTTATCAATGTATTCAATTTTAAACACATTATCCGAAAAAAAATGAAATAATTTTGTTTAATTTTTTTAAAATAGAACTCATTAAAATTCATTATTTGAAGTATTTGAAATCCGTATTTTAATTACAGTCAATTGAAATTATTTTTCTTATTCCAATCAAAGGTCAATCTAGGTCAATATGGAACTGTTTTTTTCTTGAAAGTGTTGTTTTTCTAAAGTGTTTTTTTGTTTAAAATTAATCGGAAACTTTTAACGTTTTCACACTAAATTTGCTCTTCTTGTGTAGGTTGGATCTGCGTATTATGATTTCGGCTGAATGTGCTGTGATATAGTGTCCCTTCGGATGGCTGTGGACAGCTATATCGTCGTTTATTGATAATGTTGTAAGCTGTTCGAATATTAATTAGCGCTACTGGCTATCGATTGTTATTGATTGTTTCCATAATTTATATGTCTCGAGCGGTTAAGACTTATCTTGCTTTTAAGGACGCAGGATTCGGTTCTTAACTTCTGGAATATCGCTAGTCGATCGGCGCAAGTTAGAGCATGATTCTAATATTTTATTCTCTTCAAGTCTACCCAACGGACCTTTTGGACCAATGGTGCGATCATCAGCCAAATTTTGTGACGTTTGTGGAAAATTTAACCACACAGCAAGTCACTGCTGGTGGCGACAGAAACCACAAGGACGCGGACAAAACTTCCCGTTTCCAAACGAGCCAAAAAACTAATAAAGCCACTGAGTCAGCCCCCTAAATCATCGAAATCACCTAAATCATCACCTAACGAACTTTTCCAACCTGATGAGATACTTAGCCTTTACGCAATAATCCCTGCGGAAGGAACAGTACTGACGTACACGAAAATACGTTTCTCATCGGGATTACAACGTAGAGCCCTGTTCGATACAGGAGCCTGCGCAAATGTTATCTCAAAACAGACATTTGAAGACCTAAAAGAAGAAAAATCGCTATTTCGCCCTCTTGAAGTAAATGAACCCAAACTGAAGAGAGTTAGAATGGCAGGAGGACAACAAGTCTCCATTGAAACTGAAGTAACGTTAGAATTCCGATTGGCAGACATGACCTTTATAGAACCATTTCTCGTTCTTCGTGCAGCCAATTCAATAATTCTAGGAAATCCTTTCTATAAAAAACATCATATTCATGTCTGTCCGAAGTATAATCTACTGCATTTCAAAGATATGACCCTTCAAATCAACGAAATAAAACCTCCAAACGAGCCAAGAAGAGTCAATAGAGTGAAAAAATTCCCTTTGCTTATGACAAAACGTCAAACAATAGCCCCGCATCAGACAATTCTTGTAGAATGCCAGCTAGAGAACACATGTCAAGACATGGAAAAAACTACCGGAATCGTGATTCCAGCTCAGGAATTTGAAGAAAACTGTGAAATTGCGTTCACTTCTTCAATAAGCGAAGTGCTGAAAAACAACCTGTTGTATATCACAGCGTTTAACATCACCGATCATCACATTACTTTGCCTTTCAAAACCGAAATTGGGAAATTTTCAATTCTGACTCTGAAAGAAGCAGAAAATTTATTCCCCATCGAACCTGAAATGATTGCATTTGCAAAAATGAACCACCCGGACGATATTGAAATGGGCATTAATGAGCTAATTCAACAATCGTGTGATAGTCAGCAGCCCCAAATGAAGCATGAACCTGAGTATGAAAAATTTTGGTTTCCTACGCCTGAAACATGTCAAAACCCTGAATTACTTCCTCAAATCCAACGCGACATTTACGACCAAATTCTTCATTTTCAAGGTCTTGAAAAACTTGAACCGAAAACGAAATGTCAAGATCGATTGACATTTATCAAGAACTTTAAGTGGGAGAATTCAGTGTTGACAGAAGACCAAAGGTCAAAAGTAGAAGATTTGCTTGTTGACTTTTCGGACATCTTCGCCAAACATAGATTCGATGTTGGGTACAATTCCGACCTCAAAATCAAACTAAAACCGGAACACACGACAATAACAGGAGACTCAAAATCGGCTATCAAAAAACCTGGAGAACAGTCACCTCCCCCCCCCCCCCCCCCAGACGAAAAAATTCAGCAAAAAATTTTTCGAAAAACAGTGATTCAGAGCGTTGAGCAAAATGTCAGTAGAAGTTTGAAGAAATCGTATGACGAAGCGATACAGGTGACTTCTGAAGATTTTTTGCCCCCAAAATACGAAAAAATCAGAAAAAGCATGAGCTGAAATTTTACCAGAATCCCAGAACCTCTACAAAAATTTTAGAAGACGTGAAAATTGAGGGTGCATGGCGCAAAACGAAACAAGGTAAAGAATTTGTTCTTCATCAAGAAATTGGTCTCGTAACTTTTGCGACAACTGAAGGCCTAGAAATCAAAAAAAAATATTATGGGCGATAGAACTTTCAAATCGCCCCCCCCTCCCCACCCCCCCCCCCCCGCCGTTTACCCAAATTTATGCGTTATTCGGAACGAACGGTGAATGGATTGTGCCGGTAGTTTGGGCGTTTTTGGGCTCAAAAACTGAAGAAATTTACGCAAAATTTTTCGGTCTATTTGATGCCAGAATCAATCATAACAGACTATGAAAGCGGGGTAATTTCAGCTGTCAAGAAAATTTTCGTAGTATCCACTCATTCGGGATGCTGGTTCAACTTTTCCCAATGTATATTTCGCAAATTTCAAGATTTTGGTCTTCAAAAAGGCTATCAAGACAAAATTCTGAAAAAAATTGCGCAAAAACTTTTCAGTTTAGCGTTTTTGCCGGAAAATGAAATTGAAGCCGCTCTCAGACGTTTTGCGGCCGAAATCGAAGAAGAACCAATTTTTTCGCGATACCCAGAAATTGGACAAATTTTTGCTTGTATGTGGAGTTTTTGGATTTTTCGGCAAAATTCCTTTAACTTTATGGAATGTGTTTGATCGGCCCTTAAATTTGAGGACAACCAACAAATGTGAGAGCTGGAATCGTGACTGTAACGCATCTCTGGGGACAAAAAATCCGGTTTTTTGGACGGTTATTCAAAAACTTGGAGAACAGGAACAATATTCGCGACTCGATATACGACGTATTACTCGAGGAGAGGCATCTAATATTCGAAAAAAGAAGTATCGAGACCTCAATGAGAAAATTTCCCGCCTTAAAAACTCATACTTAGATGTAACTTTGTCTTTGAAAAACTATTGGGAAGGTGTTTCTTATATTTGCAGTAATTTTCATAATTAAATTTCGTATAAACCGTCTTTTTAATTTTTCGGCTTGAAGTCCCGACGGCTTGAAGTCCCGTCAGCTTGAAGTCCCTTCGGCTTGAAGTCCCATCGGCTTGTTTTCCTAGACCCATTGTGCGCGAAGTCTCAGTTTTGCCGCTAGTTTAGACTGTTGTTTTTTTGAAGTTGATAGTTTAGTTGACAAATCGTGAGATAATTGTCTTAATGAGGGAAGCTTGGCCCAGACTGAGTGTCCTTTTGAGTATGTCAATCAATCATCCATCACTTTGTTGGTCTGCTAAAAGACTCTTTTTTCACTTATTATGCTAAAATATTGGTCTGCTAAAGGATCGGTCCCCTAGACTTCGTTTCGGGTTAACAACTAGTTCAAAAGAATCGCTTGAATCGTTTTATCTTTGGTTCATATGAAATCAATAGTCAACATTATTTGAAAACTCTGTTTCTCATCTTTACTCAATGTGATAGGGGAAGAAGAGCGTCCATTTGCTACAAGTGCGCGTTTGCTGATGCAACTAAATTGTTTCTCGTGGACCAATAGGAAACTGCTGTTTCTCCTGAACAAATGTCCTGCTCTCATGAAAGAACTGAAACACCTCGACACTCAGGTATTACTAGCAACGTTCATTAATTTTATTTAGATAGACAACGAGATCTAACGAGATCATTTTTAAAACTTTTCAATAGTTCTCCGAACTTTATAGTGCGAATACTAGGAAAGCGAAGCACTCCAGGACCCAATAAGTAGTCAAACCATTTAAATGGAGTTGACCAAATTGGTTGTCTCTTTGGGTCCAGTTGGCTCTTGGCTCTTTTAAAAGATATCCTGATTGTTTAGACTCTGCGTGAGGCACACAAGGTAGCAGTGATCTACGTGGCAAATGGACAGGAGACTAAATCGGCTATCCTGTCCAACTCTTCTGGATCCACACACTACGAGATGTTCCTCTCCGGATTAGGATGGGAGGTCAGTAGCTGCAGTCAATTGTTTTTGAGTTCAAATTGACAAAACGAGCTGTTTTGTTATTTGGGTCGAGGTGTTTTGTCAGAAAAATGTTTCAATTTTTTTCTATATTATGAATTTTGCGTAAAAGTTCTCCCGTTGTCCAGAAAAATTGGCTTGGTTTCTCACTCATTCTTTCAGAATATTTCTCTTGACTCCGTTTTTTTCATATTCCAAGTTTAAGATTTACTACGAAACTACTGAGACAAACTCAAATCAATTATGAGCAAAGCAACCAGTTCCGCCTGTTTGAGTATGAGAAAATGTCAAGCAACATTTTTTCTTGGCAATTTTTTTTTGCTTTAATACAAACCTCCTTAAAAGAAATATAAGATATATTAAATGATCTGGGATTGCAGTGTGGTATTGTGACGTTTTCTTACGGGAAAACAAAACCACGAAGTAGGAAGAAATTTTGTTATCGGATGTGTACTGTTCTGTACTGTTTTTCCTCGCCTAATCAGGGACCACAATTAAATGTTAGAGAGGTCGAGTGATATATCATATTACCACTCTTTTGATTGTTATTGTATAGTTATGGACAAAGTTCTAACTCTTTTTCTCAGTGTCGAGAAAAATCCGAATAGAAAATTTTGTCTTTGAATACAATTTGAACCATGTGAAGCGAAAAACTATTGGTTAAAAAGGAAAAATATGTCTTTTGCTGCGAATGACTTGTTTTTGAAGTTTCAGAAAATGCTTGCTCTTTATCAATGTATTCAATTTTAAACACATTATCCGAAAAAAATGAAATAATTTTGTTTAATTTTTTTTAAAATAGAACTCATTAAAATTCATTATTTGAAGTATTTGAAATCCGTATTTTAATTACAGTCAATTGAAATTATTTTTCTTATTCCAATCAAAGGTCAATCTAGGTCAATATGGAACTGTTTTTTTCTTCAAAGTGTTGTTTTTCTAAAGTGTTTTTTTTTGTTTAAAATTAATCGGAAACTTTTAACGTTTTCACACTAAATTTGCTCTTCTTGTGTAGGTTGGATCTGCGTATTATGATTTCGGCTGAATGTGCTGTGATATAGTGTCCCTTCGGATGGCTGTGGACAGCTATATCGTCGTTTATTGATAATGTTGTAAGCTGTTCGAATATTAATTAGCGCTACTGGCTATCGATTGTTATTGATTGTTTCCATAATTTATATGTCTCGAGCGGTTAAGACTTATCTTGCTTTTAAGGACGCAGGTTTCGGTTCTTAACTTCTGGAATATCGCTAGTCGATCGGCGCAAGTTAGAGCATGATTCTAATATTTTATTCTCTTCAAGTCTACCCAACGGACCTTTTGGACCAATGGTGCGATCATCAGCCAAATTTTGTGACGTTTGTGGAAAATTTAACCACACAGCAAGTCACTGCTGGTGGCGACAGAAACCACAAGGACGCGGACAAAACTTCCCGTTTCCAAACGAGCCAAAAAACTAATAAAGCCACTGAGTCAGCCCCCTAAATCATCGAAATCACCTAAATCATCACCTAACGAACTTTTCCAACCTGATGAGATACTTAGCCTTTACGCAATAATCCCTGCGGAAGGAACAGTACTGACGTACACGAAAATACGTTTCTCATCGGGATTACAACGTAGAGCCCTGTTCGATACAGGAGCCTGCGCAAATGTTATCTCAAAACAGACATTTGAAGACCTAAAAGAAGAAAAATCGCTATTTCGCCCTCTTGAAGTAAATGAACCCAAACTGAAGAGAGTTAGAATGGCAGGAGGACAACAAGTCTCCATTGAAACTGAAGTAACGTTAGAATTCCGATTGGCAGACATGACCTTTATAGAACCATTTCTCGTTCTTCGTGCAGCCAATTCAATAATTCTAGGAAATCCTTTCTATAAAAAACATCATATTCATGTCTGTCCGAAGTATAATCTACTGCATTTCAAAGATATGACCCTTCAAATCAACGAAATAAAACCTCCAAACGAGCCAAGAAGAGTCAATAGAGTGAAAAAATTCCCTTTGCTTATGACAAAACGTCAAACAATAGCCCCGCATCAGACAATTCTTGTAGAATGCCAGCTAGAGAACACATGTCAAGACATGGAAAAAACTACCGGAATCGTGATTCCAGCTCAGGAATTTGAAGAAAACTGTGAAATTGCGTTCACTTCTTCAATAAGCGAAGTGCTGAAAAACAACCTGTTGTATATCACAGCGTTTAACATCACCGATCATCACATTACTTTGCCTTTCAAAACCGAAATTGGGAAATTTTCAATTCTGACTCTGAAAGAAGCAGAAAATTTATTCCCCATCGAACCTGAAATGATTGCATTTGCAAAAATGAACCACCCGGACGATATTGAAATGGGCATTAATGAGCTAATTCAACAATCGTGTGATAGTCAGCAGCCCCAAATGAAGCATGAACCTGAGTATGAAAAATTTTGGTTTCCTACGCCTGAAACATGTCAAAACCCTGAATTACTTCCTCAAATCCAACGCGACATTTACGACCAAATTCTTCATTTTCAAGGTCTTGAAAAACTTGAACGGAAAACGAAATGTCAAGATCGATTGACATTTATCAAGAACTTTAAGTGGGAGAATTCAGTGTTGACGGAAGACCAAAGGTCAAAAGTAGAAGATTTGCTTGTTGACTTTTCGGACATCTTCGCCAAACATAGATTCGATGTTGGATACAATTCCGACCTCAAAATCAAACTAAAACCGGAACACACACGACCTCTGTATACACAAGGACCACCTACGCCGATACATTTGCGACACGAATTGACAGTGGAACTTGCCCTTATGCACTATTATGGACTTATAACAACATTGTCACATTCAAAATACAGTAGTCCACTATTTGCACATCGAAAGCCATCTGGTAAATTGCGGATGTTGATTGACCTCAGAAGGATAAACCATTCACTCAAGAATGACTATATCAACAGCAACTTTCCGATCTCAAACATGACCGATGCTTCGAACCACTTCGCAGGAAAGAGCTTGTTTACCAAACTTGATTGCTCACAAGCATACCACTGTGTGCAAATGGCAGAAGACCTTTCAGTCCAACTTTTGGCATTTAACTTCGGTTCACGAACTTACGCATACAAATGCCTGGCTCAAGGTCTAAGTAAATCAGTAACAGGATTTAGTTCTTTTATCCCACACTTGTCACCATGTGATAAAGTGTCCCTTCGGATGGCTGTGGACAGCTATATCGTCGTTTATTGATAATGTTGTAAGCTGTTCGAATATTAATTAGCGCTACTGGCTATCGATTGTTATTGATTGTTTCCATAATTTATATGTCTCGAGCGGTTAAGACTTATCTTGCTTTTAAGGACGCAGGATTCGGTTCTTAACTTCTGGAATATCGCTAGTCGATCGGCGCAAGTTAGAGCATGATTCTAATATTTTATTCTCTTCAAGTCTACCCAATTGATTAGTAGCTCGGTATAAATCTCCTATGGTTGGTATTAATTACCATCAATATTTACATAGTTAAATAAATATAAATGTATGAACTTCATTTCATTAACAAGGCTAATTATGTAATCTAATATAGCATAAGAATGCATGACGTCATGTAGTGATGTCACATGTGCAATTAACATAATGTTTTGCGGTTTTTCTTCAATCATTTGTTCGCTGGATTGGACATGCATGTTTGCAGCTACAACAAGGGTTGCCTTTGAGATGGTATACGCCTGTGTTGGACTACACTTATGCTTGTATTGGACAATGTTTAAGTCGTAAAAACGAAACGTCATTGAGTTAAAAAAAAGTTTCAACAAGTATCTAATACAGAGTTTTCTAGCTGTAAAAATGTACCATCCAAAGAGTGTAAACTAATTGTAACTTTCTTTGTAATGGTATTTGTCCAAACTTTTTTCTTTACTCTTCTTTGAATATGTTTTCTATGATAAGCAGTTAAGTGGAACACAAAAAAGTAACATGGAAGATTTTTTCCGTCGATTTGAGTTTTAGCGTTTGTTGATTTTTGTGACATGGATTTGTCTTTTATACTTTTTATAATTTGACTCATTGACTTCATACAATTGCAGTTAATGATTTTGTTATTTTTTCGTTATATATTGAAGTAGTATAAATGTGCTCATACGCAATACTTCGACTTTTCTGCGTTAGCCTTGATCAATTGCAGTGCCTGGCTTTTGTTTTTTTAGCTAAGAGGTTTAAATTTGGCATAAAGTTGACATAATTGTATAATTTGACTCATGCAATTGAAGTCAATGAAGTTTTTGTTTTTTCATTAATCTGAAGTAATATAAATGCAAGTTTCTATGTGCTCATACGCAATACTTCGATTTTATGCAAATACTGCATCTATATTTGAGGTCTGTCTAGGCGAGGAGCAGTGTTGAATAGCAAAAGTCCTGAAGGACATCACAGATCTGAAGAATTTAGCTAGTGCCTGATTTTTAGTCTTTAAAATTTTTAGGTAGACGTGGAAACTCACAAGGGGTACCTTGGCTTGATGCGAGCTTCTGGATCATCTGGGAAAACTATTCTCTACTACGCATCTCCCTCGTATGAAATTGCATACCATGTTGTCACACGTATGCTCGGAACAGACGACCAAAAGGTGGAAAAAATTTATTACACATTTATTAAATACCGAAAATTGGGCGAATTAAATCCAAGCCACCTAGTTAGCAAGATCATTCTAAACGGAACTCTTTTGCAAGTTATCAAGATCATTCTGAATGGAAATCATTAAACTTCGGCTCAACTCGATTATGCAGATACTTTATAACATTAAGTGTTATGAACAAATTATTGAGTTGTGTAGTTTTTTTGTTCTTAATGTGTTTTAAATGTGATTTTGTTAGTTGCGTTTAATTATCCCGAATATTAAAGAACCGGAAGAATAAAAATTAAGCAGCTCAATGCCAATTAATCCACTTTCGCTTTTTATTTTAGAAGCATGCTATTTTAAAAGCATGAGAAATGGAATTAGTTAATCATTGTAATTGCTCTTCATTTGCCTGCTTCTCTCAGAAAAGAAAAAAGGACCGATCAGCGTTGATCTTCCATTAGTTATTGTTTCGGCTAAGTTGCTGTTCGGGTAAAATGAAATTGAACAGTAATTTTGTGTTTGTGTTGCAGTGGCGTCACGTGGGCAATGACCATGTGCATATAGTGTGGAATGAGCACTGCAGACCCTACGTGCGAAGTGTGATGCCGACCCAGTTTGCAGATGTTCTCATTGTCCTGTCTCCTCTGCCCAACAAACTAGTGCTGGTCAACATATCCTGCAAGCACCCAGTTAGTTATCTTGCGGAGGTGATACATTTTTGCTGGTTATTTGAAATTTTTGTCTTCCTATTTCGGTTAAGTCTCATGAATTGTTTTGCCCTGGATTTAAATTTGATTTTAACCCGTGATTTTTTCGAGTGTAAAAGCACGAAGTAATTTTCCTTCATATAGAGCTTAATGATTTTTCAAGAAGTCTTGAAATGCTCAAATAACTAAAGAAGTGCAATCATGCATTTTAAATCATTTATGAATGAATGAACTAGGTAGACATGCACTTTTTGAGTTCGATTCAATTTCAATTGCTGAAGTTCAGGTGAATTATTTTCTTCAATCACGAAAGCGGAAATGGCACAAAAAAGCGTGAACGAATTCTAGTGTTGAAAGTAGGGTTGTAAGTTTTAGAATTCCTAGCTGAAACAATACCCTCAATCCAGTTATCTTAAAATGTGTTTCAATTTCAAATTGTTCTTAATATTTAAAGAGCAATGAACTGATATATTTTTAATCATTTTTATCTTGTTTCCTTGTTCTGTTACCCTTTTCCGACCCTCTGTTTGTTATATCGGGCTACTATGCCGTACAAAATATTTAAATTATGCTATTATGCCGTACAAACTATCGTAGCTTTTCTGGCGCTTTGGGTTTTTGACAAAAGTACTACGCTTGAAGGGTAAAGGTCTTATGTTTGAATCTGGCCACAACCTGTTTTTTATTCAAAAGGGAAATTTACCGATTCAAAAATTAACGACATCTTGTGTGTCTGCTAGTGTTTGGTCGGCTTAGTTGTTTTGTTTCGGTTTCTTGCTGTGTTGTAAGTATTTGTTTTTGTAAATACATAAAGAATTAGGTTTTGTTACTGTAAATTGTAAAACTATTAAGTTTCTTATCTTTTAAAGAGTAATGAACGTAGTGAAAACTCTTAAATAGGTCTTGCTGATTTTTTTCTTCGTTTTTTTTCAGGAAAAAGACTGAAAGTATTGATGCACTTAGTTTTTATGCAATTTTTGAAATCAATTGAAGTTCAACTGCTGAAAGTGAAGTAAATAGCACTCTCCAAATACGAACGTGGAAATGACGCAAAAAACGTGAACGATTTCTACTTTCTAAAGTGGTATTTAGTTTTTAGATTTCCAGCGGAATCAAAACTTTACCCGTTGATCCAGTTTTCTCTAGTTGGGTTAATGTTATCAAAAAGTGCCCATCATAAATTGTTCTAGAAATTCAAGCAGCCTAAATGGCATCTATTTTTTTCTTTGAATTTCGAAATTTGATATTTTTTCAACAAAGTCAGAGTGTTTTTTATGTTTACTTGCGTTCATTACTCTTTTCCAACCTTCCATTGGCTATGTTGTTTTTTTTTGCTTAAAAGCTTTGTTTGGCCTCATCTGTTTCGGCTTGTGCTTGATCGAGGTGAACCAACAGTTGACTTAATAGCGGTGATTAAAAAAACTTATGCTTTTTTGTGTTTCCGGAGGGGAAAGGGAGCTTATGTGTGTTTCCGGAGGGGAGAGGGAGAGCAAATTTAGATTTTAAGAACTTTAAAAGTTTTTTAATTGAAAACAATTTTGCTCAACGGGAGTCTAGCCAACTTTTTTCGGCTTAGTTGCCGCTACGTTATTGTGTCTGAATACTTTTAAATGCAAATCATTATGTTTGTGGAGTTTTGTTGTCAAATTGAACATCATTTTTTTCGACTTTGTGGCTTTTGTTTGATCTCCTTTCTGCTAGCTTGCATTTCTATGTCTGTGTGGTACCGCAAGTGGTGCGAAGCTCCGCTTCGCCTCTGTGCATTGATTTGAAGTCAGATTTTATTAACTAGATTTGCCAGCGAGATAGGATTGATTATATGATGGTAAACTATTTTATTTGACACCTTTCGACAGTCAGTTAATTTCGAACTGATACTAGAAAGACAAAATAGTATCATGTCTGATTCAATTAAGTTTCAAGTGAACAGCTAAGCTTAAGCTCGTTTATGTTTTTTTCTTAGTTTCTTTGTTGATATCTCATTATCCCATCCTCCCTTCGTTCCCAGGAAGTTCTCCTATGTAGTGTCTCAGAAGTATTTTGTTGGTTTCGGGATGATCGTTTGGGTTCTACTGAAGTCGCTTCAGTTTGAAAATTACGAGGATATGGACTTGACTTGCAACATTAGACTCGCACTAGACTTGCAACATCTCCATCATCTATGGTTTCCATATTTTTGGTATCTTATCGAAATTTTGCTATCTGGTTATCCTTTCTGAAATCATTGAGAAATTGTTCCCAGATCTGACAATGCTTTCTGCGGGTCTATTCACTCGTGAGTGGTAGATCCGAGATATAATTTTGCTTATTCCTCGGAACTCACACCAGGCTTTGATGTGTTTGCTAACAAACTTGGGTCGTTTATCAGAAACTAGAGTTTTGGCTACAATTTTGTTTTTTCGCGGTTTTGCTTTGATTTGTTTTTAATTTGACACAATTTTTTGCGGCTTGAGTTTTGGTTTTTTATAGTGTACATCAATTCTTTTTGTCAATTGGAAGGGAAATTACGCTATCTTAATCTTATAGCATTAGTGCAAATGGAGCGACAAAAAAAAACGTTTAAGTTTTATGATTTCAAAGTGGAATTTAGTGTTTAGATTTTTTTCAGCCTATTAGCAAAATTATGTATTCGTTCAGTTTTATTGCACAAATGAAGTCTTTGAAAATGATAGTGTTTAGGTGATATACATTTTTTCTTTGAATCCTAAAAGTTGAAAAATACTCACAATTAAGTCGATCAGTTTTGTGTTTGCTTTGGCCCTTTTCTAACTGTCTAGCGGGATGAAAAATAGAGTAATTATGAGTGGTATCTATAGCTACAAACTGTTCATTTCTCGTTCTGCTTAACTTTTTTGTCCTTTCATAATTGTAGCTTGGTGGATGCAATAATCTGAGTGCTATTTACTAGATTGAACCACACCTTTTGGGTCCCCTGTTCGATGGTGCTCTGGTGGACTTATCTGTGCTGCCGATGTTGGTCAGAGCGACTGCAATCAGAGCCAGCAACATGATCAAACGCAGCAAGAACATCACACAGCCTATATTGTTAGTAGATTATTCCAAAGAGAGAGTCAAACATATCGAGCAAAAATATTGGTAAACGAGTTTTCCCTCAAACATTTTTACGACTTTATTGATAACTCTATATTTGGTTCCTTCAGTTTTTCTATTTTAATAAACGATTATTTTTTTTTCTGAGATCAGCTCACAAATCGATCTATCTGAATTCTAGTTCTTTATGAAGGGCAAAGATCCCATCGTCGCGTATAAGTCTTGAAAGCGCAAAGTTGTGGACATTTATATGACACAAAAGACAATTAAACGGAAATTATGGAAGAAAATTGTCATTTGACAATTGGTCAAATTTATTAATTTTGAAGTTGTTTTTTTAGCTTCGCTTCTAGACAGCAGACTATCCAGTCGATTGCAAAGAGATTCAAACTGCACCAGACATTTGAAGACTTCGTACACCAGACTCTCAAACCCCAGTCCAGGTATGTTCATATATCTAAATTTTGATGTCTGCTGAAAATATCTGCTTCATTAGACATAAAGAAAAAGAATTAATTAGTTTCTCTGAACATTGAACGAGAGGGGACACTAAAAGGACCAGGAAAGCAGTTTTTCTGAATGAAACTAGTTTTTTTTCAAAAATTCGCTTTTTTGAATTTAGTCTCCCATAAATACACGAGCAAAGCTTGTTTTATAGTAAGAGCTCTCTTTTGTTCCAACCTAAATCGCAAATATTGTTGCGACAAAATGTGTTCATTTTGAAAGTGTTGACTTTGACCAATAACCAGCTATTAATTACAGCCAATGCTAAGGATATTAACAGAGACTATTATATTACAAACAGCACGTAAGCTTCAAGGTATCATGGACCTGTAGCGTTGTGCTAGAGAAGGAAACCCAGAACAAAATAAGAGGGTTCGAAACTAGGAAGGGTCGGATCTTTTTAATCAACTTTTTCGTATACTAGTTACAATGCGTCTTCTCTATAAATTGAGGCATGTTATCTGGTAAATTTCTTTTTTTTTTCACGTTGACTGGCACTGTTAATGTGTCATAATTTTCTTGCGTCATTTAGCAATTATGTAGACTCATAATTGGCGTGCGTCACTTAAGACATTTTGTAGTTTCATAGTTCTACTCATTCAATTTTCCCAGTAGCGTTATCGGTCATATTTTTGCTGGTGTATGCGAAGTGCAACTTTGCCTCTGTGTTTAAAAATATATTTCCTTCTATAAACAGAATTATTTACCTGCGATACACTGCGATACAACTTCAAGAAAATCTGATTTAGTTTTTCAATTGTATTTTTTTCATGGTGGATTGTATATAAGGAGAATGATGTAGGGTTTTCTTTTTTTTTCTCATTTGAAGCATCAATAAGCTTTCAATAATATATGAATCTAATTTTTGTTTGATTTTGACTCCCTTATGTCATAGCAAAAACAACTCCTCGACTTGGCCTTGGTTCCGAGATATAATTGTACCAAGCCATAGCCCAGGAGGAGACATTTTCATCCTTTTTTTGATCAAGTTTCATTTACTGTATTAATTTAAGTGGCGATTCAAGAGTGTAATCAAGCATTTCTAACTCTTCGTTCTGTTTTACTAAAGCTTGCTTCCACGAGTAGCACATTAAGGGATAACATTTCAGAAGAATTTTGCGCAGTTTGTTGTCAATTGATTTGCAAAACAATACTCGACATTTATTTGATTATTTAATTGCTGGTCACATCTATATGAAACTTTGATTGGGTATAGTTTTGAGTCTTCTTTCACATTGTAGTAAATTGATCCTTTTTTGTCTAGGCATTTTGAAATTTTTGGTCAGTTTTCATTATATTGAATAATTTTATGGGGGCAACAGAAGGTCTTCAAAATTTTTGACGAGCTTGTGCGCCTTGATCTCTTCAAGTTTTTTCATGTTTTTCAGAAGCGCAATCATCGTCGCAAGAATCTGGCAGTTATTGGCCTTGTTGATTGATTGCGAGCTTGTAATTGGTGCGCAATTGAAATATCTGTTTTAGGTTTTCTCATTCCTAATACTTCAGCTAGATCTTCGTTAATACTTTGTTCCTAATACTTCAAAATCATTTGGCGGTTGCCTTCAATGTGATTTGTTGATTCTGGCAACCTAATTTTTCGCGCGTTATCTCTTTTTTGTCTGATTCAAGAAACTATGTTTCCGACAGCGTTTCCAAAATTGTTTGCCTTGTCGGGAACTCCGTTTTTGTTATCATTTTGTTCTTCAGCTCTGTTTTCACATCAGCTACCGCGATGTTGACAAGGCTCTCGATAGTATCTTCCAAAATTGACTCCATCTTTTACTATTTGAGGAGTGATCGTTTTAAGCGATATATCAACTGCATTTTAGACCGTTTCGGAGAAGTCGTCCCCTTGCCGGACACTTTCTGGTGGGCTGTCATGGAAATATTTTTTGTCAACTTTCCCAAGAGGAGTTTGATCTTGAAAACGTATAGTTCGAGGGAACCCTGCAATAACTACCGTTTCTGAAACAAATTCTTTCATCGCGCGTTTTTAAATTCGTTGATTAGACATCTTTAGGCTATTCTATTACAACTACACCAAAGTGAAACAAGAAAACAAAAGAATAAAAACAAACGGTATTAATAATCATAATAATAAACAAGAATTTAGGAGAAATAAATCCAAGGGAGTTAGCTCCCTTTCAGATTTTGTCAAATCAAAAGTTTTAAAAGTTTAGTTTTCTAATGTTTTACATTACAGTTCATGCATCGGCATTCAAATCAAATCAATTGTAAGAGCTCACTAACAGATTCTAAAAAGGTACTGGCAGCTAGCTCTCTTAGAAAAAGAATCAATCATTAAAATTTCATTCCTGTTAAGGTAAAAGAACAAGCACCGGAGAAATAGCGAACACCAGCGCACTTGATTTCTTCCAAATGACCAGCACGATCTACTTAAGAATTGAATTTTTTTGAGTAAAATATTTTTCACTAGAATGCTTTTTTTTTACCGCAAAATGCAAAATTTCCAAGATGCACGCTCTCGCCCTTCAAGTGCTCCGTTTGTAAATCCAATGCGATGTGCCTTAAATGTTTGTATATGCCGCTAATATATGCCTTTTTTGAACACTTCTTTCTTAAGAGTTAGCAGATGTTGCCCTAGTTCAGAGATATGATGCGCAATATCTTCAGCTGACGCATTAGCTGGCCAATGAAAAGTACAACGATTTGAATTGGCCAGAAGATGGAGCGAAATCATAGACGTGTCGAATTTTTCGTCCGGGGATGGAAAGAGTTTTGAAATTCGAAAAAATTACAGACCGTTTTTTGGAGTCCACAATCAACAGATAATTAGTAGGAGATTGTTTGAGTGTGTTGTTTCTGATTCTAGTCTTTTTTCTGAAATATTTACATTGAGAACCTCTGATTAAATATAATAGAACCATGTCTCTTTAACAAGCCAAGCCCATCATAACAATTAGTTTAAATCTCTTGTGAAGTGCAGTTTCGCTACAATGTTTAATGTCGAATAGTTGAATGTAGATAATTAAATGTCGGGGTGCAATAAAGTTTCAGTGAATGTAGTCAGGCCATTTGTATAGGACGTGATTTTTTTTTTCAGGGAAAAGTATAAAAATTTGATCACGTAAATTATGTTAAATGATGAGTAGACTCTCATTCGGTACTCATTGTGATGTTTTTATATCCGCTTCAAAGTCATGCAATTTTAGTGTCGCTGAATAAGAGTCGACGAACGCATTTCAGACTCTTATATAGCTCGTGATGATTTTTTTTTCAGGAAGTCCTAAAGTTTGTTCAGGATCAAATTTAATTTTTCGCGGTTTGACTTTTGGTATCTCTTCAAGTTCAGTTCCTTTCCTGTGTTAAAAGGAAGGCAAACTCTAGTATCGAACAGAAAAAGTGTAAAAATTTTGAAAAACGTGATGATTTCTAGTTTCAGAAAGGATATTCAATTTTCAGATTTCCCAATAGTTTTCTAAAATTGGGATAATTTTATCAAAAAAACCTCAATCATGAATTGTTCTAGACATTCAGAGAGCTTCAAGGCTGTCTATTTTTTTCTAGTAATTTCGTAAATTGGGATTTTTTCAATAAAAGAAGGCCGTATGTTTTTTAGGTTTACATGCGTTCGTTGACTCTTTACCGACTCTCTGTTGGCCATATTCATTTACATCATTTCAGTTTTTTGTGATTTTCTTTGAAAATTCAATTTTCGACAACAAAGTAGGGCTTCTTTTTGTTCGTGTTTTTTATAGATTTACCACACAATATAAATATACTCATCCTGTTTTTTTTAAACTGGGTTGCATTATCAAAAGAATTGTCAATCATGAAAAGCTGAGAATTGAACGACTTTTAAGGGTCTTAAGTTTCTTCTGAAAAATGAAAATGAAACTAAAAAAAGAAAAGAGCTTTTTAACAGTCGATGAACTTAGTTCAGACTTTTGTATAGGTCGGGATGTCAGGAAAATTTTTTTCCATTTTTCAGGAAAAGTCTCAAAAGGCTCGTATAGTAAAAGAAGAGCATTCACACTTATAAATGCACATATGAATGCCCTTAGGTAAATATGCACTTTTTGAGTTCAATTAAAGTTAATTTGCTAGAATGCACTTTCTAATTATTAAAGCTCAAATAGCGCGAAAAATTGTGATCGATTTCAACTTTCGATCTTTGTTCTGGAAATTCAAAAAGGTTAGAGAGTATTTTTTTCTTTTAAATTCGAAAGTTGAGATTTTGAAATTCGAAAAAAAACAACTCAGTATAATTTTTTTTTACTGTTTACTTGCGTTCATTGACTCTTTTCCAACTGTCTGTTGGCTCTGTTTTCAAAAAACAAGTCAGTTTTTTTCTATTTCTTTGCTTATTGATTTTTTCGAATTGTCTATTGGCTATGGTCCCATGTCCGTGAGTTTGACGCTTTCCCAACTGTCGGTCGGTTGTATTATTACACTAGCGTCAGCTTAGTGTTTTGTTAAGATCCTTCGTTTTTTTCTTTGCAATGTTGATTACACTTATGAACTTACGATCAGCATAGTGTGTTATTACAACCTTCTTTTTTTCTGAATTAACTCGCAAATAAAAGTTCATTAAAAGTGTTCACTTACTTGGAAATTTCATTGTAGCATTGAAATTGCATAGCATCTGTTCTCTGCTGTTTTGTGTTTAGTGTTTGGCTATTTGATAGAAAACTTCCGTGGCTGAGTGGTTAGAGTGTGAGACGCTTAATCTCTAGGTCGCAAGGTCGAATCTCAAACGTAGCCGAATTTTTTTGCTTATTCGAGGCTTATTTCTACTTTTTCTTATTGCAACTTATAGAGCTGCTTTTTTGTCGTGTTTTCGCTAGTTTTTGTGAAGCGAAGCTTCGCCTCTGTGTTATAGTTATAAAAGTGTAGCGCGGAGAAGTTTTTCGAGGGAGGTAATTTTTTGAGAAATTAGTGGAATTTGTCTTGTGAATTGGTTTTCCCGAGCACTCCTGAAACCCTTTTAGTTACCCTATTTTTCCTAAAGTTTCTTTCTGCAATCAAATTTATGTAAATTTCTGTAAAATCCAAATTTTTTTTGGAATATTTTGACCTGAACTTTGCGTTTTTTGACGCGCGCTCCTCTCTCAAAGTTAGTATATATTGGTGCCAAATTATCCCTCAGTTAAGTCAACCAAAAACAGAAGTATCGAAAACTTTTTTGAAAAAGTAGGCAACCAAAATGCTACTAGGAATTCTACGTTAGGAACCTAAACACGCTACTGACTGAGATCGATTTTGTGTGTGTGTGTGTGTGTGTGAAATTGACGAAGTTTTAGATCCTCGACAGCAGCTGCCAATTCGGCCGCATCTCTCACCAACTCCTTCGCCAGAACGGCTCCCGAGGGAGTTTTCGGAGATCAGTTGCAGTCAGTGGGGAGCAAGGACGCCTCAGTCCGATCAGGTTAGCCACAATTAGTGTATTACATCAGAAAATCTTTTTTCGATAGTTTATGATATTCAAGTGTAAGCTCAAGCGTTAATACTGTGCTGCCCTGTTTTTTTAAATCAAGAATTATTACCTTGATTGAATTATTGAGGATTGTGAGATTATAGTATGAATTTATTGACCCAACTCAATACAATGCTGTGTTAGATTCGCTGCTCACGAGGTCGGCTTAGTTTTCGAGTCCCTCCTCTTCTATTCCAATGGTAAGTTTCATGTCATCTCACCACCCAACCCCACCTCTCTAAATTCCCCCTCATTTTCTCACTTACTTTCCAGTTTCCTTTCTGTCTATTGAGATCTGCCGCTAGATTGTTTTGTTTCTATCATTACATCACAAACTAATTGTTCACGTCTGTTCACACTCAGTCAATTCATGTCCGATCAAAGCGACATTAACTATTTTGATAATTGTTTCAATCGCAGGAGTGATCTTAGATTGCTTGCTAAAAATGGCAACCGGATTTTTTCAATTTGTCATAATGGGAAGGTTTGACAGGTTATCTGACATTCAGATAAGCTTAAATTCTATGCGCTAGGAGAAATGATGATGCTGTTATTTTTATTTCCCAATTTTGAAATTAAAGATTGAAAATTGCAATTGATGATTTTGTTTGTTATGAACATTTTGCAAAACCAACGTGTCGCATGAAATGTTTCTAGAAACCAAGCTATTTTTATCCGGCCTCCAGTTTGACCTAAAGCTTAAGAACTACATACCAAAATGTGACTTTTCATCTTGTGATCTTATAAATGATCGTTTTTACTAGACATTGTTCAGGCATTTGTGTTCGAGTAGAGGTTACCACTTTGTTCACGCAGTCACTCCTTCGACATGTGATCAGTTTCAGAGCTTAATTTAGGCGAGGAGCTCATTTGTGAATATCGTAGCATGAAACGGCTTTCTTGCTGAGTTATTACACTTCACTTTATTGTAGTTTGTTCAGCACGAGTTTCACGTTAATACACCTGCTGAAGCAATGCAAAAAAAAGTGTGAAAGAAAGTCATAAAGAAACTTTATAGCATGAGTTAATTGATGATATCACTTTTCACGCTTTTTGCACACCCATTGAGTTAAATATTTGTGTAATGAAAGTGAAATAATTGTTCAAAACCTTTGTGAAAAGAAAAAAATTTGAGCGCCAATATTGGATCTTGTTCTATTTTAGTTGACCAATGTACTTGACCGAAGTTAACGTTTTATGTTGATGGGATTGTTGATAGGTACATATTCACATAATGCACAACCGTTAGTTTTGTTGCTTTCTGGTGTGGATGTTCTTTTATAGACAACAGAAGAGGAAATGATTGAAAATTGACGAATGAAGAGGTCACTTGTAAGCAGCTATTAGGCCGTATATTAATTCTATGTTTGTCCATTTGAAATGCACCGCTCTCAAACACCAATTGTGGGGAAATTTTTAAAATTTGCTAACGCTCAAATTAGATTTCTCGTTGTTAGACTTCGATTTGTTTTCAATTTCAATTCAATTTCATTTGCCAAAAAAAAGAAACATTACGCTCTCCAGTAACAAAGGTGAAAATGACGGGAAAAAACGTGAAATAGTTTAAATTTCAAAAATTGATTTTAATTCAAGTTCTCAGCCGATTAAAAAGCTATCGGTCGCTTCAGTTTTCTCGAAATTCAAAGAAGTTCAAGGCAATATCTTTTTTGTTTTTCAAACTCGAAAATTTCAAGTTAAAAAAATCAATCATCTTTTCGATTTCTTCGGGTGCTTGAACATTTTTCATTGCCACTGTTGGCTTTTTCGGCGGTTAGACTTTGGATTTCAAGTTAAAAATCATGTGTTTTATGGAAAGCAATTTACGCTTTTTAATAACAGTGCAAATGGCGCGGAAAAAAATTGGCTTGTTTTGGTTTGTAACGCTGGCTTTTAACTCAAGCCAGCTTGCGGATGTTGTGTTATTCGATGGCTAGTGTTTGGAATATAGTAAGTTTTTTGGCCTTATGGTCAAGACAATAAACTAAATCGGTAGGTTGAAATTCCTCAAGCGGCATTTTTTTACCTTTTTACGGCTACTTGTTGCCATTTTTATTGTGTGTGTGAAGTGCAACTCCCCCTTTGAGTAACTGTTTGATGTTTTTTTTGTTCCGCTTAGTGTCAAACATAAATGTGAAAGATTCCTGAAACTGAAAGATCTTTGAGGTGGTATCTTTGTTTCCTTGAAAGTTCAGATTTCGTGAAAAGCAGTTGGTTTTCAGCTGCATCGAGTCCATTAACATTTTTCCAATTGATTGCTGGATTTAAAGACAAATTAAGCTCTCCCATCTCTATAAAAAAGAACATGTCTTGTTAAAGAAAATAGGGCTTAGCAATGTTGATTACACTTAGGAACTTACGATCAGCATAGTGTGTTATTACAACCTTCTTTTTTTCTGAATTAACTCGCAAATAAAAGTTCATTAAAGGTGTTCACTTATTTGGAAATATCTTTGTAGCATTGGAAACTGCATAGCAGCTGTTCTCTGCTTTATGTATTGTGGCTAGTGTTTGGTGTCTGTTAAGCTTGCATGGCGGAGTGGTTAGTGTGCTTTTTGAACTTTATAGAGCTGCTTTTTGTCGGTTTCTCGCAAGTGTTTGCGAAGCAAAGCTTGCAACTGTGTTGAATTTACTGTTTGGGATAGTAATGAGCAAAAATATAAGAGCTTTTTTTGTATAAATGTAATTCGTTCATTTAAACTCAAAAGTTGAAAAATTGAATTAAGTGACGACGGTTGAAAAAAATGTTTTGGGTCATGCAACCTGGTTAGGAATTCAGCAAAAGATTTTTTATGACAAAATTAGGCGAAATTCAATCCTTGCTTTATATTTAGTTCAAATCAAACTATATTTACTAGTTATTAAGTACTGTGATTAGGTTATTGTTTTATCTGTGATCACAGGGAAAGCTCTATGAAAGGTAGGATCTCTCTAACTATATTCCCCTATTGCAAAAGGGGAGATACTCGTTACTAGGTATAAAGTTTTGATATGCTTAACCGTTGATTTATTTCTTTACAGGGGGAGACTCGTTACTAGGTACCCGAGGGGGGATATAGTTAAGCAGACCGAAAGGTCTCGCTTGCATTCCATCGCAGCCTGACCGATTGACTATAATTGCGATGCCGTATCTTGCTGTCTGTGATGATTTACCGCATACCTTATTGGCTAAATGCAAGCAGAGAACGTATCGAAACAGCTTATAATCTTTTCATTGCGAGCTTGCCTGAACTCAGATCTCAACTTACCCAAGGATTAAAGACCCAATGGGTGGTTTTAACAGCGAAGAATGCAACACCGGCTCTGAATAAAACCGTTGCTTAAAAGTTGCACAGATTAAATGCGAACCAAACGTTTTTGCGCCCGGAAGACTAAAGCAATGCAATAAAGATAAAAAAAAACATCATTTTGTGTTCTAACAAAACGTTTTTTCACCAGAATCAATGATGGTATACCTTAGAGCAATTAAACTAAAAATCGGACTTATTACGCATTGATTGACAATTACATGCTCATAGTGTGGCATATTAGCATGACCGCGGCGATATGATCTGCGCGAACAGTTGATAACTTAGGCGAAGTTAGAATAGAATGTACACAATTTGTAGGCGTTTTTGTCTGCGAGGCTACTTGAGCTGTGCTTTTTAGGCACTTCAGTTTGGTCATTGAAAATGTCTGTCATTTCGATTGTCCTTCTGATTTGAAAAATTATGACGAGCGCAGCAGCAGGCTGTTGCATTTTTTGCTTATGACCACGCTATGTTCAATTCGTGATTGTTCCGTAAAACTAGAACCAAAATAATATTTCAAAAAGTGAACATTAACATTGAAATCCATAAAAAAGAATTAATTTTTAAAATGAATATTGAATGTTGTATATTGGGGCAAAATGTGATTTTAATTGCATAATTCAGCCATATGCCAATTTGAATGGCAATTGGGTTACGTTGGCAAAAATCAGAAACAAAGAAAAGGGCGTGTGGGTTGGGGACAATAGAAGAGCAGCAGACACTTATTTAAATCGTGTGGTTTTTTTTGGAAAAGGTCCTACAATTTTAGGTCCTACAAATTTGGCTTTTTCGCTGTTTGACTTTTGATTTCTTTTTAAGTTCACTTCAGTTCCGTTGTTAAAAGTAAGGCAAACTGAACTATCGATGAGCAAAGGTTACGAAAAACGTAATCGACTTCTAGTTTCGTTAATAGATTTATAAGTTTCTCATTTCGCAGCGGCTGAATGAAAAAAAAATCCCTGTTGATAACCCAGTTTTCTCAAATTGGATTTTTTTATCAAAAAAGGGTCAATTATTAAATGTTTCAGAAGTTCAAAGATTTTGAAGGCCATCTAATTTACCCTGGAAATTCGAAAGTTGAGATTTTCCAAAAAAAAAGAAGCAAGTCATTGTTTTTTTACTGTTTACTTGCGTTCATTCACTCTTTTCCGACTGTCAGTTAGCTATGTTTAGGTTTCCCAGAGGAGTAAAAAAATACTATTAAACCATTTATATCTAAATAGGTTCTTTTTATGAAAACAGTGGTAATCATAAAAGTTTTTCGGAATTCAATGCTTTGTGTGGTTTATTTTTTGTTTCGAAAACAAAGTTTTGCCTTCTGTTTGCTTTAGTTCATTGATACTTTTCCAATTTTCTGTTGGCTATACTTAAGTTTTCATATAAGTATTTAGTTAAGGACTTTTTAAATATCAATAATGGTGAATCTGATCGTATTTAAGAGCAATAAAGTTTGTGGAAAAACGAAACGGGTCATTTTGTGTTGAAATGTTCCTTTTGAATGCTTTTTGCATATGTTAAATTTTGCATGAGATCTTAAAAAAAACTATCTGAAATTTTCTAAATAACAGGCACTTTAGGTGAGTTGAGTATCATTTGACCACCGCAGCGTTCATTTTATTCTGCTGTTGTTATAGCTACATCGATCTCTGCTTCGAGCTTCTGATTGAATTAGAGAGATTGTTTTTGTTTGAGAGAGAGAGAGAGAGTTAGGGAAATTTCGTTCCTGACTTGTCATGTTGGTTACGTCTCGTTCAATCTCTCCTTGCAGCCCCCCAGGGTCTCTAGCGGCAAAACCGACGTAGAAGGGGAACCACTTTTTCCAGTTATAGCGCCTCTGTGCTGGTGTCGGCACCTTCCCTCTATATAGCACATTCAAGAGGGAGGTTCCAGTGTTGTATTAAAACCCGTTCTAGGGGCCGAGTTTTTCGGAATGTGGAGAACAGAGTGAAACTCCATGACCGGTTCAAGCGGGCAGTTTTAAGTTAGCGGGGAGGACTGAGAAAAACTCCCGTTATGTGATAACCTGCCGATTGTTGGCAGCTTCTTCGGGATTCTCCCATAAGCTCTTGATGGTAAGTGAGGTTGGGTGTACCCGGCAGTTAAACAGATGATCGGTGGTGTGTGGTCCTATGTGGGGCAGAACTGGGGCAGACGTCGGTTATATTGTTTTTAAGCCTGTGGTGGTAGCTAGCGAGTTGAGTTGAGTATCCGGATCGCAGCTGTGACAGTGGGCATCGAGTTTTCCGGTCATGTTTGCTTTCATTTGGGGATAAAATTGGTAGAATTCATGAAAGTTTTGTACTTCTGTTGTGCGAAGGTTTTTGATCCCGTTAACATATTCAAGCATAGGTTTTCGTTTAGCAAATGTTCAATGTCAGGTTTGAACTTACCTTCGAGGGTTGGTCTGATGTTTCGATTAAAACCTTTGTAGTTGATAGTGTGGTGGTCAGCTCTGTGTTCCTGGTAGCACCCGCGAAGAAACTGTTTAGAAAGCATTTCATTGTGTTTTTTAACCGGTAGAAATTTAGTTTCATCATGCAAATGTGTTATGTCACTCATTCTTAGGCATCCCGTAGTTGTTCTTAAGGCGTTGTTTTGCTCTACTTGTAAATGTTGCCAGTTGGTGTAGCTAAGTGTGGGGGTCCAAATTGGAGCTGTGTAGTTCAGAGCACTCCTTCCTATTGCCTTGTAAGTTACGCTGAGTGTTTCTTAGAAGCAACCCCAAGTAGTGCCGGCAAGTTTTTATGAGTACATTATTCTTTTTTTTTTGTAGTTTGTCACAGTTTGTGTGCAGTGTTTGTTAAAGTTCAATTAGATGTCAAATGTTACTCCTAGAATTTTGGGGCCGCGAGTAATGGGCCGGTTAGTTCCGTCAACCATTACTTTTCGTTCTAAATTAAATTCATTCGTCCATGTTGAAAAAATTGATGTTGTGGACTTATCTTTTGATATGTTAGCCAGGTGTTGAGGCTGTTAAGGTAAGGATTAATGTTGTCTGCTAAAGTATCAATATTGGGCCCTGGTGTTGTGAGGGTTATGTCATCTGCATAAGTAGTCACTTTGATGATATCGTACTCTGGTAGAGGCATTTTTGACATAGAGATCAAATAGGACCGGTTATAGCACACCACCTTGTGGGCACCTTGTTTCACCTTCCTGCGTTTGGATTTTGTGTCACTGAATTCTAGGTATGTAAGTCTACCTCGTAGGTAGGCAAGAATCCGTCTTTTGGTGTTATTAGAAAGATCCGAGCTGGCGATGTAATTGAGCAGATGGTGGTGGTTTACAGTATCAAAGGCTGCAGTCAAGTCGAGGGCGACCATCAATGTTCTTTGACGCGGTTTGGCCTGCTTCAAACCAGCTTATATGTAAATTGAGATACATTTAAGCGCAGTAGTTTTCGATCTTTATTTTCTAAATCCGTGTTGGTGTTTGGTGTTCCTGAAAATTTACATTAAAATTGAAATCGGGTAAACGTAAACGCCACTGGAGAGAGAAGTGCAATTGGTCGGTAGCTCCTAGCTTGTTCGGGGTCTTTACCGGGCTTAGCCAGGGGTATTTTTCTTCCCACTTTCCAGTTTTCGGGTATTATTGCATTACTCAATGAGAGGCTTATCAACTTACTGGTATTTGATGGCTTGTTTTCCAATGAAACGTAAATGGATTGGAGCGATGTTATCAGGTTCTAGCGCTTTGCTTTTCTTACTGGACTTTATTGCATCTTCTACCATTTTAAATGAAATTTTTATTCCTTTCAGTTCTAATTGTTTGATTTTGCGAACAATTGCCCTTTTTTCTTTCTGTTCTTGTTTGGGTGTGGAGCGAACTGTTGGTTGAATATGTTGCAATTTTTTGTCTGTTGCGAATTTCAAACATAATGGACGCGTTTCTTGGGGTTGTGGCATTTGTATTGTACAGTGCTTTAACCGTAGAACAGTCTTTATTTGAAGCCCCTCGATGATCAACGTTGCCTAGAAACTCAATCTATTTGTTTTTTTTTATTATCTACTAGTTTATTGGTTTTTTTGTTTAGTTCACTAATTTTGGGGTCTCCGGGATGTGTTTAATGGAAATTGTCCCTTATTTTAGGGGTTTCAAGAGCTTCTGTTGGAAAATTAAGCTTCACCTCTTTAATGCATCCTTGAGGTATATGTCCTGATGCCGCGCCGCAAATTATTTTCCTGAAAATTTTCTCACATTCATTAGTTGATTTGGGTAGAGCTAATTTTCGAAACGCTTGTTCGCTCTCATTACGCAAGCTTTTCCAGTCAGCTTTTTTGAAGTTAGTGTATTTTTTCTCAGTTGCCTTATTGATTTGAAATTCGCAGGTTATTTTTAGGGTGATGGCTGAACGGTCTGATCCCAGTATGTTTTCACAGTACCAATCAGTGGACATGGCCAGGTTTGTTGTAAGGCTAATTACAGGTAAACTTACAGTGATGTTTGTTTTCCTTGTGGGTGTGTTTTCGTTTAGAACAACAAAATCAGATGCGTCTATTTCATCTGCAATTTTCAGACCAAGCGAGTCAGGTTGTAGTTTGGAGAACCACAGAGCGTAATGTGCGTTGACATGACCTAATATTAATGCAGTTGTGTTCGTTAGCAGGTGTTGGATTGACGTTGTGTATCCAGGACTACAGCTTGAATGTGGTGGGATATAGATGTTAAAGGTTGTTAAGGATGACGTGCTGGTAACTATTTTGATTGCTTGTTGTTCTATATGGGGATCGTTATGTGTTTATTTTAGTGTCTGATGTTTTATGTCGTCCTTAATAATGAATGCTAATCCGCCTCCTTTGCCGGGACTGGTGGGTCGGTTTTGTAAGACGATTTGGTATTCATTAGGGGGCTTGAGTTCATTTGTAAGGAAAATTTCTTGGATTGCTGCAACCTTTGTGTCTGTAGTAGCCATGTGGTGGATGATGTTATCTAATTTTGGTCTAAGGCCATTTGCATTTAGTTGTAGTATCCTAAGTTGGTGTTCATGTTTTGGTGGTTGAGGTTGTTGTTTAATAATGGTGTTGATGTGGTTGATTTTTGCAAAGTTCAGAATTCCCACAGTAAGAACTGCGTGACCACTGATTGATATTTTCAAGTGTGGAGCATTTTAAGTGTATACACCCTCCAAAGTGGCACCAGAGACTGTTCTGATTAGGGGTAATTTTAGTGTGACAGATACTACAGTTATGTGTGCCTGGTTTTTGTTCGATTTCGCTACGGAATAATAGAATGAGAACTAGAAGTCCAGCAAGTAACAAGTGCATGAGCAGGTAGGCTGGTTTCGGCTTCTCATTGCTCAAAAACATATGTCGTGTTTCTTCTCTTTGTTTTTTTCTTTTTCTCTCCAGTTTCTTCTTCGTCTTCCCTCCTTTTCTCTTCCCCTTCTCTTTCTCTCTCTTGCAACACTTTCTCTCCTTTTCTCTCTTTGGCTCTCGACACGAGACCGATGTAGAATGAGTAGAATTTTGGGCACCACCTTGCTGGGCGATGCGTGGTCCAGCCGCGTAGAGGGCTACATTCTTTGAACCTCATTTCGGACTCGTGATGTTAACTGCAAATGAATAAAGATCAATTCTTTAAATTAACATTGAGCTGCGCGAAATTTGTAAAACATGCACAGAAATCATAGGCGAAGAAATGTCAAGAACGCAATTCGAGAGAAACTTGATTTTAGGTTCCATTTATTTTTTTTTCTTTAACCTTTCATGTTAAAGATTTAAAGATTTTCACGGTGGCTCTATTTAAGGCTCCCAATATTCTAGATCACGCAACTAAACAAAAACATTCTTACCATTTCTACATAATTGACCATTCTGTGAACAAAGTTTTTTACGGGAAAAAGTGTCTAATACCCGATTGCAATGACGTTGCTTATCGCAAGGGTAAAGAAACATTCAATACTTAGTTTTGAACAATGTAACACTTTATAATTCTGCACTTCAATTGCTCACAGCAATTGAATCCACCCAAATGTTTTCCTACGTTCTATAATTGTGGAATCTACTATATTTGTGTGTGAAAACTTACACGAGATGATCTGTGTTTAGGTCCTGGACTGGAAGGTCTAGTGCACACTTCTCTATTCGATCTGATGAAACCAAAACCAAACCAGACATCAAACAGCCAGAGCGGCCATTTCCGTAAAAACCCTCATCATCCTCACGCGCACAGTCATAGCTCATCCCTTTTAGCCACAACTCTACCATGTGGAGCTAACAATAGAAGGGGCAGAGGTGAAGTCCCCTCCCCGGCTTACTCAATGACCTCATTCCACCGCCCCTCCCCCTCCGAGCCTTTGATTTCCTCCCTTGCCAAAACACACATGGGTGTAGTGTCAATCAACACTTCGGCCAATCATGAAAATGTGAAAACTTTTTCGGCGTCTGTCACTCCAGTCGGACACAAAAGACTAGTTCGTCCTCAAAAGAGAGAAATATCGCCCGCTGGTTTTGAACCCAACTGGGAGGAGAGAGATGAAGATTTGCGTTCAAATTCATCGACAGAGGAACAAAAAACAAATTATTCTACCGCGTCTCCCATGTCTTGCTGAACCTAATTATCATAAAACCTCCCTAGATTTACAAGTTTGTGAGAAGAAAGAATTGAAACAATCGTTTAGAGGCGTTCAATCGTTAAGTCATACCGAAACGCTGTTTTCATTCATACCGAAAACCCATTGCTATCGCAAATCGGTCAGTATATGAATGTGTGGCCACGAATAGTTTATTCAACTCTTAAGTCAATTCTATGGATATCGATCATGATTGTAATTTTGGTAATTTGACAATATTTAATTTATAATGCTTCAGCTCTGTAGCATATCAAAAGTTTACGAATTGAAATATTTTGCGTTCTTCTTTTTGAATTGCAGATCAGCCCAATTTTGTAATTAGGGCCAACAAACTCAAATAATCAATTTGAATCGATGTCTGGTGAGACTTTTTGGGCTCAACAGACATCTTCCAAAGAGCTAGGGTTTATAAAAGGGTTAAGAAAATGTTTTTTTTTACCTCGGATGCAATTAATATACAGATACCGTCTGATCGTTGTAATATATTAAAGTTGACACTACAAGCTGGCTGGTGGTGTTAAAGCCCGTTAAATGGCTCTGATATACTCGTAGAATCAGATAGAGGTATATCTTTTAAAGAGTCGATGATTGACTTCTAGTTTCAAAAACGGTTTTTAATTTTCAGTTTTTAATACGGAATGAAAAAAATTACGTGCTGATCCAGTTTTCTCAAGTTGGATCAACTTTATCAAAGAAGTATCAATAATAAATTGCTCTAGAAATTCAAAGAACTGTAAGGCAATCTATCTTTTTCTTTGAAATTCGAAAGTATATGTGCACTTTTTGAGTCCACTTCAAGTTCATTTGCTAGAAAGTAGGCGAATTCGCTCTCCAATTACGAAAGAGGAAATGGCGGGGAAGCCATGCTCGATTTCTAATTTCGAAAGTAGAATTTAGTTTTTAGATTTCCCAGCGCTATACAAATTTTACCTAAGACTCCAGTTGAGTAAATTTTATCAAAACTGCCAATCATAAATTGTTTTTGAAAAAAAAGTTTTACCCGTTGATCCGGTTTTCTCAAATTGGCCTAGTTTTAACAAAAAAAGTGCCCATCATAAATTGTTCTGCCAACTGAAAGAGCTTTAAGGCTCTTTCAGTTTTCTTTTCCATAAATTGTTCTACCAGTTTTCTTTTTCCATAAATTGTTCTACAAACTGAAAGAGCTTTAAGGCTCTTTCGTTTTTTTTTCAGTTTTCTTGCGTTCATTACTCTTTTCCAACTGTCAGTTGGCTATGCTTTGAAATTCGAAAGTTGGTGTTTTCAAAAAACAAGTTTGTGTTTTTTTTCTGTTTATCTTGCGTTCTTTGACCCATGTCTTTGACTCCAACTGTCGGTTGGCTATCTTTAAGTGTTCCTGCCCCCCTAAATATGCCTCTGCATAGATACATAGATGTTTCTAGACCAGAATAGTTAAATTGATCTTTAGCTTACGATAAGTTCAAAGACTTGGACTGTTATTTTTTCTGGTAAAAAGTAGAAGTGTTAATTTGGATGTTTCTTTGTTGCATCGGTTCACGTTGTCTGCATGAAAAATGTGTCGTTTGGATAAAACAAAAAAACTCAATGAAAACTGGATGCAATTAGTACCAAAAATTTTTGTAGTTTGTCTTCATTAATAAGTCAGCACCATCATAATTAGGACTTTTTATCCACTAGAAAAACTAGTTCTGCTGTTCACAAGAGAAAGGGCCGATGTTGGGCCTCTGATTAAGATCTATAGCCAGTTTTAACTAATTTTTCTCAGAAATGAGATCATGTCATAATGGGATACGACCTGTCACCTTCCTGTTGGATCTCCTGAGATTGTTATTTAGGGTTTCCAAATTACTCAACATACCGCTCGCTTAGCAGATTCGTTGGTTTCAAATGAATAACCGTTACTGGACGATATTAACTGGTTGGACTATGTTCTGGATGATTTCATATTGAGTCATCGCTTCTTAAAACATTAAAACAATGCCTCTTAACTTGAAGTAGTAACCTTATTTTTAACTAGTAGCATTCAGCTTAGAAGCGAAATTTTCCAGGGATTTTCCACGATACACAAAAATTGAACCATTGAGAAGAAGAAATAAACATTTTCGAATAATCTCTATCGCAACATACATGTATTTCACGCGTCTAGTCTTGTGTGGCCTATTGTCTTGAGCAGAAGAATTTTTAGAAATTTGAACTTTTGGGGCAATTTGGACTAAAAACGTTGTTGGAATAGGTTTTAGGGGAATATAATTGGTGCCTATCGCAATATCAAATAGGTTTAAAATATTGGCTGAAGTAGTTTATGTCAATGGAGTTAAAAAGGAAATAGATGCTCTAGATGATCTGCTTCGCTTATCTTTTCTTCATAAAAAATCTGATGGGATATTCTAATAGAGAATTAATGAAACTGGAAAATTGATTTGTTTTTGGGATCCTTCAACAACTTTGGTCACATATTTACTAAAAAATCGTTGTGATTTTTTTCACTGACACGTGGCTCAAAGTTCCGTTTCTTTATGCAGTTTGATTACAATCAAGTTTTTGTGCTCAAATAATTTTGAAAATTTAATATGTATTAATTTTACGTTACGATAAAAAATTTGAAAACATTTATGGCACGCTGTATATATATTTTTTTGGAATTATTTCTGATTTTACTGCTTTTACTCCTGTGGCCGTTTTGGCACAAAACATTATAGTTTAATTTTCTGTTGTTTTTTTTTATCACATCTGTTGTAATCCGACTCGGTTCGTCAGAAAACAAAAATTACTTCTATTCAGCTGATTGCAACTTCGGATCTTGTGAACAAGATTGATTCAACCATAGTTATTATAAGCCGCGTGCGTGCTGACTAAACTGCAGAACTACGGTATTTTCAATACTTCAGCCGAGAAAATGTTCAATAAACATTAGATAATGCATCGCAGCTTGGAACTTGTTGAGACCAAAAAACTGTAAATCGCTAATTGAGAAACGATATGTGTATTTATATATTTACAATGCAATACAAGAGCCGAGAAAGTTGTCAAAGCGCAGCATTTGATCAGCTTGCCACTTAACAATGGTAACATTTTTGGCATCAAACTTCGGTTTAAGAAGTTTTCACACAAAGTTATTTTCAACTAATAAAAAATAGTTTCATTCTAAAAATTATCGGACTTTTTGGCCAGTTGCTTTCTTAAGAAAATAAATCTTTTCATTCTTTGCCGAAAAATAATATTATAAAAATATTTACAACTTTCTAAATTAATAAAATTTGAAATTGAGTTAGAATGACTGATGTTGTGACACTTCCTGACCTGGGGGCCAATGTGGACCAATTTTTCCTCATCATTTGTGGTATGATCGTGTACCTCATGCAAATGGGATTCGGGTTTCTTGAAGCGGGATCCGTCCGCAGCAAAAACGTTACGAACATCCTAATGAAAAACATGCTGGATTCGGCAATTGGAGCTCTCAGCTACTGGCTTCTCGGCTGGGCGTTCGCCTATGGAAAGGACGGAAACGCTTTCATTGGCTACAGTAACTTTCTGCTAATTGACAAAGCAGAGACGGAGTCAGCCTCGTGGTTTTTCCAGTACGTGTTCGCCGCAACTGCGGCTACAATAGTGTCAGGAGCGATGGCAGAGAGAACCAACTTCATAGCCTACATTTGCTATTGCATCACACTCACAGCTTTCGTATACCCCATCGCAACACACTGGGTTTGGAATTCTAGAGGTTGGCTGGCGGCCGAATGCTGGTGGGACAATGTCGCTTTCATGGACTTTGCGGGAAGCTCAGTTGTCCATTGCCTCGGTGGAACTGCAGCATTGGTGGGAGCAATTTGTGTCGGAAGACGAAAGGACCTGTGGAATCCCGTTTCCGAGAGATACGAACGAATTAAGGGTAAAAAACTTTTTCTCAATACCCATTTTATATCATAGTTTGGTTTACATTGCTTACCAAATACCTAAATACTCATGGATCATTCAGAAATCTTAGTATCTTTAAAACAGTTTAAGTAATGACGAGAAAATATCGAGTTGTTAATGAAAGACGTTTCTTTTCAGGACACTCAGTGCCCATGTGCACTCTTGGAGGCTTTGTCCTCATCTTTGGATTCTTCGCGTTCAACGGAGGATCCCAATTGTCCATGTCGCATCCAGGCGACGGTGCCGCATTCGGGAAGTCCGTGAAAAACACAGCTCTAGGAGGTTTGGCTGCTGGTCTAATCGCAGTCGTCATCAACTACTTTTTCCACGAAAGGAAGTTCAGTCTACTAACCTGCATCAACGCCAACTTGACTGGCATGGTCGCCATGTGCGCAGGGTGCAACGTTGTAGAAGAATGGGCCGCCATTGTCATCGGTTTGATTGCGGGACCTACCTTCCTGGCGTGGAGCACTCTCATTTTCAAACTCAAAATTGACGATCCTCTGGATTGTGTTGCTGTGCATCTTGGGGGTGGCTTGTGGGGTATTTTGGCAGCTCCCATTTTCAACCAACACGTTGGAATTTTGTACAACTGGGACGAATTGGCTTTCCAGCATTTCTTCTGGAACCTCCTCGGAGTTGTTGTTATCATTGCATGGACCGCGGCAACTTGCACCCCATTGTTCTTACTGCTGAGAGTGCTGAAGGTTCTCAGAGTTCCTGAAGTGGAAGAAGACACTGGCTTAGACGTCGAGTGTCAAGGAGAGGTCGCATACCCTTCTGTCGCATATGAAAAATCCCCTCATGGTGACATCCCCTACAAGCCCAAAGAAGACCCTAAGAAAAACGGCCAGGCTCCTGAAAAAGCTTGAATGAACTGAAAAAAAAAAAACAATAATAGTTGAGAGGTTGATCATTGATAAATAAACTGTCGCGCTTTATTGATTATAGTTTTTCTTTTTTTTTCTACAATAAACTACTTGCTAGCCTGTTTTTAAGAGGACAATTAAGATCTATTTAAGTTAACAGATTACACTCAAATTTACAAATTTGCCAAGTTATTGGAAAAACGCAAGTGATACTCTGAAGAGAAAAGACAAAGTGTCGACCAAATTAATTTTTGAAGCTCTCTCAAAACGCTATTAAGACGCGCTCTCCATCCTGTGCTTCAAGATTTTTTCGGCGCGCTCTCCATTTTGTGCTTCAAGTGCAAAAAATATTTGTATTTAAAGATGCTATTAAAATCGGGAAAAATGTTTTTTTTCTACTTTTCTGCAAAAATTATAAAAATTATTTGATTGGTTCGAAATTGATTTTGAACCTCTTTTCAACAGTTTTTGGTCACTGGGACACTTAATTAAACTATCGCCAATCTAGTGTTTATATAATAACCTTCTTTTTTAAGCTAAGTCGCAAATATTGGTGCCACTTTTGGGGCACCCATACAGCTTTTTGATAGCATGTGCTTTGAAATTCGATTAGCAATTAGCACAGTTGCTGATTTTTATATTCATCTAATGAACCGAAAAAAGCCATTTGTTTCAAAAATTTTAAAATCAATAATTCTCGAAATTTTTCAAATGCTCAATTTTTACATGATAAGGTTTTATGCTTTCCCATTTGTTGCATGCAGAGTTAGTGTACATGCCTTCCTTCTTTTCATTGTTTCCAAACTATTAATTGCAAAATTGTGTCCATTTGTATTTAGTGACACTTTTGCTGAATGGCTTGACATTTTTTTAAGCTTTGTTCGTGACTAGTGTTTGTCGATGATTAAGCGTGTGTGGCTGAGTGGTTAGTGCGTCAGACTCAAAATCTCTATATTACAGTAAGTCGCAGATCGAAACTTGGACCTGGTCGAATTTTTACTGATTCAAATTTTATTTCTATTTTTGGAATTGCTCTTTTTAGAGCTGCTTTTTGTCGTATTCACGCTAGTGTGTGCGGGCGAAACTTCGCCTCTGTGTAATACATATCAATTACTCTTTGAATGCTAAGCAATATGAATAAACAGACCTTTATCTCAATGTGGGCGAAAAAAAAACGGCTTCAAATTTCTCCGAACACTTCGACACAGAAATTATTGCTAGTGAAAAATTCAAGGAGTTATGAACAAACCTAAAGTACCTGCAAATGATCAACGGATTAGTTAAACAATGCTGCAAAATATTTTTAAAGTGGTTATCCACAAAAATGATCGGGTTCAAGTACTACCAACCCCTTCTTGCAAAAAGAGGAAACTCGTTCATTAAACTAAAAATCTACTTTGTATTTGAAAATTCATTTTTTGCCAGAACAATTTTTCTCATTTTTAGGTTTTCGTATGGTTTTCTTAAAATGAATTCCAGATATTGTTGGTTTAATATCTGCTGTCCGTAAACTTGAATTTTTTCTAAGAATTCCTTGAAATACATGACTATTATAAATTCTATTATAAATTGGATTGACAATTTGGTCAAAAAACATATTTGGCTTTTGGTCTGTAAGCAGTCTTGTAGGATGTTTTGATCCGAAATTGCTCTAGAAAGTTGTAGATATTATAATTATTGTTCCTACCATTGAAAGGGGACGGAATTTTATTAACAAGTTTGTTTCAGTTTTTCTTGTTTTGCCACAAACAATCATCGGAAATACATAAAGTTAAAACACGTTCGGCCGTAATTTGAAGGAATTTTTAAAAAAAATCAAAAATTTTCCCGGGCACAACATCGTTTCAAAATTTATATATTTTTTCTGACGTCAAGCAAATAAATTGAAAAATTGTGTTTTGTTTTAAAAGCTTAGAAGATTACAAAAGCTTAATTTAATCCGTAAAATTTAATTTTACTCAATTAAAGTTCGTCTTCTGAGTATTTTCACGCCTATGACAGTTGGATATGCCTAAGCTCTAACTGTTCTTCAGATCTTTTTATCACACCACGCCGAAAATACGATACTTATTTGAAAAAAGCGGTTGAAATTTTCAAGACTATGGTCGTAACATTCTGTGCTTCCTGCACTGTAATCGGTTATCCTTGTTGAATTTTATGACTTTAATTGATTAAGAAGCTTAGCGAGCCTAAAAATGTTAGTTATATTTTCTGATATTAAAAATTAGAAAAATCGATTTAAAATTTGCGCAAAAGCCCAGAAATACGCACTTTATACAAGTGCTGTGCTTTTCGCAATTGGCCTGATCAAATACTTAACCGAGCAAAGTTGTCTAGTTCTTGTTTACAGTACGCGCTCTGAAAAATCCCTTCAATTTGAAAACCAGAGAATATCTAGATTGGGGAGCTTTCCAATGAAAAGACCCACGGTCCAGATAAACTCATGAAACACATAAAACTTCTCTGGTTGTTTAGTTACAATGAATATAGATTGATTACTAAATGAACTTGATGAAGTAATTCCAGAGTTCTCATCATGTCCTGGATTAATGAATTCGCCAGTTTTAGGTATTTTGCTATTTCTTTTTGGGTGGGTTTTTTTTCTGCCTAGAATGAGGGATGGAGTTATTTTGGTAGTGGTTGTTTAGCTGTAAAAATCTAAAAATTCCATGTTTTTGTGAAGCCTGGATTGAATTTGACCGAATGAGGTAGAAAAACACGGGTTAAATTTTCTCTGGTGCTTGAGCCAAGGGCTATAGTGCCCCTATCCTTCTTGGCCTCAAATGTGGCTAGAGTGAACGACTGTAACATCTCCTGTTCATTGCGGGCTAGGCTAACAAAGATTACCCTAACAGAAACGAAAGCGACAGTGTGCAAGGTTGCTCTACCATTTCTTTTTAATGTTGGTTCAACGCTTATGTGTTATTTTTCATTCCATTCTGCGGTCAGTCACAATTTGAAAATACTGCATATTTCCGCCGTTTTTATATTCGGCCAATATCAATATTTAGTCCCTGAAATGTTTTTTTCTTTTCAAATTTTAGATTACTGAAATCTGATGGGCTGATTTTTATTTTCGCGCACTCGGTCTTTCGCGTATGAGGGATTCCACCAGCTAAATAAATCGCTGGTATTAACTTTGTACGACTCAAAAATTTACACATTGATAGTGTCGAGAATGTGTAGGTTTTCAATATTTTCTTTTCCTAAAAACTATTTGACATAAGTCAAGGGACAGTCGTAAAATTCAGGGCTTTGTCCTGATATTCGAGCTGAGCAGTCTTGTTTAGTCAATTTATTTGCGTTGGTTAGTAAGTTAGTAAAAAAACGTTTGCCTCGTTGGGATCTAAATAAATAACACTTGAATTATTTTTAGAATCAACCGGAGCTTCTTCATCCGAATAGTTTCGATACATGTAGATGTTTACAAAGTGTATCTTGATAATATGGAATAAGGAAATCTTTTGATTACATTTTTTGTCTTCAGGTACTTTTACCATAGACATTTTTTTTTACTTGCGTTACCTGAAATAAAACAATCATGTATAGGTGATCGCTGGTAGGGCTGGTTCCAATGGTTTTTGTGTTTTCGTTTCGAATTGGCATACTTGACGTAGAAGTACTTACTCCAAACATTATACGTTTTGTAAGGGGTTGGGCCAATTGTGCCATCTAATTTTATCTAAGTTTATATGGTAGTAAATGTGAACGAAAGAGTACGTGCTCAATGTTACCATTTCTTGCATTAACCTTGTTGTCGTTGTTCCGACTTTGGAAACGAAAGTAACGGAATTTTTGTGCTCGGGATGGGTTTTTTTCTTCGGACAAAGTTCGACTTTTTACCTAGCCTTTTTTGACGGAATTTATTAAATATCATTCAAAAAGTATTGTTGCCCTGAGCTTAAACTTGAAACGATATTTCACTTGTGATCGTTTTTCGTAAAGTTATGAGGATTTAAAGATTGCCATTTTGGCCAATTTGGGACAATTAACGCGCGATATATTTCGCGCTATTAACGCGTAAGCAAGATTTAATCCGTATTAGAAATAGTTCCAAATGATTCAAGGAAGCTTATATGTCATAATTGATTTGTTAATAGGAGCAAAATTTATCAATTTGTACTTAATCATGGCGTGTGGGGTGATGTTTTTCACAAAAAATCTCAGATTTAGAAAAAAAATTGTTTTTTTATTAGATTTATTTTCATGGTACTGCTGCTCCATAGACCTCAAAAGGCAGTTGGAACATTCAGAGTTTCCCCTTGATACGAGTAGTCTTGTTTTTTTTCTTTACCAACAACGGTTCGACAACAATTAGGGGGTAGGGGCAGTCAGAGTTTGTAGGACTTTGCCTTGATTCACGAGCGGTCTTGTTGTTTCGACTTTCGTAGCAAAAGTAACGGAATATTTGTGCTCGGGGTGTGTTTTTTTTTTATTCAGACAAACTTCGTCTTTTTGACTAGCCCTTTTTGACAATTTTTTTCTATCGCTCGAAATTTATTGTTGTCCTGAGCTTAAATTTGAAAAAATATTTCTTCTGTGATCCATTTTGTGAAGTTATGGGGTTTAAAGATTGCCATTTTGGCCAATTAGGGACAATTACCCCGCGAATTGTTTCGCGCTATAAATGCGTTTAGCGGAAGCTAAATCCGTCTTAGAAATCGTTCCAATTTGATTGAAGGAAGCTTATTTGCCATAATTGATTTGTTATTACGAGCGAAATTTATCACTTTGTAAATTATATCGCGTGTGCGTGGATGATTTTCACACAAAATCTCAAAAAAAAATCAGTTTAGTTTTATTACATTTTGTTTTCATTCTATTACTGCTCAACAGGCCTTAACAGGCAATCAGAACATTCAGGGCTTCACCCTGATACCAGCAGTCTTGTTCAGACTTTTGTAACAAAATTAACGGAATTTTTGAGGGGGAGCCAAAAAAGTAGTATTTGGCTTCTCAGGAAACCATAGTGTTGTACCTTGCCTTCTGTTAGGGCGTTGCAATTGTTAAGTTTCGGAGAAACGAACTCTCACTTTATAGAGAAGTCCTTTCCCACTTTTTGGTTCAAAATAAGAACATGATTGGATATCGCCCGATATCACGCGATGCTGCGCGATGTCATATCACGAGCTCA